TGGACCTCCGCAGTGCATACAACCTCATCCGCATAAAGGAAGGAGAGGAGTGGAAAACCGCTTTCATTACACCCACTGGACATTATGAGTACCTGGTCATGCCCTTCGGCCTCTGCAACAGCCCTGCCGTTTTCCAGCGTTTCATCACTGATGTCCTCCGTGACATGCTGGGTCGTTGGGTTTTTGTTTATTTGGACGACATCCTCATCTACTCCCGCACGGCCGAGGAACACACCCAGCATGTTCGAGCCGTTCTGTCACGCCTCCTGGAGCACGACTTATTCTGTAAACTGGAGAAGTGTGCTTTTCACCAGGAGTCCACCTCGTTTCTGGGATTCATCATCTCCTCCCAGGGCCTGCGCATGGACCCACAGAAGGTTCAGGCGGTCGCGCAGTGGCCACTACCCAAGACCCTGAAGCAGTTGCAGAGTTTCCTGGGGTTCTGCAACTTCTACCGCCGGTTTATCCGCAACTTCAGCGCCCTGGCGTCACCATTAACTTCCCTGACGAAAACAACCAATCAGCCTCGCCCTTTCCGCCTCTCCCCGGAGGCCGTTGCTGCCTTCCATGAGCTGGTCCGCCGCTTTGTAAGCGAGCCCATCCTCCTCCACCCGGACCTAACACGGCCTTTCGTTGTGGAGGTGGACGCCTCTGAGACGGGCGCGGGAGCCGTACTGTCACAACGTAGCCAGGACTCCAAACTCCATCCCTGCGCATTCTTTTCCCGGAAGTTCTCTCCTACCCAGCAGAACTATGGGGTCGGGGACCGGGAATTGTTGGCGATAAAGTGGGCCCTGGAGGAGTGGCGACAGTGGCTCCTGGGTACCCCCACTCCTTTTCTAATCTGGAATGATCATCAGAACCTCATCCATATTCAGACCGCTCGCCAACTCAACCCTCGTCAGGCCCGGTGGGCCCTCTTTTTCGAACCTTATAACTTTCACATCGCCTACCGCCCCGGCTCAAAGAACCTCAAGGCGGACGCCCTGTCCCGTCAACACACCCAGGATCCAAGGCCTCCTGAACCGAGGTCCATCCTCCCGACCGAACGGTTCTTGGCCGCCCTGCAATGGCCTCTGGAAGCCTCCATCCGGGCGGCTCTCCCGGCGGACCCGGCGCCCCCAGAGACGCCTCCTAACCGCCTTTACGTTCCGGCCCTGTGTCGACAGGAGGCCTTGAGGTGGGGGCATAGTTCACGGCTCGCGGGACACCAAGGCCAGGCTCGTACCTTCCAGTTCCTCCGCCGGGCCCTGTGGTGGCCCTCTATGAGAAAGGACGTGCGTGAATACACCGCTGCATGTGACACTTGCGCCCGGTCTAAGTCCACCACCCAACCTGGAGCCGGGGAATTGCAACCGCTCCCTGTGCCTAAAAGGCCGTGGTCGCACATAGGTGTGGACTTTGTCACGGGGCTTCCCGCTGCCGACCACCTGGACACCATCCTCACCATCACCGACCGCTTTTCGAAGGCTGTGCACTTAGTGGCTATGGCAGGGCTCCCCACGGCTAAGAAAACGGCGGAGCTCCTCCTCGATCATGTGGTGAGGCTCCACGGATTCCCCCAGGACGTGGTGTCTGACAGAGGGCCTCAGTTCATCTCACGTTTCTGGAAGGCTTTCTGTCGGTTGGTGGGCGCTTCCGCCAGTCTGTCGTCAGGCTATCATCCCCAGACTAATGGTCAGACGGAGAGAGCAAACCAGCAGCTTGGGCGTTACTTACGCTGCTTCGCCTCGTCTCAACCGTCCACCTGGCCTCGTTACCTCCTATGGGCGGAGTTCTCTCACAACCTCCAGACGTCCTCCGCCACGGGTCTATCGCCCTTCGAGACCTGCTACGGATACCAGCCCCCTCTTTTTGACCATCAGGTGCCGGAGGTGGAGGTTCCGGCGGCTCAGGATATGGTCCGCCGCTGCCGTCTCGCTTGGATCAGGGCTCGCGCCGCCATCACCCGGGCTAATACAGAGTACTCCCGACAACACCGCCGCCGCCACCGGCCCGGCCCTGTGTTCCAGCCTGGTGACCGGGTTTGGCTCTCTACCGCAAACCTCCGGTTTCCGGCTGGTTCCAGGAAGCTGTCGCCTCGCTTTTTGGGGCCCTTCCCAGTCCGAGATGTCCTCGGTCCGGTCGCTTACCGGCTGCGCCTCCCTTCCACTCTTAAGGTGCACCCGGTATTCCACGTCTCACAGCTCAAGCCGGTGGTGTCTTCTCCTCTCCATCCGCCTCCGGCCCGGGTGCCGACGCCCCGAGATGTCGATGGGGACCCCGTCTACACCGTCCGCAAGATTCTGGACGCCCGCCGCCGGGGCCATGGATGGCAGTATTTGGTGGACTGGCAGGGTTACGGTCCGGAGGAGCGTAGCTGGGAGCCTGCCCGCTCGTTTCTGGATCCTTCCCTGTTGGCTGATTTCTGGTCTCGTCGCCCTGGGCCTTCTGGAGCCGTCCCTCGCGGGGGGGGTCCTGTCATGAACTCCTCCTCTTAACCTCCTCTGCGGGCCGGGCTGGCGCTGCACTCCAGTTCCCAGCATGCCTGTCACCGACGCTTCCCGGTGACGTCATCCCGCTGAGCCTATTTAAGGACCTGTCACAGCGGAGCCGGCACTCAGTCATCATCTAACGATAGACGCCAAGCCATTCTAAGACCTAAGACACTAACTCTACGAACCATACGGGAAGAGAACTTCCCACGCTGCCACATATCAGTCTCCATCCACCATTCTCTCCGCGCCTGGGTCTCATAACCACTCCAGCTCAGCCCATCGAACCTGACAGACATGGTGGACTGAGTTAGGGTCCAGGGATTTGAGCTGTCCAACATGGGGTCAATAACACAATGTAAATCACTGCCCAATATTAAAAGATGAGTATCCAGTAAAGGGAGATTACTTAGAAGTTGTGATGACCAGAACTTGAGGACCCATGAAGACACCAAACACAGTAAGACGATTTAACAGTCTTTATTAGCCTGAAGCTAAGAAGAGGTGTTACTGGAGTAAAACTCAGGTAAAGGTAGAGTTGAAGGCAGACGTGTCAGAACCAGACAGGTACAAGGAGCAGGTGAGAGATGTGGTCGAAGACGGGCGAGGGTCATGGAGGCAGGCAGTTTTTGGCAAGGGTCAGGCGTGGAAACGAGGTCGGGAGGCTATGATCAGGCAGGATGAAAAAGGCTGGAAGATTTACTAGCAGAAGCGTTGAATAATCTGGCAGTGGTTGGAGAGCAGGCCGGATCTAATATAGCAGGAGAGGCAGGTGTGTGGCATAAGCTAGATGAAGGGACCAGGTGTGATGAATGAAGGCTGATGAGATGAATGATGGTGCATGGAGGTCAGGGCATGGCAAGATCATGACAGAAATATATTTATAAAACCTGTACTGTCAAAATTTGGTGCATATACTTTAACTAAGACAACAGGTTCATTTTACAGGCTGCCGGCAACTATCAAATATCTCCCATTTTTGTCTGTTTTAACCTCAGAGGCTGAGAACTGCACTCTTGTGTTTATTAATATTGCAACCCCCCTAGATTTCAAATTAAATGTTGAATGAAGTACATTTCCCACCTATGTGCACCTGAGCTAGAATGATCTGTATTCTTGTAAAAACGCTATATCGCCCTTCAAACATTTTAGGTGGGAAAATATTTTAGATCATACCTTTAATGTTCCAAGTCAAAAATCTCAGTCGACCGTGGTCAAGGGACTGACCTGGAGTATTAATCATTGACCACTGATAGAGAACCAAGAGATAAAATTATTAAGGGGGGTGGGAGGACACTCTTTCTGGGCACTGCCCCATGCCCAAATGTTAGAGACAGCAGTGTAAACTCCAAATGGAGCAGCTTTACGAGAAAGTGTTCCCGACTGCAAACAAACCTCAATCCATTAAAGCTCTAACAGAGTCATTTCTTAATAATTCTTAGGCACACAAAAAGAAAAAGAAATAAAAAATCCAACATGTCTGCCTTTATGAGACAAGCAGAACAAAGCTAGAATGATGCAACTTGACACTATCAAATTTAGTCTGTTGCTGTTTTAAACCAAAGCAGCCTCTCCTCATAGCGTCTTTATTGCATGACTGTCTTAACATATTCCTGAGCCTCCGCCCGTGAGACAAAGTCATGCTGAGTCCTCCGATACGTGATGCGTAACTTCACAGGATAGAGGATCCCGAACAGAACTCTCTGGAATCCGCGAAGCTGGCACTGCACCTCGCTGAAAGCCACCTGGGCTCACGCAGTCTTAGCAGTGTGGTCAGAGAAGACTGGGAAGATGATCATGTTGTAGATCCTCACCTGTTGCAATTCTCTGCAGCCTTACATCCAGAGCGCGGGGACGTCCACCAGTGTTTGGCTTAGGGGTCAGAGTCCGATGGGCTCTGTCCACGAGTGGTTCCTTCACGAGCTGAAATGCATCCATGAGAAGCTTGGACACCTCCGTGATGGATAAGATGTTTTCCTCCGGTACCCCAAAGATGTGTATATTATTTTGGCGGGACCTGGACTCCAACTCTTTGCAGTTATCCTCCAATTTGACCAGCTCTTTTGACATAGCCACCACTTTAGCCTGACGTTGGATAGCGTCATCTGTATATGTCAAGAGGGATTGCTCCATTCCCACAACGGTACCTCTGAGCCCAGCGAACTCCTGCCGCGTGGCCGAGATTTCTGAAGAGAGGCCGGCCTTCAGCGCCTGTATGTCAGATCTGATACATGTGAAGTTCTCCGCAAATACAGATATGTCAGCCCCGTTTTGAAAAGTGTTTCTTCACGAAGCTCAGAGAGAAGTTCAGGCTTTGTGGATTGCACCTTTAAGACAAATTAGTAGACTTGTGAAAAAATTTATTTTACTGTTGATGCATTTAAACCTGATTTAGTGTAAGATGAATGCTGGGGTTTGCTGTGGGATCTCACTGGGATCATAGCATGCAGTCAGCAGCTTGTGACTGGTGCCGACATAAAGAAACCAGCTTTGATCAGAGATCTCTTTTGACTCTGTCCCATGCAGAACGTGGTGATGCTTATGAGTGACTTTGTGGACTGGCTCATCCCAGATATTCCCAAGGACATCAGCCTCCAGATCCACAAGGAGAAGATCCTCATGGTGGAGCTTTTTATGAAGGAAGAACAAGGGAAAAGGCTGGCAGTGCAGGACAACCACAACCAGGAGACCTGCACCATCCCGTCATCAGACGATCAGAGCCCATCACGGCCCCGCTCACATTCTGTCATCCACTCCAAGGCCAGCTGGTGATGGTCCATCCACAGGGCTGCTTTTATACAGCACCATAGCTTTTGCTGTTTTTAATGAGTATTTTCTATGTTGACGTTGTCTTATAAGAAACCATCTATCCACATTTAATGTTAGATTTTACATTTGTAACCCATCATGCATAGACCAAGGAACTCTTCAGCTGGTGTCTGCGTGACCTCATTGCATGTCTAATGTATTTGAGAGGAAAAAGCCATGCGCTCCTCTGAGGGATCTGACTTGAGTTCCCCAGAGGAGACTCGACCAAGCCCAGCCCTCAGCCTCAGCTGGCTCAGAGCAAGCTGTAGTACCTGCCTCCTGTCCCACAAGACATTTATGGACCTTTTACAAAGTAAACAGGCTCAGTGATTCCGTCCAAATGGTCCTCCGAGAAAATTTTCTTCCTTGTATCTTTTAGAAAGAAAGACAAGCGACACCAATGTGTAACGCTTTTTGTGGATGTTATTTGCAGATGCAGAGATGCACTGTTACGTGTTGTGATGATGCTACATGATTCTAGTGTGTAGGTACAGCAGCAGGTCTGGTGTTGATTGTGTTTTATTCTGAATTTGGCTCATCACTCAATCCAGTTAAAACTTTAAAGCTGCAGTTAAAAAGTGCCAAAAACCTATGTTGCTGATGGCCAAATGGATGACATCCAGATTCCTTTGGACTCCAGAGGATCGGGTTCACAAAGGGTTGGATGGTGGATGGGAGGGGCGGTACCAGACAAACCCTGACTTTGTTTTTTAGTGTTGGGGACCACGCCTGGCCCTAAACGAGAAACCGGCTAAGGGACATCTGTGTCGAATGGTTTGGAGCTACACAGCAGCACATATTTCATTAGTAAAGATGTCTTGCTGAATTTGTTTCTACTAATTATTCTTCCAGGGGTTTTTTTTTTTTTTTTACTGTTTTTGTTTGGGTTGAGGCTGATGCCATTTGGCATTATGAGCAGTAGTTGAGATGTGTGAGTCAGTCCTGCAGCAAGAACACATCAGCATGTATGATTGAGACTACTATAATATTCTTTTTAACCTGCATTGTAATATCTGATAATAAAATATGGATTAACTCCTTTGATGTGTTTGTTTTAGTATTTGAGATGCCCTGGCTAATTACATCACTTTGCATAGCGGCAATGTACAAACAAGCCGTATAAAGCGGCAGATGCCGAAGCGTTATGTATGGAAGCCAAAGTGTGCCACATAATCAAAAAAATAAAATTAAAATATTGAATTAATTTTTTAAAGCTTTATGTACATATAAATAAAAACATTACAAATATAATGAACCTTTTTAAATAGTATGTTATATAACAAGAAGGAACATCTGTAAAAATTATGCATTCCAATATGGCAGTCTGATGACGTCATAATATGCAAAGTTGATGAGTGAATTTGCTCCCAACACGAACTTTGGGTCCTACTGAAGATTTTTCTCATTCACACTTTACCTTTATCTTTAACCATTTCCAAGCTACAACCTTTTGAAATAGTGATGTCAAAATTGATTATTTTCTTGAAAAAACTCTGGTGCCCAAAGAGTTAAAACCGTGAAAGCCTATATCAGATAAACAACTTTATTTTATTATTTATGTCAGATGTTGTGGGCTCTTTTGTTCATTTTCTTGCTTCTCAGCAGCAAAACACTGCAGCTCTGTCGTCACTGAAACATTTTTACACACATTTATCCAGTCAGATAGGCAGTCGGCTGCTAGTTTACTAATACAGGGTATATACAGCAATCCTTAAGTAAAATTTATTAACTTTTAATACTTTTTTTTTTTGGACCTTCAGAATTTTTTTAAAACCATCACAACACTAAATTGCAAGTGTTAATCAGCTACCAATTTACACATATTTTAACATATATAACATATAAAAAGAATAGACTTAGAGACTCATTGATGCTGACAACGTATTGCACATATTTATTTTACTTAGAAAATAAAACAAACATAAAATGTGCAATGGAGAGAATGGATAGTTCCAGCACACTGACATTCACTGCAAATTGATGCATTCCAAACTGATATCTTCTATGAACTGTTTTATTTTCACAAATTGGAAACATGAACTGGTGAACTATTGTTTGCACTTGTGCTATAGGCCTAATATGAACTTTTGGGCAAAATATCCTATGGCAAGTGCCTTACTTTCATGGCTTTTTCCTCAATAGTTTTGTCCATTTTGACCAGTTCCTCTTTTTTCTCCTTGTGTCTCCTTCTTAGTGTGTTTGATTTGGTGATTAGCTGGGCCATTTTTGACCCAGCTTTCCCTTCTGCCTCCTCAGCTAATTTGTTGGCATCATTTTCAAGGATGGCACAGACTTCGTCCAGGACTTTGCGTTGCTGCTTGAGCTCCTGTAGTTCGTCCTCTGCGGCCTTCCTTTTCTGTGTTTGAGCATCACTCTCCCTCTTTTTACACTCTTGCTCCAGGTAGAGCCTGTACTGGGACCTTGCTGAGGCCACAGAAGCCAGTAAGTCCTTGGTTAAAGGCACCTTGAGGACACCACCACAGCTACTAACATTGTCACAGATTAACCTCAAAGCCTCCAAGGATTCACTTGAGAGAAGGTTACAGGTTTCCACCTCCTTGTTGATGGAGAAGCCCCTCTCCACGGTGGCTTGTCCGTGTGAAAGAAGTAAAACACTGGCAGAATCTCAACGGGTCCATGTAGGATGGGCTGAGGGTCAAGTGTAGGAACACATATATTATATTATATATATAATACATTATATTTTATTTGTGTTTTATTTATTTAGAATTTTAATGCTATTATAACCCTGAAATACTGCAAACACATTTGATTTCAATTGATAATTGGTAATTCAGCAATTAAATTATTTAGTCCCCCCCCCCCCCCCAAAAAAAAAAAAAACCTGATGATATATGGAAAACAATTGTTGTTAACTGTGGTAAACACATAAGAGAGGTGAGGAGTAAACTCACGCAATATAATGTGCTACACAGATACTATTATACACCATCTAGATTGTTTAGAATGAAGCTAGTGGATGACGATTCATGTTGGAAATGCAAAATGAGTATTGGGACGTTCACGCATTGTATTTGGGAATGTGCTCCTATCAGATGTTTTTGGACCCGTATTGTCAAGATCTTAAGTAATTGGTGTGGAACAGACATCCCTTTTAACCCAGAACTGTGCTTATTGGGAGATAAATCTCAGTTGCCTAATGTAAATAAGTGTAATTTTTTAATCATCTCAGTGGGGTTAACAACAGCCTGTCGAGTCATTTTAAGACACTGGAAAGCAGTAGAATCTCCAGAGGTTAAGGAATGGGTCTGTGCAATGGCTGAATCTGCATCATATGAATGTATGCTCAGTAAAATTAGTGAAGACAACAGAGAGGGAACTTATCACTGGGATGGATTCTGGAACTTTATAAAGACAGACAAAGGCCTTGGGTGAAATCAAGCATGCTATGTGACTGCTGTTGTCCCGACATTACGTGTCTGCAGGAGTTATATGAATGGGACTTGTATCAAATCAACTGTTATAACTGTATGTTTAGTCCCTCCATGTTTAGTATCTATTGAGACTGCTATGTACCAGCCCCTCAAAGAAAGTTCAATAAAAACTTGAATTAAAAAAAAATACTTACCTTTATATGATGCAATAAATCTTCAGCCTTTCCATGTCCCAAAAACTGAGATCCAAAGTATCTGGATTGGACTCGGTCGTCCTCCCAATATCGAACATGAATGTCAAGATGTTTCTTCTTTGACGCCTGATTGAGGCTCTCATCGTGTCGCAAACGTGGCATTTGTCGTGCCCCACGTTGGGAAGCCATGTCGCGTGCCCGTCCCATTTACCGGTTCCTTTAAAACCTAGTTCCGTTAGAACTTATGAGACGGTGCATCCATCAGGGTTCGATGGGGATGTCGGTGAGTATTATAGTATTAGATCCTGGTTTGGGCGTCCTAAGTTAGAATCATATCTTTTATTTTAAAGGTGAAATAATATGTAAGACCTTTCCTTCTGTAGTAGCTCACTTCTTTTTAAGCAATCCCGTTATCTTAAGGTTTCTTTATATTAATCTGTCACAAACCGTAAAGTAAGTCCTGATAATTCCAGAACCCATAATTAATGTGCTTACCTCTGTGCAATTAATGATCAGAGCCCCCACTCGTGAAGCTTTAGAGAAAACCTGAAAGAATCAGGATTATGTTTCTTTTTCAAAAAAGGTTTATTACAAAATCAAAATACAAAAATGGGTAGATGAAAAAACAACTGCTATCCCCCACGGAGGAATTAGTTCAAAATGATTAAATAAGAGTTAGTTTACACCAGCTCTTGTCTTCTCAGAATCTCCCCAAAACTCTCCCTCTCTCTCTTTCTCTCCTAAGAGTCTCTTCTGTCATCCCCCATCCAGGCTTGGACGGGGGATGACCCCTCCAAATCTGCTCTGTCTCTTCTTGTCCTCTGCCCCAGCTGCTGTCCGCTCTCCCAATCCCTATCTGCTGTTCAGAGCTGTTCTTATATACCCTTCCTGGACCAGCTTAAGGTCATGGGGTCATTTACCAGATACACACTTTGTAGCTCAACACAAAACATTTGGTGTCATTTTCACTACATGCAGCATTCTTCTTAACACAGGTCATTACATCATCTTTTGCAGCATTCTTCAGTTTCTCTCCAATGTTCCCGAGAGGGCTTCTGGATCTGAAGGGCTTGTCTTCACTCTGTTCTCCTCCAATCCCATCTTTCCAAGCCAGGGGTGGGGCAAAGAGGTGGGGTCAGTCTCCTGACCCTTCGCCCAGTTCTGTCCTCTTGTCCCTGTGACCCTTGTGTGACCCTTGTTTCTGACCACAGTTTTTTGACCTGCAGCCCAGCTCCTGTCGGCTGGCTGATTTTGCTCGCACAAGCCAGTCCAGTGTGTTTCAGCTTGCCACTGTCTTTGGCATGTGGGGACTCGCAACAATCGAACATCAACATGAATGGCCCAGCCTTGTTGATGCCATCAACAAGCTGTTTTTTGAAGAATGATGCTAATCCAAATCTGATGATGTACCCGGTTTTGTCTTTACCACACGTGAATGATTTTGCAATGTCAGAGTCGGGAAACATTTCTTTAAACAGCTCCGAAATCCCTTCATTGGAGTTCAATGAGTGGTGTTTAACAGCAGTGTTCAGACACCACAGAGCCACCGCGCGCAGTGTTGGTGTGGCGCCCATGACCACCCGAAGGTCAGACGTTGCTGGAGCCATAGTGCTGGCCGGTAGGCTTACCATGGCACTACTTTGTGGTGGTGGTGCAGCCGTACAGACAGCTGAGAGTGGTAGAATTAATTGGTCTCTCCGAGCACGTATTCCATTTTTATGTTTAGTGGACTGCATATGCGAGCGAAGTGCGTTAGCTCCCATCCAGTTGACATTGATGATTTTTTTACACACCGAACAATAAGCCTGCCTGTTATTACCTACTACAGGTCTGAGCCAGTCCTTAAACGCTGGGTCGTCCACCCAGCTAGCAGAAAACTTGCATTTGCCCATGAAGACGATGATGGTTGTCCACTCGTAGAAGATATGCCTTGAGGTAAATCTAAAATTAAGCGTAAACTATGGCGTTTGAAGCGTGCCACAACCCGTGCACGCGGATTGGGTCCACAGCGCGCTTGTGAACGGGAATCGCGAGCGAAAATATACATGCAAGCGCGCGTGTGAACGGGACTCGCGAGCGAAAATATACATGGTGAGAGGTCATTTGTGCACTGAGAGGGAGCAAACTGTGTCTGTGAGCGCACAAGGATGTGCACAAGTGACAAACCTGCATGCGCGCGTTGTCAACGAGCACACGGCAGAGGAAAACGTGCGCGCGCGGCAGCCTCTGTGCGCGCGGCAGCCTCTCTGCGCGCTCGGTTTCTGACTCCTGCTCGCTCGGCTGTAAGGGCTTTTGGCACTCTGGAGGTGTGGCCTGTGGCAGATCTTCTCTGTCCTCTGATTGGTTAGTTTCCCCCGCACTTTACCCTCTACCTATCTATATAAAAAAGTCTGATATTCAGTAGTTGCTGGCATAGCTCAGCTGGGAGAGCGGGTGACTCTTCCTCCCGGAGGATCCAGGTTCGAGTCTGGGCAAGGAAAATGTAGTAGATGTCATGTTAATTTTTCTTAATTTCAGGTATTTTACAGTTGTGACCGTTCAACTGTCATTAAACGTCCGAATGTTTGCTGGGCAGTGTTTTAAAAAGTGCACATAAGCTAGATGGTTTTGACCATATAAAATTACATTTTTTGTGATACTGGAAAAATACATACTGAAATAAAACTACTGATTGAAAACTTTATCACTGTGGTTGTACTATATATGACTCACTAATACACTGCAAACTCCCTTAGAGTGGGGCTTCCAGAGAGAGAGAGAGAGAGAGAGAGAGAAAAGTTCTTGCCTCATTAATGAATTGTTTATTTTTTTCAGTATTTAATTGACAAATTATCCTTTCAAATAATTAATTGATGAGTTACATAATTGTCCATTTAGAATTGTTGAATGGACTGAGTAAAGTTTGGTGCACTTTATATATTTCAAAACATGTTTTTTTTTTTTAATGATGCATATAAATAATTTAAATGTTAATTTAATGAAATATTTCTATTTTTTCATTACCTCACCCTTGTTTTGACAAAAACGGGACCTTGCTGGATAATATCATGGAGAAACTATTTGTTCACAGTACATGGCTCAGTGAGGATCTGTGTAAAGGAGGAGATACTCAGAAATCTGTCTGCAGATTGTTACAACCCAGACTGGAAGTGGTGGGCTGTAATAAGAAAGGAGACCAAACAGAGGAGTGGGGGTTCAACAACTGATTTATTTAACAAAAGTAAGGATTTACTAAAGCAAGTTAGTGAACAGAAAATGGCCAGTGAGGACTCTCCACCACACAGGAGAGACCCAGTGAAAGCAGAAAAACAGTAGGCTTTGTAGGCAGCACCACACCCTGAGCCCAGGTGCCTCCAAGGCTGCTTAATGAGCTGCCTACAACAGAAGAAAAACACAATTAAACACAAATGAAAACCCAATGAGACGGTGGGGGCATCACAACACGTTCAGGACTACCCAAACACCAGTAATTCTTGACTGCACTGATCTGCTTTAGTAAATCCTTACTTTTGTTAAATAAATCAGTTGTTGAACCCCCCACTCCTCTGTTTGGTCTCCTTTCTTATTACAGCCCACCAATTCCAGTCTGGGTTGTAACAATCTGCAGACAGATTTCTGAGTATCTCCTCCTTTGGTATACAGATCCTCACTGAGCCATGTACTGTGAACAAATAGTTTCTCCGTGATATTATCCAGCAAGGTCTTGTTTTTGTCAAAACAAGGGTGAGGTAATGAAAAAATAGAAATATTTCAATAAATTAACATTAAAATTATTTATATGCATAATTTAAAAAAAACATGTTTTGAAATATATAAAGTGCACCAAACTTGACTCAGTCCATTCAACAATTCTAAATGGACAATTATGTAACTCATCAATTAGTTATTTGAAAGGATAATTTGTCAATTAAATGCTGAAAAAAATAAACAATACATTAATGAGGCAAGAACTTTTTAAACTTGAACATACCTACACCCACAAGTCTATTTTTACCTGGTTAAAACCATCTAGCTTATGTGCACTTTTTAAAACACTGCCCAGCAAACATTCGGACGTTTAATGACAGTTGAACGGTCACAACTGTAAAATAGATCACAGGAATTAGGAAAGAATAATATGACATCAACTCTATGTTCCTTGGCCGTACTCGAACCTGGATCCTCCAGAGTGAGAGTCACCTGCTCTCCCAGCTCAGCTATGACAGCAACTGCTGAATCTCAGATGTTTTTATATAGATAGGTAGAGAGTAAAGTGCGGGGTAAACTAACCAATCAGAGGACAGGGAAGATCTGCCACAGGCCACGCCTCCAGAGTGCCAAAACTCCTCACAGCCGAGCGAGCGGAATTAGAAACCGAGCGCGCAGAGGCTGCCGAGCGCGCACGTTTTCCTCTGCCGTGTGCTCGTTGGCAACGCGCGCACGCAGGTTTGTCACTTGTGCACATCCTTGTGCGCTCACAGACACAGTTTGCTCCCTCTCAGTGCACAAATGACCTCTCGCCATGTATATTTTCGCTCGCGAGTCCCGTTCACGCACGCGCTGCCATGTATATTTTCGCTCGCGAGTCCCGTTCACACGCGCGCTGTGGACCCAATGCGCGTGCACGGGTTGTGGCACGGGTCTGACGCGATAGAAAACCAGCCACTTCTGTTCAGCGGTTTAGACAGTTGACCGCGCGGCCTGAAATGATGCCAAACGACCGCTGAATATGACGTCATCATTATGTGACCGGATATGCTTAAGCCCCGCGAATTTAAGCATATAATAGAATTTCATTCAGAATACTATATATTTCTATGGCGATATTCAGAATACGACACCTGATAGTCTGACAAAAATACCTAATTTGGAAAAAATAATACCTCTGAGACCAAATTAAACACTTTTAATGGCCTTAAATTTGACTGTTTTTATTTATCACTTTTTAATACCTTTTAAAACCCCGCGGACACCCTGGTTAAGGTTTTTGTCCTTTGTCTGTTATGACTGTACCTCCCGGTTGCGAGGTCACGAGCAATGTGTTATCTGGTTTGGAGACCAGAGATTAACCTGTGGAACACTGATGAAGTGGACAGTGTTTTAACCTTTGCATTTCATGGCTTTCTTCACCTTCATGGTGGATGGCTGCTTATACTGAGCCAGGATCCTCTGGAGGTTTCTTCCTGTTAAAAGGGAGTTTTCCTCTCCACAGTCTCTAAATGCTTGTTTAGTATGAGGATTGCTGTAAAGACTCTGACAGTGACTCGATGCAACCTGCTGGGTTCCTTATATAGGAAACTTTTTACTAATTGATCCTCAGTCAGCACCTAGTTTTACCTTTGTTGGTCAAACTAAATTCAGCTTTTTGCCTGATCCTATCGGGTTTGCAGGATTTCCTTTTTCCATCATAAAATGTCTAAGGTTTGCTGATAAAAGATCCAAGATGTTACATCCAGACAACAGATCCACTAATCCAGCGTCAAGTCATGGAGGCAAAGTATTCATGAGGGTAACCCAGACCTACCTCCTCCTTCCCAGTGACTCTCCAGCTCCTCCGTGAGGATCCCAAGGTGTTAACAGGTCAGAGAAGATTTATAAACCTCTGGGTGATGCATGGGTCTTCCACTCCAGGGGGAGGTAGCTAGGAGGCATCTTAGACAAGTTCCTGGACCACCTTACTGGAATCCTCAATGTGAAGATGAATGTGTTGATACTCACCCGATTTCAAGCCAGTTACAATTACTCTATTTCTTCAAACCAATGTTGTTTATGGAGCAATCTACACGAACAGCTCCACAGAAACTGACTTTAAGGTTCAGTTAGAAAGTGGTCAGCATGTTTCCCCATGAATAAATTAGCATCGCAACATTTCTGCATCCAATCAAACGTAAAATGTCTATGATTTGCAAAGAGATGGAGATGTATGTTGATTACAGCTGAGGAAGAGTTTAAAATGGAGAGGATTTTGAATTGAAGGTGTAGTGAGACATTCAACTTGTGACTCTTCATTTTTCCTCCACCCTCCAGTCACTCTTCCTCTAGGTTAGATGCGCCCTCTAGTGGCTAACTCAAAAAACACACACCCGCAGAGTGTCATCGACCCACACGTGTCAGTGAGGATAAAACCATCACGACGATCCCGGGGAATTCTGGGAAAATATTCTATGAACTGACAGACAAAAAAGGGAGACATCTTGGTCTGGATTCAAACAAACACAAAAAGATCAGACCTACGGGCTACATAGTGGTGCAGGTAGTGGCACTGTTGCCTTGCAACTAAAAGGTTGCTGGTTTGAATCCCGGCTGCAGTCTTTCTGGGAAGAGTTAGCATGTTTTCCCCAAACATGTGGGTTTTCTCCCAGTACTCTAATCCCAGAGCAGGAGCATGTTTGAGTTTGCATAAAAGCGTAAAATGCACAAACACAAGTCAGGTGGTAGTGTGGTGGTCTGAGGCTGCTATGCTGCTTCAGGACCTGGACCACCTGATGTAAATGATGGAACCATGAATTCTTCTTTCTAGCAGAACGTCTTGAAGGAGAATGCCTGACCTTTGACTTTCAACAGGATTTTCCTGCTGAAAACCCTCCAATGTGGCTGAATTCAGACGAACCTGTCAAGTCTGGGATAAGTCCGCTGATGATGATAAAGAAATAAAGACATTAAATGTTGACTTTATGATTGTTGAGTCTCTAAAATAAAACAACCCATACAATTTAACGTGTGTATTAATACATTTATTACATACTAAAAGATATTTTTCAGCACCGTTTCTGAAAACACAACCCGACGCTCCCAGGACAACAACAGCCATACAAAGTTGTCCTCCGACATATGAGTATCAGTAATACTCCGGCCCACGTCTCAGTACGATAATCATCATCATCCTGGTTCATTCACTCCTGGCTTTCACACACATGTAGCTCCTTTGCGGGTCCTCAGCAGGCCCGTTTAGGAGGTGATGGGCACCATACCATTAGGACTCAGGATCTCGATCCAGTATCCATCAGGATCCTGGATAAAGGCCAAGCCTTTCATTTTACCTGGAGGAGGGAGAGAAGTCAGTCAACGTTAAATACTGGATGTAGAAATCTGTACAACATTCAGCCTTCTGAGGGGACACCAGTACCTTTCCAGGCTGAGACTGCTGGTCATAAACTAAGAAAGTTAATAACCAGTTAACTGATATAACCAGGGTCAGATTAGCTTTTTAATGTTAGAGTTGTTCCACGGGGGCAGATCAATGCATTAGGTTGAGGGCAGGTCGCTTTAGACTACGTTAAAAGGTTTCATTAACAGGAAGCCATGTAATACGTGTTTTTGTTTTATAAACTCAAGTTCCACAAGCTCAACGTGAACGTTTTTAAGTATCTTTGCTTGCATTTGCTGCAGAAAGGAACTATATGGTAAATGATCGGGTCGGAAAAGGCTCGTCTCTTCTACGCCTCAGTGCAAATTAACATTTCATGATGTTTTCTTCTTGGATGAATCACAGTAATGTGATCTGGCCCACCTCTACCTGGATGTGTATGATATTTTATTAAGTTGCTCTCCAGAGGAAATACTTCCATATTGTTTACAGAGAACACAGCAAACGTTTAGTTTTTGTTAGAAGTAAATTATTTCATTAGTTAAGATTTTAGAATAGTCTCCATCTGTGGGCTTGCCGCTGATATCTCCCGGGACTCTGCCGGCTGCTGGTTGTGGCCCCCCGGCAGTTTAGTTGCAGTAGTAAAAGGAATCGATTAATAATATGTTTAATATTATTAGCCGTATTCTGAGACTTCCCATCTTACCGTCATCTGGCTTCTTTACAAACGTGACTCCCTGCTCTTCAAACAGTTTACAGGCTGCATAAACGTCAGGAACTGCAATGCCAATGTGTCCTGCAACATTTCAAATGATGTTTTAGTGGTTTAGATCCATGGAAAACAAGCTAACACACAACATTTAAACAGAAAAAGATTAAAATCATGCAAATATGCTTTTAAACTGAGAAAAAAGACAATGTAGTATTTTTATTTTACCAAAGCCTCGTGGGTCAGAGTTTCCGTTGTGATAAGACAGGCTGTCATCAGACTCTGAACCCCAGTTACTGAAACAAACAGGAACAGGGTGTCGTTGTAGGAATTGCAGACATTTGCTCAACTAAACTGAAAATCATGAGAACCCCAGCGTGCCCATCGAGACACCAGGAAACTGGTGCACGAACACCATGCATAAAACAGTCCCAGAGCCTTCAGATTAATGAGCAGCTGGTTGTAATAAACCACCAGTGCTAGGATTTATTTAATAATTACTGAAATAATGCTATGTATTTTAAATAAGTGATGAATACCAGTGATTGTTGGTCAGCTGAATACTGTGAACCTTTGAAGAATCAGAATCTGCTGCGACATCAGCTACAGTAAACGCTCCAAATAAACAGCCAATAAATGTCAGTGAACGTGTCACATCCAGGCATCACCAAGGGGACACCCCACAGATCCAGAACTGCTCCCAACACAGAAGTGTCCACCGTCATCCGCTAGGGACTGGTACCAGAAGTAAGCAAATCCCAGACCAACCTTGTCAAAAAAATTTTGAGTACTGCAACTTTTGCAACTTTTGCTTTCCACGCTGTAATTTCCCCATTCACTGGCTGGAAACGTCTTCTTGAAAAGTCCTAAGTATCAAACAGTAAAACTCAAAAGTTGCAGTTGCTTACCTTAAATAATTTGTGTGCTTAGACAAGCTGATGGCCACAAGTTACATGCATGTAATTGTTACAATACTAAATCCAAATGAATAAGAAATAATTTAATATTTAGTATATTGCAACAGGTGGATCTGTTTTCAAGAATGTAACATTAAATTGGCTTAAAGCACATGTGCACACCCCACCGGGGCTAATTTCTACATGACCTGCAGCTCCCTGGTGGCTTATGTCCACATCTGCAGATTAAGCAGAATTCATGGAGAGGTTAGTTTAGAGGGTGGCCATAATTTTAACATTAGATTTTTTTTCTCAAAAATTTGGCTAAATGTTTTATTTATTCATTCTTCCTGTTTAATTTTATTCATTTATTGCTGTTTGTTTTGTACAAAGCTGAACTGGTTCCCTTTCTCGTTTCTAATGTGGAAAGGTTAATTCCAACTAATTTTTTCACTTCCTGTATCTTTAATCTGCTCTAATTATAAAATGTTTTATTCCACGGGTGACCAAATAAACTCTTGAAATACACGTAGCCTACTGTTTATAAACCTGTAGTACTGAATAAACATTTTACTAACATAATAATCCAAACTCACAATACATCACTGAAGAAAGTTGCCTTCTTTGGAATTTCACTGATCTACTAAAGGTTTCACATTTTACCAACTGTCTTCTATGGATGTGGCTGTTATTGTAGAATCATCTAGTCCAGGTTTGAAGAGTCTTGTGTTGTAGTTTTGAGCTGGACCAGATCTAAGGTGGACCAAATGAAACTTGTGTATTTTTTTACACTGTAACAAATCTAATAAAAGTTTCACAAATCACAAACCATGTTTTAAGGACACTACTATTAGTTTTAAATAATCTAGTTAAGGTCTGAAGAGTCCAGGTGTTGTAGATTTTGAGCTGAGTCAGTTCTAATGTGGCCTAGAAATGTGATGAAATCAGCTTTCTTTGAACTCTCAAATGAAATAAAAGTTTTAAACATTTGAAAATGCCTTAAGGAATTTGTTATTAGTGCAGAATAACCCAATCCATGTTTAAAGAGTCTAAGTTCTGTAAATTTGTAATGAGAGCTGAGTAAAAATGCCCAGGCCATCGGAGAAGTCTCTAGGCTGGGTTATCAGATTGTTGTTTGGAGGTTTTTTTTTCATGATATGTTTTTACAGTAATCAGACGCCCACATTTTTATTTTTAAACGTCCACATGAGACACGGCGAAGCACAGTGAGTTCACGGCCAGAAAATACATCGGTTCAACTTTCATTTTGGAACTATTTTTCAACCATGACAGTTTTACACAGAAAAAGAGAAAGTTGCATGTCCAAGGAAGGTCCCGCCTTTCTCGCGGTGCTAAGTTCACAGTTTCTTTACAAAGCTCCCCAAAACAGCTTTCTGTTGGTGGCGGTGGCAGGAGAACAGTCTGCACTTAGCAAGGGAAGACTCCGGTTTGCTGACAAATCAAATGGTCAATCGTAGTAGAGCCCTTCTAGCCAATCAGAGGCGAGAAAGACGGGATCTTCCTTGGACAAATGACGCATCTGGCACAGCCGAAATATCGCATGTGCTCTCGCGAGAAAACAAGTCGTTTACAAAAAAGGGTTCAGAAAAGCACTTTCTTTATTTTTCTAAAATAAGTTTTTTTATGGCCTAAAAGACTATAATATGATGTAGATATCCATGTTAGTAACAGATGATGACTCCATTAATGCAGGCAGCACCGTTCCAGTCTCTGGAGGAGGCCATGACGCGTGCCCGCCTGGATTCCATGAGAGTTTGTAGTTGTGCTGGTCATCTGTGGAGCACTCTGAGGGACATTACAGAAAGTCTTATATTTGGTGTCGCTTCACTTTGGAGTCACTCAACCGTGTTTGTCTCACTTAAAGCTACCAAGAAACATGAGACACTTTCGGGTTAGCATGTAGCTAATCTCCCACTGATCTCAGACCGTGGCTGAGCATGACCTCACGTAAGCGGCCAGGGCGCCCGGCTCCGATAGCAACAATCTGAGGCTCTGCTCGCCTTTCAACAGTCCATATTAGAGCTCCTCAAGCAACCAGCACGACTACAGCCTCGCATGGAGGCGAGGCAGCCGCGCAGGTCAGCTGCCCTGGAGCTCCATCTAGCTTCGAGGGTTAGCTCAGCTAGCTTGAAGCTACATTGGTTCATTTGTTCCCACCCTCAAAGCCTCACCCTCAACTCCACCACTGTTCCCATATTTGGATTCTCTGGGCATGACAAAATATGTAATATGGCCAAAATTGTGGTAGTGGGAACCTCCCATTTGGCATCAAAAACATATTAATCGAGCCAATGGACATTATTTGTCCAGTATATATGTCGATGGGCATTACTGGGTGAAATGCTCTCTTACTGAGTCAGCTCGATGGTGGCTCTCCTGGAGAAGGTCCAGGCTGTCTTCTCCTTCACATCTGCAGGGATCTCCTTCTTGTCCTCGTAGCCCAAGAAGAAGAGAGAAAACCGCATGGCGGGGAAGTCGAACTTCTGCAGTAGCCTGTAAGATTTCACACAGCAAAGAGAAAGTTGTTTACAAAGCCTAGTTAATGTTTAGGTGGAGATCATTTAACCCATAAAACCCTGTTAAACTATAGCTGCATCACTCCATGAAGGAATGATCACAGAGATGTAAACTAAAACCATCTGATGTGATGTTTAGTTCTGTTACCAACACACCAAACTGTAGCGCCTTATCTGCTGAACAGTCTTCCAATTTTATGTTTGTCAAATTCAAAAAGCAGCAGATTTATCTAACGGACCAAAAGCATGAAAGAAAATATTTAAAATGTAAGTTTTAAATAAAGACCTGATGACTTTTTAGCGTCTGTGGTGGTGACTCATCTAATACTGTACAAATTTAAGCTCAATATCAGTAGAATTGATGAAGTTCCGTCCATTTTCATCCACTTATCCACGGTCGGGTCGTGGGGGCAGCAGCCTAAGCAGGGAGGCCCAGACTTCCCTCTCCCCAGCCACTTGGGCCAGCTCGTCCGGGGGAATCCTAAGGTGTTCCCTGGCCAGCCGAGAGACATAGTCTCTTCAACATGTCCTGGGTCTTCCTTTAGGTCTCCTCCCAGTTGGACGTGCTCTGAAAACCTCACCAGGGAGGCATCCAGGAGGCATCCTGACCAGTTGCCCGAGCCACCTCAACTGGCTCCTCTCGACGTGGAGGAGCAGCGGGTCTCCTCCCGGATGACCGAGCTTCTAACCCTATCTCTAAGGGAGACCACAGCCACCCGCGGGGAAAACTCATTTCAGCCGCTTGTATCCATGATCTCGTTCTTTCGGTCACTACCCAAGGCTCGTGGCCATAGGTGAGGGTAGGAACGTAGATTGACCAGTATATTGAGAGCTTCACCTTCTGGCTCAGCTCTCTTTTCACCACAATAGACCACATCAATGCAGACGTGGCACCAATCCATCTATCGATTTCTCGCTCCATCTTTCCCTCACCCGTGAAGATGACCTCAAATACTTAAACTCCTCCACTTGAGGCAGGACCTCATCCCTGACTCAGACAAGACCATGGTCTTAGATTTAGAGGAGCTGATTCTCATCCCAGCTGCTTCACACTTGGCTGTGAACCAGCCTGAGATCACGTTCTGATGAAGCCAACATGACCACATCATGTGCAAAAAGCAGAGACCCGATCATCAGGCCACCAAAACGGATATCCTCAACACCTAAAGAAATCCTGCCCATACAAGTTTTGAACAAAATCGATGACGAAGAACAGCCCTGGCAAAGTCCAACTCTTACCAGGAACGAGCCCCACTTACTGCCCGCAATGCAGACCAGGTTCTGACACTGGTCACACAGGGACCTACAGACATTTATGTGTTGGAGATATATCTGTGTGTGTGTGTGTGTGTGTGTGTGTGTGCGCGCGTGCGTGCATGTGTGTGTGTGCGTGTGTGTGTGTGGTTTGAAGAGACAAGTGAAAGCAGAAACTAAACTACAGTCAGGTTTCTCAGTAAGTCTCCACTCAGGCCTTCTATAGAAGTCATGAACCCTCTGGAGTCGGTGGTATAATTTGCGGTTTTGACAAGTTTTAGTGTTCACCTTTATATTTCACTCCATACTTTATTGTTTATGCCTTGTTTGGTATCATTCTTTTCAGCACAACCTCGCCTATGTGAATTTAGAGTCACTTCTTCATGTTGTCATACTGTATTAGCACACTGAACCTGAAAGTAAACAAAAAATCTAATCTGAGTAGAAAATAAGACATTTATTGAAGTGAAAACCACAAACATTTGTTGTTGCTGTATGTCGATCCACTACTCTTATTTTACTTTTGTGTGTACTTAAACTTGTCTGATGCTTTTGCTGCTTGTGCTTGTTATTCTGTTGTTTATACTATTATTCCTTCTTAACACTGTTTTCATGCAGCTTCTTGCCTTAGTTACACGGCCTTTTTGTATGTATTCTATGTTGTTTTTATGTCCTTTCTAGAAAGCCTAATGTACAACTGGCACAGGACTACAGATGACAACTAGCCCGTGGCTAATTCTAGCATGTTTCTGCATGTCTGATCTTAATACGACCTGTCCTGATTAACAAATTAAATATAAAAAGCAAAAACATCTTCAGCACTCAGAATGACACTATAGGGTGTGAGTGAAAAACAAAAAGAGGTCAAACAACTTTTTATTTAAAATTAAATATGCAAGGCTTGTCGTTTTTCATGTAAAAATGCTTATAAGCTAAAAATGGAGTCTCTGTCTACCTTTGCCACTTCCACAAATGTCCAGCATAAGAGGTTCAGGTTCAGAAAGCCACTAAATTATGTACATATTTACATTTACATTATATACATATATTTACAAAGAAGGTGTCATGACCAGAAAACATTGTTAATGTGTGACAAGCCTATGTGTGTTTATTTATACATATTTCATGTATTTATTTATTTATACTGTATTTTGAAAAGCCACTGGCTCCTTCCTGTCTAGCTGCGGTGCTTCGGGTGCGCTTCTCATGAGAGACAGTCGGAAGTACAGGAGAAAAGTTTGTGTCCCGCCTTATCGACAGTCTCCCGTTTCCAGTTTAATATTTGTATAAGCTGTGGATAAAGCAGGAGGCGGGACTTAAACACAGGTTCGGGTTCGGAGCGCGTGGAGCGTGCTCCCGTTGATAAAGCAACACATATTGAAAGGGCAGGGTGATCAATGACTGTATTAAAAAAGACAGAACAGATAGATGAGCCAAGAAAATATCTTATTTTGAAACATCGGAGGTGAAGTAGCATTTCAGGAGCGAATAAGACGAAGGGGCGTTCCCGTTTACAAACCAAAGCGCCCCTTTTAGCAGCTGGCCGGTTGATATTGGTTGATTTGGGTCTTGTTTCATATCACACAGTGACATTTGAATAACTAAAATTAAAATGCATATTTTTATAAATGAAAACAGCATGAGTTTATAGTAATAATATTAATGTTTAATGTTTGATTGTCTACCTCATTATTTTCAATTTAAAAAATTGCTTTGAGGGCACATTTTCCCGAATGATTAAAATGTGATTAACTAATTACAAAGCATCTAATTAATTAGATAATTTTTTTATTGGGTCCCACCCCTAAAATTAATTAATTAATTAATTAATTTAAAAAAAGAGAGAGACAGAGGGCGAGATCCGGTGTTGGGGTGGGCGTTCCCATTTACAAACAAAAATGCTCCCTTTAGCAGCTGGCCGGATGATATTGGATTCAAGGCATGTTGCTAATGACTACTGCAGTTATGTTCATGGCACAAACAAGAACACCCACCTATTGTTCTTCATGTGTCTGCTGCTATAACTAATTAATATTCCTCCAGGTATCAATACAGTATCCACTTATCCACCCATGCAGATCTCTACTCTCTCGTCTTAGCTGTTTAATTTTTTTACTATAAAATCAAATTCTTCTCATTCTTATTTTTTCACTACTCAAAAACAGCAAAACCACCTAGTTTGTATTTGACTTGTTAATCAAAACCTGACTCTGATTCCTTCCTCCTGGTTAACGACACTTACGTCATGCCGAGGATCCTGGTGTAGAAATCCAGAGATTTAACAGGATCTTTCACCCTCAGCATCGTTTGCTGCATCATGAAATCCTGCAACACACACACACACCAGGTCATAATGAGAATGTGTGGGCCACAGTTCACTAATCCACAGGTGTGGCGGAAGATCTGAGCTCTGCATTCCTAGGCAACAGAGCTCAGATCCCATGTCACAAATTGAATACATTTAGAAACACAAAACTCTGATTTTTCTTACCAACAAGGAGAACAGTTACCAACTAGTTTACCTCACTGATGCACAAACCTCAACCAGGCGTGGGAAATAATACTTTGTTTTATTCAGACTGGAATGTTCAAATCCAGCATGCACAGATAATTAAAGATGGGTTCTACAAACATGAGATGCATTGCGACATAATCTCTAAACCATGAAGCCTAAAAACCAAAGCTCTTCCGTTATTTACCTCTTTCAAACATGTAGACACAATCTACGGCAGACTGTCCAAGCAGTGCACATGAGAAAATGTGCTGTTTGCCAGAGCTTTGAAGCTAGGAAATGAAGCCATATGGGAAAATATTACTCGACTCTGCACCAGAGATTATGTGAAGGTCAAAATGAAAGTCTTTACTTATATATAATGGGGCGGCGGTGGCACAGGAGTTAAGCGCTCGCCTCGCAACCGGAAGGTCGCAGGTTCGAGACCCGCTCAGGTTCGAGACCCGCTCAGTCTGTCACTGTTGTTGTGTCCTTGGTCAAGACACTTAACCCACCTTGCCTGCTGGTGGTGGTCGGAGGGACCGGTGGCGCCAGTGTTCGGCAGCCTCGCCTCCGTCAGTGCGCCCCAGGGCAGCTGTGGCTACATTGTAGCTCATCCCCACCAGTGTGTGAATGTGTGTGTGAATGGGTGAATGACTGATTGTGTTGTAAAGCGCCTTGGGGGGTTCCAGGACTCTAGAAGGCGCTATATCAAATACAGGCCATTTACCATTTACCATAACAACATTCACGTAGATTACTGCAGAAGAGGCAGAATAGATTTTATTTTAGTTTTATTCAAATGTCACCTCTGGAGCACATAATCATTTCTACCTCCATAAACAAAACTAAAGCGCAAAGATGTGACCTCATGAGAGAAAACACGTTCCTCTCTGGTCTTTGCCCTGAAGACATTTTAATTTGAACTTCAACAGTAAGTCTGCTTATTTCTCAGATGGATGTTATCTATGTGGCTGCTCCTCTATAGACATCAAAATTTCACAGTAGAAACAAAATATAGAAGAACACAAAGAAGCTTCTCTCAGTTGTAGCCTGAGGAAAAACAGGGGACTTCGAAGTAACTTCAGTGCCTTTTCAACTTATTTTAAAGTGGGCCAGCACTTGTTATTCAATAAATCTGCAGCAGTGGAAAAAAGCTCTGACACTCCTGTTTCAGGAAGTAGAAGTTTGTTGGTGGGTGATTAGGATATGCAAACATCTCGCCTCTGACTGGTTAACAGCTCTTCTTTATTAGATAAAAATGTTAATTTTGCGTTTTATCTCCACAAACAACAAGCCTGGATGTGTGCGGCCATGTTTGAGAGTTGCTATTGCTAATGTTAGCTTCTACAAGCTAACACGTGCTCTCTTTCCTGGACGCTGAATTAACAAAGCCTTCTGTGGTCACAAGCCAAAGCTGCTAATACTCACTTTATTGGACGGGGATTTGAACAATAAGGCCAAAAATGAGTCGTCTGGCATTTTAAGTTCAACCAGGGGGGAATACCACGTCGCGAGCCAATCCCAAAGACCAGACTCTCTGAAAATCCTGGTCAACAAACCAAATACAATACCACAAAAGTGGCCAGCCTGAAACCCCTCCCATTCACCATGGTAACACATGCTGGAGAACAAACCTGCTCCTGGCAGGCTAGCAGCTAGGCTTGCTTACACTTAGCAAATATGACTGGACGAGGCAAGTTGCGTCTCCTTTTTCTTGTCAGCAGCTGGCAGCTATGAGGTGGTGAATTAGCACCACCGCTGGCCCACAACTTTGTTCTTGATGGCTAAATTATTACTTTTAAACATGAGTTGTAATTGGATTTGCATCGTAATACTTTTTGCATCTAATCTTCATTTGCTGCCATGAGCGTTTCATTCTATTGATTTTGCTCCAGATGTCAGCATCATTAACATAGTTATATATCAGCCACATAAGTAACATGCTGTCCTCTTTATGAATGTTAAAATAGCCTTAAACTATCCATCTAACTTACTGATGTGACTATATATTTACTCTGGTCACACGTGGCAAACACGGTAATAACTTGTAGCTTGTAGCCTGAATAATCAACTTCCATATTATTGAGGTTCTTTTTTCAAATGTTTTTCTAATTTTTTATTCTCCCTGTGTTTTATTGATTTTTAGCTGTTAGTTTTGGGAATTTTGTTGTATTTCCTTTTTATCCTTTATCTGTGTTCGACATGATTGTATAACGCCGGTTTAATTAACTAACTTTTTTAGTGTACAGCGCCTTGTTTGGTTGTAATACCTTGTTGAATGCGCTTTATAAATAAAATTGGATTGGATTGGATAACTGTTCTAAATGACTTACATGATGTTTTTCCTTGGTGTGTAATATGAGAGCTCAATGTGTTTTTGGGACAAACGGTTTACAGCGTTAACTTTAGGGTCACGTGACAGTCATGAACATATATTCGTAAAACTCAGCTACAAAAACAAAGTCCTCAGTCTCTAAACATTCAGACTCTGGAGCAGAACATGAAAACAACACATAAATGATGAAAAATAAAATATGTGGAGAAACAGAGCTGAAACGAACTTCTGTCGTTGCCATGGAAACACTGAGAATTCTAACTAAATTGCTCCAGCTACATGGCTTTAATCAAGCAGCTTGTGGTCTCTGTTTTAGTTCTGATATCGTAGTCCTAGTAGGCATGGTAAATGGCCTGTATTTGATATGGCGCCTTCTAGAGTCCTGGAACCCCCCAAGGCGCCTTACAACACAATCAGTCATTCACCCATTCACACACACATTCACACACTGGTGGGGATGAGCTACAATGTAGCCACAGCTGCCCTGGGGCGCACTGACAGAGGCAAGGCTGCCGAGCACTGGCGCCACCAGTCCCTCCGACCACCACCAGCAGGCAACGTGGGTTAAGTGTCTTGCCCAAGGACACAGCGACAGCCTGAGCGGAGCTCGAATCTGCAACCTTCCGATTGCGGGGTGAGCACTTAACTCCTGTGCCACTGTCGCCCCTAGTCCTAGTAGGCATGAATTATTTATTCTTCCTGTCTGGGAGAGGCTCTGCCCTTTCCCTCCATCACCATTTATCTAGCATCGATTAACAGCGGCTGCCTTTGGACGCCCTACAGCCTCGCTTGCCACTCTTCACTTGAAGATGATTGACTACACCTGAGCATTGTTGGTGGTACCGACAATTCCTTGAGTGAACAGGTGCAATTTGTCAAGCAGGGATTTATCAGGGAAGCCTCAATGTTCTGAGCTCGCTCAGAGAAATACCCCCTGGAAACTATTACCTGAAAAACTAGTATACACTTTTTAAAACGAAAACAACGATAGTCATGTTGAGTCCAAATATTTCTTCAAATTGACAGTTTTGTTAAAAGCTAGATAACGCTTTGTCACCAGCACAACCACCAACCTTAATGTCACCGCTAGCTGACACAAACTCGAATGGTAAGTTTATTTCTAGTAAGAAAATGTGCCTCTTTCTCTTTCCTCTGTTGTTTTGTGTTGTATGTATTACACACAAGTTGTCCTCTTGCTACAAACACTTCAGAACACAACACAAAAGCAACAATATCTTTTTTACTAGGGGGCTAGAACCTGGTGATATATATACACATATTTACATATATACACACACACACACACACACACACACACATATATATATATATATATAAATATATATATATATATATATATATATATATATATTTACGTATATATATATATATTTACACATATATATATATATATATATATATATATATATATATATATATATATATATATATATATATATATATATATATGTGTATATACATATATATACACACATATATATACATACATACTTATACAGGATTTCCCCCAGAAAATGAGTTAAGCCTGGCGGCTTTGGCCGTCGGGGGGGGGGGGGGGGGGGGGGGGGGCTTTGTCCCTCGTGAGAGCAGTGCAGCCTCCGTGAGAGCTGGGGTGGAGGTGGGATGGTTGAAGTGTTATTTGGTATTTAAATAAGGACACTTGTGGTTGAAGTTTAACATTTACTTATTCAGCCAGTAACACACATACAACAGCGACAGCCGTCGCCCAGCAACCCGACTCCTTATGTATCATTCCGCGCTGTGCGCTTCCTACTGTAAAATAGACCCTATTACAACATCCCCCCGTCAGCAAAGAAATATATATTCACATTTCACATGTTACTTTAATTGTCTGTATAATAGAGTGTAAAAAATAAGTAGATACAATCTGCTGAAGCTGAGATTGGAAAACATCTAGTGATGAACAAGATTAGCTGGCTAGAGCATTTCAAACAAAGTCATTATAGTGGGCTGGTCTGCTTATGACTCTGCCACATCTAGTGCGTGTTTGTAACATGCTTTGTCTGCTTCAAGGTTTTTTTCTTCTTCAAGTTGGGGAATGGTGTCTGTTACTTGGTCAGTTTTGTATTTAACAAAATGCTGTCGCTCCCCTGGATTCGTCTCCGTGGTGTTTCTCTCCATGTCAGTCCCTTGGTGTGGTCTAAACAGCTCCCGCAGATGCCTCCTGCAGCATCTGACCTGATTTCCATTTGGAGTTTGTACTATGTAACTGCTTGGCTCGCTACACTTCTTTACAATGGTCGCTGGGTACCATGTTTTCCTTTCTGGGTGTAGTACAATCACGTGTTGTCCAGGATGGAGTGGTGGAAGTTCCCTGCCGCTGGTTTTGTCATGCTGTTCTTTCATGTTTGTGGATCTTTGTTCCAGTTGCTACCTGTGTTCCTCCTTCCCAGGCTCAGATCGACTTGGCAGCAAGGTGGTGACAGGTCTTCCGAAGAGTAGCTCTGCAGGTGATGGCAGTTTGCAGTCGATAGGTGTCGCTCTAATCTGCAGTAATGCAATCTGCAAATTTCCACCGTGTTCTAGTACCTTCTTCACTGTAGATTTAATGTGCCTCACATGTCTCTCCGCAAATCCATTACTTTTCGCATAGTGTGGTGAACTTGTGATGTACTTTATTCCCCAGTGTTTTGTAAATTCCTGAAATGGCTGTCCTGTGTACTGTGGACCGTTGTCTGTCAGGATTTCATCAGGACGCCCAGACATTGACATGTATGTTTCCATTTTTTGTGCGACAGCTCTACTAGATGCTGTGTGTATTTCATCAAGCACCGGGTATTTGGAATATCGGTCCACAGTCAGTAAAAACTGGTGGCCATTTACTTCAAACATATCTGATGCTAGTGATTGCCACACCTTTGATGGTACTTAGTGTGGGTGCAGATGTTCTTTTGGATGTGCATCTTGGTGATCTGCACATCCTCTACTGGATCTGCATGTTTTCTCCTCGTTGATTCTCATCCAGTAGACAATCTCTCTTGCAAGTTTGCGTGTCTTCTCTATTGCTTGGTGACTTAAATGTAGCTGTTCCAGGATGTTCTTGGTCATAGAGTGTGGAATAATAATCTGTCTGCCTTTGAATATTACTCCTACCTCCATTGCAAGTTCATGTCCAAGTCCATTCTTGTGTCTTTAACTTAAGCCAGTGCGAATCAAGCATCAACACCGCTCGCCCGCTATTTCCCTAATAACACACGTTGTTCGTTTTTATTTCTACACGTTTTTTTTAGTCACAAAGATTGTCAAGAAAGCATGTTTGTCGTGTTCATGTCAAATTAAACAGATCACAAAACACAGATTTACTTTATTTCGTTTTCCTCATCCAACCCCCATAAATCCCTGTGTGCCCCCCTGCAGCACTCCCGAAGGACAACAGGCAAAACAAGACAAAAAAAGTCTGACGTGTTGTGTAAAAAGTGCTATTTTTAGCATATTTTTAGGTCCGGCGTGTTGCTACCAGACGTACAGTGTGAGCGCATGACTCGTGAGATCTGCCCTGCGAGGAAGTTGTACAGTTTGAGCTGAAGCTGAGTGCTACGAGTGAAAAAGTCGCACAGTGTACGCCCATAGAGGACAGGACATTTGGACATGTGGGCATGGATAGCATCTTATCACCCTAAGCTCGTTGCTTCTCCCAGACAGTCTCTGCTGCAGGATAGTCAGGTTGGACCCCACCTACTTTACTATTGTGAGGGACAAGATCTCCACCTTCGTTACGCACAGCCCAACTATGCACGTTTCCAAGAATGAGTTTCCTCAGAGTTCTGCCTAGACTGACAGGCATGTAACAACATAGTTAGCTTAAAGCAAACAGCGCTGAAACTCGACCTCTTTCGTTATACGTCAGTGTGAATAGGTGAATTCACGTTAGTCATCGTAATAATTTAACTCACTTGTAAATGACACAAACAGCGTGTTAACGTTGAGTGGCAGCCATTGGCCTGCTGATTTGTGCTGTTACCTGGTTTGAACTAAAACCAACAAAAGACGAGAGTCGTCTCACCTTAGTTATGGGGGCTCCTTCTTTACAAGCTGCCGCTACGTCTTGGTCTGACAGACCTTTATCACCCATTGTTCTCTTTTTAAGAGGCGTTTAAAGTTGACAGCGTCGCTTCGCCAGGCTGACAGGAGGAATGTCGCTTCAAAGGAGAGCACTTCCGGTACTCACTTTTCAAAATAAAAGAACTGCTGTGTTTTTGGAGGGCCGTTTTAATATTTAATCAACCTCAAAGTGATAAGAAATGTATTTATCACTTACATAATAAATTCCACTACAAGTTGTATCCTTACATGTCGTAACTGGAAATAAAGGTATCATCAGATATGTTGTTGCTATATTATATTTAAGGATATCAATAACAACCACTAGAAAGACTTAAGTTTGAGATCTCAAAATCCGGCTTAAAAACTTAAGGTGGCCATTTTAATATTTATCAGGCAGACTAGATATGTGTTCCAGATACATATAAATCTGTTTTTCATAGTAAAAGTTAACATTCCAAGATTCCAGAAAACACAGGATCAGATGCTATTTCCTTGTGCAAGAACATACGAGTGCTTGGTCAACTTAACGGTGGATGGTAGGATTGCAGGAAAAAATTTCTGGGACTTATCCTCAGCAGTGTTCCTCTGGATCATGGGATGTTTTGGCCTTTAAACTCTACACACCCTTCTCAGAGGCAGCCAGCTGTGGGTTGATCAGACCTCAGCTTGCGTCCCAAGTCCAATTAGCCATTAAAGTGTGCAACCTGGCACACTACTTGGTGGCCCAAATGGGGTCATTCCTCTTCAGCCAGAGCCACTGGCTGCTTCTTTCTGCTGCCTCTGATGTAGCTTTGATGGCTCTGCCCTGTTTCTAGCCCATGATGCCTAGGTCCCTTAATAGTTTTGTGGTAGATGTTCCCACAGACCCTCTGCACCCGACCTCCACTGGGCGGACCACCGCATTCCAGCCACGATGTTTAGCTTCGGAGGCTAGGTCAGCATACCGCAGATGCTTCCGCTCAAAGGCCTTACCCATGAAATCCTCCCAGGGTACGGTGAGTTCGATTATGTAAACCTTCTTTATGGAGGAGGACCATAGCACCAGGTCAGGCCTAATGGTGGTGGTAGCTATCTCTGAGAGAAACACCAGTTGTTTGCCAATGTCTGCCAGCATCTTCCAGTCACGTGCTAGGCACAGCTGGCTTCTCTCTGATGATTTAGATCTGCTCTTGGTGGCTGCTGTGCCTTCACGGATGAAGGCAGTTGCCCATGGAGGTGTTGAGATGTTAGGTACTGAAAGGGCGTTGATGTTGGTAGGACATCATATGTGGCTCTGATGGAAAAGCTCAAGTTCCTTGCTTCCATGACCCATACATCCCTCCAGCACAACCTCCTCCTTTCGACACCTTCCCACCGTGTCCACAGTCTCTGTTTGCCAAGGGCGACTGCCTTGGACCACCTTGCAGATTCCTCCTGACGTTGCACCTCATCCACCACCATTTTCCTTTGTGCTGGAGCAGTAGCAGTTCTCCAGGCTGGGCAGCTAGTTTTTAGTCCAAGGCCTCCCCATCCTAGGTTAACGTTCCCCACAATGTCAGCATGTCTAAGAGCTGCCGTTGCCTCCTCTACTGCTCTTGCTGACCTCCCCTTGCGCCCGGTAACCAGGTTTGGTACATTTTCTCTGATCACCAGATCTGTGGTATCATTCAAGGTCATCTGCAGCCGTGCTTTGGCACACTTGAACTCTTCTGTAAGGCTGGTAAGTGGCAGCTTGAGGACACTATCTCCGTAGAGCCGATTCTTTGTCTACCTACAACCCACTTTGGGGCTCGGATGATAATCTCCATTGCCATGGTAAAAGCCAGGGGAGAAACACTACATCCGGCCATAATGCCTACTTCCAGACACTGCCAAGAGGTGGTAAACTCAGGTGTAGAAAAGCAAAATTGCAAGTCCTGAAAGTAGTTTTTGACAGGGTTGTGATGGTGTCCAGGATGTTAAAAAACCTAAAAGTAGTCCAGAGAACCTCATGAGGTACAGAGCCGAAGGCATTTGCAAGGTCCAGGAAAATCACATGGAGGTCTCTTTTCTCTGTCTTTGCCATTTGGATCTGGAGCCAGATCATGCTAGCATGTTCTAGGCAACTAGAAAAGCCAGATATTCCTGCTTTTTGCACGGATGTATCCACATACTCGTTTCTGTGCAGATATTCAGGTATCCATGTTAGTATTATTTCTATCCACAATGAAGAATTCAGATACATTAAATGTAATTCAAACCAATGACTCCAGAAGATGGTTTTTATTTATTTGGTTGAGGTGAAATGTGAAAGTACTGCAAGTAGATACAGCAGTAGAGACACTGGGATGTGGTAGTGAAAAAGTATAGAGAGCAATTATTTCCCAGAATATTTGTTTGAATGCTGTAAAGCATTCAAACTATTGCTATAGTGATCCTGTTTCTCTTTATAGTTAGTTAGTTAGTTAGTTTGTTTGATTGTTTGTTTATTATTCTGCTTCCATACATTTTTTGGCATTTAACTACTTCCGCAATTCTTCAACTGTTTACACAATTTTGGTATCAAAACGTTCAGCTCGTTCAGCTTATGCCGGCAATGACTTTTGGTATTAAAATTTTTTATACTTTTTGAGATATTTAGCTTTTTCTGCGATTTTTGGTCCCATTGAAATGAATGGGATTGCTCAATTTTCAGCTAAATCCTATCAATCTTTTGAACTCTTATTAAACTATTCTCTTTCAAATGCCAGCTGTTAAAACATTTCAACGTTTGAGTTTTTAATCAATGTTCAAAGATTTAAGTTTTCTGCTGTTTAGCATTTTTGTCCATTCTCCACCTATATTCTGAGCTTTATTATGCTTGTTGGTGAGTTTTGCTTCTAAATCTTTAAATGCATTCCGCTCATTTTGACAGTTTAGCTTAGTTTCAGCTTCACTTCAGCTATTCAGCAGCTTCAGCAATCAGTTTCCATATTTAGCATATGCTGCTAATTTCACAGTTCAGCTAAATGTAAAGATTAAACTGTGAAACTTGTCCTACTGAAATAACAGGTGGTTAGACTTTTTAGCTGTCCAGATTTTTATACAATGTTCACAGATTTCAGTTTTCTGCTGTTTAGGATTATTTTTCTCTATTATTCACTTACTTTCTGTGCTTTATTTGGTTGATGGTGCTTTTTGCTTCTAAGTCTTTCAAGACATTCAGCTCATTTTGACAGTTTTGCTTACTTTCAGCTTACAGTTGTTGCTATCCAGCATTCAAACAGCATTTCTGCAAGAAATACTAATTTTTCTAGTTGAACTAGTGTGCATTGCCAACATGCATAAATGTGACTGTCCTTGTTTTCTTTATGTGAACATACTTCTGAGCAGAATCCCACTTTTGGTCATTTGTAAACTTTATGAAATCTATACAGAATTTTAAATTTTATGAGCTGCAAATGAGCTATTGGTCATTGTGTATATATTTGCACATCTATGTCGGACCAAAATAAAGTCAAACACACTAATATTTCATTGGACCACCTTTAGCTTTGATTATGGCACACATTCGCTGTGGCATTGTTTCAATAAGCTTCTGCAAAGTCACCATTTATCTCCATCCAGTGTTGCATTCACGAGTCACCCAGACCTGCATTGATGATGGTCGAGTCTGACCGCTGCATAAAGCTTTCTCCAGCACATCCCAAAGATCCTCAGTGGGGTTAAGGTCTGGACTCTGTGGTGGCCAATGTGTGAAAATGTCTCATGCTTGCCGAACCACTCTTTCACTAATTGAGCCTGATGAATCCTGGTACTGTCATCTTGGAATTTGCCCGTACTATCAGGGAAGATGGAATAACCTGGTCATTCAGTAAATTCAGGTAGTCAGCTGACCTCATTCTTGGAGCACATCCTGTTGACCAACTGCAGCAAACCCAGATCAAAGCACTGCTCCCACAGGCTTGTACAGGTATGATGGGTGCATCACTTCATCTGCCTCTCCTTACCCTGATGCACCATCACTGGAACAGGGTCATCAGACCAGTTTTTAATAATGCGTTGGACAGTTCTTAACCCAATATTAGTCATTTCTACAATCTTCTTAGATGCTTTCTCTGCATGATGCAAATTAACTGACCCTTCTCAGACTAACAACTTTTCCACGACCACCAGATGTCTTTCCACATAATAAGAAATGAGAAGCAACTCATTGCACCCGTTGGGGTTAAAAAACTTGTCTCAGTAATTATCCAATAGGAGGCTCGTACCACTTAGCTCAGTAAAATCCAGGTGGTGACAAGAACTTGTTGCCATTTTGTGATTGGTAAACTGTGTACAGTCTCAACTTGTACTTTATATAATTTTTTGTTATTTAGGTGTTAACATTTTTTAAGTTTTTATGGGGGCGCTCCAAATTTATTAGTTGAATTTACCTTCTTTGCATAGAAAATATCAGCCAATTTTTTTCCTTTTTTTTATTGAGTATATGCACACACACACCTTTTGTTTTTGCTCGTCTCTCCTTTACCTTATTTAATTCCTCAATTTTTTTACTACATATTTATTTATAGACTGATGAAAGTTTGCAGACCCCATGACCACACTACCATCTGGCCAGGACAGCCATCTACTACCACTGTGAAGGGGGAGCATTGGAGTACATAGAGACCACCACCCTCTTCTTTTCTCTCCACATTAACATAGAAAGTGATCATATTGGTGTACTTGATGCTTTTAATGATTCATGTTCTTGTATTAAGTAAGTTCAGCTAGGTATATATGATAAATGTGTCCTATGTGGTGAATTCTTTACAGAAAATATAAAAATTTTATCAATCACATGTGGGTTGTGATTTAAAAAACAACTCAACACACAACAGTTTTCCACATGAGCTCCTTTATCCAATACTGTAAATGTGGAAGTGGCAGAATGTTGCACGACTGACTTTTGAAACCAGAAGTACTTAAACAGAGGAAGTAGAAGGAATTTCTAACAAAACGATTTTGGTAATGCTCATCTTCTCCAAAAGCTCAAACCCATTTCCCTTAAAGCACGACTAAAGCCGTGTGTGTAAGAAGACTCCATCTCTCTACAGCTTCCACACAGTCACCAGGATTACATAGATAAAAGATAGAAAAAAAATCTGTTTACAACAGAAGTCATGTAAAAAATAGAAACATTTTCCTTTGAAGCCCACAGGTCAGTAACCACTGTCTGGATTAAGGTCAGAAGTGAGACAGGTTAGAGGAGGCTGCTCTCTGGGAGCAGGTCTTTAGTAGCTGCGTCCGAACAGCGTATAATGCTGAGCAGGCTCCTTGCCACTGACACACATCTGACCAGGCTGCAGAGTTTTCAGAGGAGAGAAGGGGATGCAGAGGCTCTTGGCCCCCATAGACGGAGCTCCAGGCTCCAAGTCCTGGTCCCTATAGGGGGAAAAAAAAACACCTAAATTGAAGCTGAACAATAATAGAAATACATGCTGTAGTCATTTTAATGTTGAGCATTATGGCAACAAGTGATAAACCCACATTTTCCCCAGTTTTCTTCCCTTCTGTCATCACAATTAAATAATGATGTGAATTCTGACCACTAAAGTCTATAATCCGTGCTTTAGGCTTTAGCTAAACATGACGTACTTGGCTGTTGTTTTCTTAATCCAGTCTTCGCACTCAATCCCTCCACAAAACGGGATCTGGACAATCTATCAAACAAGACAGAGGTACCACAGGTGGTTTACTTTCATTAGGACGTGTGTGTGTGTGTGTGTGTGTGTGTGTGTGTGTGTGTGTGTGTGTGTGTGTGTCAGATTAGGCTGACTCACTCTGCCCTGGTCCAAGTCCTTCTGGAACTGTTCCATTGTGTCTGCAGCCACCATATGACTCTGCAGGTCATCGGAAGCTCTGGAAAACACACTTTTTATAGAACGTCTGACAGACATTTGATACTTGTAGCATGCTGAGTGGGACATCATATTTATAATGCAGCGCTGCCCCCTGTTGGTTGATCTGCAATACAACTATTTGGTCTTCTAATCCAGGTCAGGGAGGCGAGAGCAGCAGCTCCAGCTGCGTAGGAGACCACGAAGCAGCATAGAGGGTTTCTGCTGCATTAGTCAGAGTCGGGACTTTAGAGATGTTGATTTTAAAGCAGCGCGAAGTACTCTGCTTAGTTCCTTCTCCTAACACTCTGCTTCAGCAGCAACACCTCCAATTTTACAAATGCTGTTTTTGGACATCTGTCAAGATTTCTGTTAGTTTCACTTCATGTGTCACACATATTGTGTTCCTCCTGCTAAAGTGCACCCACTTTGGTGAAGAAAAGCTTATTTTTAGGATTGTAGTAACACTAAAGAGTTCCTAGCTGCAACTGTGCATCTTACTTCTTAAACAAGCTGTTCTGGATGTCCTCCAACATGGTGACCAGCTTCTTCTCCACCTCAGCCTCGGGAATCTTCACCTTTTCACCTGAGTCTCTCCTCACTGCCACACAATGCTTCTGCTGCATGTCTTTGGGACCCACTTCCAGACGCACAGGGACTCCCTGGATCGGGGAAGGAAATTACTATTAGTGTACAAAATAAATAAAAACAATATTATCCAAGTTGGTTTCACAAAAGGGTCAGATATGCGTTTTCAGCTGGCTGAGAATTACATCTACCGCCTCCGATTGGCGAGTAGAATCAGCCAGCGGGGGGTTCCCGCATGCTCGATTAATTTTCATGCTGGATGCTGTTAAATAAACATCTGTTTGTAGCACGGAGCTGCCTCTAAGTAGGAAAGGGAAAAGAGAGAGAGAGTTGTACCCAGCGAGCCGGCAGACAGCTGCTCAGTGGGAAGAGAAAGCAGTGTGTGTGTTTGTGAGTGTCCCACAGCAGCAGAGGACACAGCTTAATGAGGACACACACACAGCAGTTTAATAAAATACTGTAGTTTAGAGTCTCGAAAAACGACTCAACTCGCCCATCTTTGTTTATCTTATTATGGAGGACACCACGGACTTTCCCGCGTGTCTTAAATGCCGCCCACGGGCTTGGGGATTTCCGCATTCCTGAGAAGTCCTTCGGAACCACAGTGATCCCTCGTTTATCGCGGTAGATGCGTTCCAGACCTGGCCGCGACAGGTGAAAATCCGCGAAGTAGGGACACCATATTTACAGTGCAGTACTGTAATGTAAGTTGCAGTGGGCCGCACGGGCCGAATATCTTGCCCTCCAGACAGAACGTGAAAGCACCACCAGTAGGCAACGACTTATAAAACGATACAGTTTATTACACGATCAACAATAAGACACAACAATAAAACACTATGGCCCAAGCCCTCTCTCATAAAACCAGCTGTCCAGCATGAGTCACACAAGCAGCGGTACTTAGCTGTCTCAGAAGCGGTGACCCCCCTCCCCGGGGTCTGAGCTTCCAACGCTGTCCAACACCCCGAGGTGCAGCTTGCGAGGACGGCGGTAAGTCCACAACATGAGTCCAACTGCCTGAGTCCGTAGCGGCAGATATCGGCGTGGTCTCGGCATCCACTATGCCCAGCCCTCGCTGCCTAAAGAAGGCAACCAGCCTTCCCTCCTAACATGGGAACACTGCATGCCTGTTTAACTGTCTTCGTCGCCGGCAGCCCTAACCGACTGCGAATGACCCCACCCCCCAAAGTCCGATGCCACAATGACAGGTCGACCACGCGTACATCTCAGTAGACCTGTCACCCTTTTATCCTCCCGGCCTCGTTATCCATAACGAGGACCAGCTGGTGTCCAATCACCACACCCTCAGAGCCCGGCAGCTTCCGTCTTCTGTCCATCACACGACTATATTGAATTATCGTTTTTACTTGTTTTTTTTTATAGTTTTATTACAAAAAGTGCAGTTTATGATGAAATTGATGAAAAAAAACAGGAATTTCTTGATATTTCGCATAGAAAAATACCGCGAATCGGTGAAAAATACCGTGAATCTGCGAATTTCCCTTGAATAAGGCTCCAAAGAAAAAATCTGCAAAGTCGTGAATCCGCGATAAACGAACCGCGAAGTAGCGAGGGATCACTGTATGTGAAAACTACGCAGCACATTCAAGACCAAACTGACGCCATTTCTTCCTCTGCTGCCTGCGGACAAAAGCCATCGACATCCGGCGGTTGCTCTGACGAAGGTGGCAGTGGATGTCGAAACATGTCAGCAAAGGCAACAACAAGCCCTCATCACTCTGCACAAGGAAGAACTAAAGACAATGAAACTGGATAACCAACACTGTATGAACGTAACAAAGATAAACGAATGACCTTCAGCTCCCAGTGGTTGAACTTCCACCCTGGGGAGTAGTTCTCTCTGAGGTCCGTCTTCACCCTGACGCCAGCATCCAGCAGCCTGCTCAGGTATGTGGAGCACAGGGCTAACAGGGCGTCCTTCTCCTGCTCTGGCAGAGCTGCAGTGATCCCGCATGGGATGATGACAACCTGTGTTCGGGGAGAAAGTACTTGTATACTAAACTCTTAAACCCATTCCTGTAACTTACACTCATTTTCTAACAGAGACATAAACTGTAATTAATATTTTAACAGATTTATTCTGTGTAAGGAGAACGTCAGTGAGCTGGGTCTAAAGGAAATCTGTGAGCGACTCCTACGGCAGCATGACCATTTACCTGCAGGCAGGCCACTCTGGGGGGGAGGACGAGTCCCATGTTGTCTCCGTGGACCATGGTGAGGACGCCGATGGTCCTGGTTGTGATGCCCCAGGAGTTCTGAAAAGCCAGCTGCTTCTCACCCGGCTTCTTGGGATCCTCAAACACAATCTCAAACATCTTAGAGAAGTTCTGACCCAGATGGTGGGATGTGGCACCCTGGGACACAAATATACATCTCCATGAAAAAACAACTTCAATAAAGCTCAAAGAAAACAAATTATGAAAATTGTTAGAAGTTTCATGAAAACAGGTGACTTGTGCATCCTTGTCCAGCTCTCATGGACTCACATTCTCTGTGACAGTGGAGGAAATAAACATCCTAAACGTTTACAGCCCATTTCCATCGTGCCCACGTCGTCTCCTCCCTTACCTGAATGGCTCGACCACTAGCAGAGATGAACGCCTCCACTGTGGTTGTGTAATCTCCTCCAGCAAACTTCTCCTTCTCCGTCTTCCTCCCTTTCACCACCGGGATCGCCATCAGCTCTTCGTACACCCTGGCATACAGATCCAGGATCTGAAGCACCTACCACAGAGGAACACCACCATTAGCCTCACAGCAGCTCGACGGCTGCTTTGCAGGAGGTGGATGGAGACTAGCTTTGCAGACGTTACCTCCTCGGCTGCCTCCTCCTTTGTGGCAAACGCTGTGTGTCCCTCCTGCCACAGAAACTCGCGTGTCCTCAGGAAGGGCTGAGGGTGTTTGAACTCCCACCTCTAGAAGGAGGCACAGCAGACACCAAGAGTCACAAAAGAAAACTTCACTGTGTCTGTATGACAGAGGAAGCAGGGCGGGGCCTGCTCACTAACCACAACGTTACACCACTGGTTGAGTTTGATGGGCAGGTCTCTGTGGGACTGGACCCATTTGGCGTAGGCAGGATACATCACTGATGATAACAAAAACAAACGGATCAGGACAAATCCACCAGCAGCTTGGTTCAGGAGCTGATGTTTGCTCTCTAACCTGTCTCACTGGTGGGTCTGACAGCGATGGGCTCCGCCAGCTCGGTCTTCCCAGATCGAGTTACCCAGGCAACCTGCAACATCACACTCCGCCACTTAGGACCCTTTCTTCACTTCAGTACAGGCATCACCTTTGAGTGCCGTTTCATTTGACATTAAAAACAGCATTAGAAGTCACCTCAGCAGTAGTCAGTAATTACCTCAGGGGCAAAGTCTGCGATGTGGGATTTTTCCTTCTCCAGGGCGGCCTGAGAGACAAACATGGGGAAGTAGCAGTTCTCCACACCCAGTTTCCTAATTTCTTTGTCAAAGAATTCTTTGATAGCCTCCCAGATGGAGTAGGACCAGGGCCGCAGCACGTAGCAGCCGCTCACGTCGTAGTACTCGATCATCTCTGCCTTAGTGATGACCTGAAATGAGACGAGCGCCGCCTCAGACAAGCTGAAAAACCATTTCTTCCCCCAGAAGTCTTTCTGAGGTCTGAATCTCAAACACTGACCAGTCGATAAGACTATCCAACATGATCAAATGGCTTCTTAGCATTTCAGGACAGAATGTTGAGTATAAATAATGGTGCTGAACTTCAGATTGAACACGGAGGAAAGTATCTGGAGAAGAGACTCACCTGAGAGTACCAGTCAGCTAGGTTCTCCTCTTTCTTGGCCTCCAAACCCAACCTGGCAGAAAAAACCCAAATGAGTCAGTTTATATGAAACTGGTCATCCAAGATGGCTACGCCTTTATCCTCAGCTGCAAATCATTTGTCTACTTGACCAATCGAGGTGCAGGACTGAAGATGCAGCAGCAACCAACACGCATCATCATCGAGCCACTCAAGGCTAAATTTGTTATATTCAGCAAGCAAAGAATAAAATCATAGTTTTGGAGAGAACAGTTGTTATAAAAGATGTCTCTGAGGAACAAAAGTTATTTCCTGCACCTTTACATCTTTCACCTACTTGTCCAACCCCAGATCTCAGTAGCACAGGTGTCACACCATGAGCTGGTGAGTCCCAAACACACTCCTAGAGCCTCAGTCAGGCAGCCAACATGCTCAAAACGACGTAACACACACACACACACTTATGCTAGGCAGGCAGAATGTAGTGCTGCAATCAACACCTTGGTTTAATGTTAGCATGCTAACATTTAATTAGCGCTAAAAAGCATGACGGAGACCGTCATTCAGTTACATCCAGCTCAGTGTGACTGCGGTCCGCTGTCGAGTTAAATCAGCCCAAGTCCCAGAAGACGTCACGTTTACCCAGTGGTGCTGATGGAAAGCATCAGATGAAAACAATCGTTCACCTCAGAATAACCGAGACCAGCCAGAGCTACAATCTTACGCTTGAGCTCATGACTGGAAATGAAACAAGCACACAGTTAGTGGAGGCTGCAGCTTTGAGGCTGAACGTAAACCTTAAGCACAAACGATGCAGACATGAACTCCACCAAAGGCTCAAGACTCACCACTTTGAACAATCACATCCCTCCTCAGCAGGTAAGTCACAGCAACGCCTCCAAATAAATGATCCATCTTCTGTGTTAAAGCCAACACTCGGACAACGTGGTCGTGTTTCAACGCCGCGCCGCAGAAGCCCACTCAGAGCATCAGGAAGTTCAAATCATCACAACAACTAAACTCCAACATCAAGACTGCGCATGTCCTCCATTCAACGCCTTCAAAAGAGAGCATGCTACTGAAACCATGTATTTAATAATAAAGTCTGAGAAGGGGACTCAGGACAGAGGTTTTTATTGTCTAGCAGGTAAAACCAGCCGTAACGTGACCGTCACCCACAGCACACGTAGCTTTTATTCAGCCACAAAGATGATGTCTCTCAGCTAACGTTAAAGACCTGATTTCTGAAACGATGTCATTAGATGAATTTACACTCGTGAAAAACAGAAATAATGTTTTGTTCCTCGGCATTTTCAAATAAACCATCATCTGTTTTCCTTAAATTCAAACCGACAACCTTTAGTCCCATTTAAAGCAGGTTAGCTGGTGATGGAAAGCTAAGACACGTCAGATGTACTCCTGTCAGTCTTTAGTTTCTCACCGGGTTTGTTTTTTGGGACCTTGACCCTCCCCTGAGCCTCCTGCGCCACCGGACGCCTCTTTGCCTTGACTTGCTGTGTCTCCTTTACCCTTCTTCCCCCCTCCTCCTCCTCCTCCTCGTTTCTCAGACTTGTTCTCCCTCTCCTTGCGGTTTTTGTCTTCCCCTCCGGTGGCTCCAGCAGCAGCCACAGGCTTGTATTCTTCTCCAGTCACAGACTTGTACTTGCTCTTCAGGTCCAGAAGAGCCTTCACAGCTCCATCCACCTGCTCCTGAAACACGACAGGTATGTTGTTGTCCCTCTGCAATAATCTGATTTTAATCTCGCTCTGAAACAGAATTAGCTGTAGCTATGTCCATGTGTCCGAGCTACAGGGCAACAACCTGTGGCTGGTCCCTTACCTTAGCAGCCTTCTCCGCCTTCAGCTTTCTCACCAGCTCCCCCTGCAGGGTCACCTGTGCAAACAGTTCCTGAGCCTGTGGAGATGAACCGGACTGGTCGGGGGAAGTGCTGGCCTGGGTTTGTACAGGGCTAACTGGAGCCTGTGAACCTGGTTTATAATCCTGACCAGTCTGTTGTTTGTACTCCACTTTAAGAGCCAACAGCTGCTTCACTGCAGCATCAATCTGATCCTGGAAAACAGAGAAGAGGAACTTAGCAGGAGGAAGAGGCGAAAAATGGCTTAAAACAAGGTCAGTGGTGAAAATCTCACTTTAGGAGCCTTTTCAGCCTTTAGTTTCCTGACCGCCTCTCCTTGTTCAGCAACCTGCTCGTAGAGACCCAAGGCAGCGGGGGCAGGGTTGGGCTGGCTCTGGGCTGGAGCTGTGGTCTTCTGGACTGGAGCGGCTCCAGGTTTGTAGTCCTGACCTGTGACCTGTTTGTATTCTGCTTTGAGGGCCAACAGCTGTTTCACAGCTGCGTCAACCTGGTCCTGAATAAAGACAAACAAGCAACCTATTAGCTTTGCTTACATATATTTATGTAAACGTTTAAATAACTTGGTGATGGAATTCTATAGATGACAAAACGAACGTCAGGTCACCAATAAACTAGAATTGTGTGAAACAGGTTTTTCTTTTAAACAAGACTCTGTACCGGTTATGAGTGAGTAATGTGTTAAAGGAAATTCATTTATATTAGTTATTCCTCCTCAGATATGAAGCTTAGGGCTGGTTCTGGGTGGTGGTCCTGCTGTAACATCAGTTTCACTAACATGTTCTCAAAGCAAGCTCTTTACCAGGTGAGCTAATGGTTGTTGGTCTTTACTGAATACCTTAGAGGCTTTTTCAGCCTTTAGCTTCCTGACCACCTCTCCTTGCTCAGCGACCTTTTCATACAAGTCAGATGCAGCAGGAGCAGCGGGGGTGGGGGTGGGCTTGCTCTGGGCTGGGGCAGCTCCAGGTTTGTAGTCCTGACCTGTGACCTGTTTGTAGTCTGCTTTGAGGGCCAACAGCTGTTTCACAGCCGCGTCAACCTGGTCCTGAGGAAACGCAAACAGGGAAATGTCTGTATTTACATCAACCGCTGAGGAACGGATGAAGCTTCACAAGCAGAGCTGGGTCATGATGTGGGGGGAGACAGGGATGAGGAATTATAGGTCAAAATAGTCTCTAAAGCAAAAAAAACTTCATAATGGAAAAAAATATTGTTTTTACAATTATTTCATCACATTTCATTGTAAAATCGTGCTTTTATTTTGTTAGGTCTTCTTGAAAACACACTTCCACCTCCCTTCCAGAAGCTAAAGGCTCGTGTCGTGGAGCCACTTTAAAGACCAAGTTCACTCGTTTTTTCCACACATTCACGGTGGTCTCTGGTGTAAATGAATGCCTTGTGAGTCGATCTGTGGGACAAAAGCTCCGTTTCAGGAACTTTTAGTGAGCCAGATCAGAGTTCAGCTGAAGACGGCAGGATTCAGAGTCTTATCTTTGGATATCTTAGCGAGCAGCTGTAACCACATTAATAACGCTACATTTAACAGATGGCAGCTACTCAACAATGTTCAATAAGCCAGTTAACAACACCAATGTTTATAATCTCTTGTCCTGCATTAGCTATCATTTAATTACCTTTACTGTTTTTACATTACTTGTAGGTTTTATTATTGTAATTCTGATATTTCTGCACCACTTGCTTGTTTTTTATTGTATATTAACAATTTAAAAGGAGCATTTTAGGGTGTAGCCGTTCAAATTTGGTTGTTATACAACGTCAACAAAGGTGTTTCTGATCTTGCCTCGGATTGGCTAACAGCCACAGACTCTGCTCTGCAACGTTGATGTTTAACCTCCACAAACAACACAACCCTGAAGGAGTTCTGCTGTGTGGTGAAGTTGCTAATGCTAACACTTAGCTTCTACTAGCCAAGACGTTCTCTGCCGTTTCCTGGACGCTAAACCAACAACAGCCTTCCCTGTCGCAAGCAAAGGTCGACGGGTCCACGAATGTTAATTTTCAGTGCGACGTAGATCTGTCGGGCTTTTCTAATCCAACAACTTCACAGTTTATTTTTCATCAGAAGCTAATGCAGGAGATGGTGTAGGAGACTATTTTTCTGTTCAGCCTGCATGAAAAACTCAGAGTGTCCGATCATATTTAAAAACCGGTTTCTCAGTGAACTAGGTCTTTAGGAATCAACACATAAATTAGGGCAAGCTAACTTTAGACCGACACATCTCAAAGCCTCTTATTTCTACTGTGATCCTCACCGGCTCTGTGACGCCACCAGAATGAAATGTTTTTATGTGCCTCATAGCAGTTTTCCTCTGAGTTCTTAACAAAACAGACACAAAGCAGCTGATGTTTTGCTTAAACTTAACGACTCAGTCTGGTCTCCTAAACCAAAAACCTGTTTCCTTAGAGATCATTTAGTCTTTACTAATGACAAAACACATCCTACTGGTGAGCAACACTTCTCTAAAGACAATCATTCAAAGAGCACACTATGAATGATAGTGATGGTTTCACTCATGATTTGGCCCTAAAAGTTGATTAATTATCGTTTTATTAACGCTTAACTGGTGCTTTTAGTCATTAGTAAGCACATCTAATTTTTTTGTATCCCAATACCTTGGGGGCCTTTTCAGACTTCAGTTTCCTCACAACTTCCCCCTGTTGTGCCACACGCTCATACAGGTCCGAAGAAGAGGGAGGTGAGGGGGGAGTCACGGCGGTGGGAGCCGAGGGAGTGAGCGGGACCATCCCTGGTTTGTAATCCTGACCGGTGAACTTTTTAAACTCCGCCTTGAGAGCGAGGAGCTGCTTCACTGCAGCGTCAATCTGCTCCTGGGGCCAGTAGAAACGATTTTACAGGCGTGGGCTTTACAGCTAAACTGGGCTCTCATGCAGGTGGAGCGAAGGAATGAATGGAGGCTGGACAAGTCATGCAGGACATGAGCGGCAAGACTTTTGACGCATGAATGGAAATGGAGAGGGGAGAATGAGCGGACAAATCACCACATAGATGTTCAGATGTACCTTAGGTGCCTGCTCTGCTTTCAGCTTCTTCACCAGCTCCCCCTGCTGACTAACACGGGTGTACGGACAGGAGGAGGAGTCCGACGGTGGGGCTGCTGTGGATGCTGGAGAAGTGGGAGGAGCCATACCAGGTTTGTAATCCACACCTGTCAGCTGCTTAAACTGAGCCTGCAGAACAAAACAAAAAAATGAATCAGATGCTTAAACGTTTCCGCACATCCACCTAAACCATCCAACTTCTTCAGCTGAAGCTGGGATACCTTAAAGGAAAGCAGCTGCTGAACTGCCTTATCTACTTCCTCCTTAGGAGCTTTGGCAGCCTTCAGGTTACGGATAGCTTCCCCTTGTGCCACTATGCTGGCAAACAGGTCAGGTGCTGAATTTGAAGCTGAAGCAGGAGCAGGAGCTGAAGCAGGAGTAGGAGTTGGAGCAGGGGCAGAAGGAGCTTTGGTTGTGGGAGCAGACTAAAATAATAAAGAAAATCTGATTAGTACAGTTAAACCCACATGCATCTCCAGAATCATCCCCAAGTTAACCACCTTACAGTTGTAACAAACATCCACTAATTCAGGAACACTCATCAAAACTCAAGCATCAACTAAATTCAGATGCCCCCTCCTATGAAGACTCACGGCGTTTATGGAGGCCTGGCTCTTGCTCTTATCCTTAGATCCAGTTGTTGGCATCTCCTTTGTGTGACCATCAGGAATGTAGATCAGGACACAAGGACTCTCCTTGCAGCTGTTGGGACTGCAGAACCAAACACAGCTGAGCACAGCTGGTGGGATATTTGCAGCAGAGAGCAGTGAAAATGGTGCATGCTGTTCTGGTCACCTGACTGGCTCGAAGGGCTGGTCACAGATGTAGAAGCCCCGCCTCTGAAGCTGAATGATGTCACCTTTCTTTAGGTTTTTCAGACACGGATCACCAAGCATCTTCTCCTCCAGCTGAGCACAAGACAGTCAGAGCACCATGTTAATCTCGTCAACAAGCAAGAAGGGAAAATGAGCTTTAATTCTAAATTAACAAAAAAGAAGATTCTTTATTAAGCTTTCAAGCAAAGGTAACCCAAGCACACTTTAAATAAATTAAGCACATCCAGCTGTTGTGACCATTTACTTTGGATCTAAAAATTGCTTTTGGGGGCTCGTCCAGGATTCACAACCATGGGGGGGGGGAAATGAATGCACCTAAGATACACAAATGAATGAGTTACACACTTCTTTACCCTCTCACCAAATGGGACACACACAGCACGACGCTCACCTTGCTTTTCTTGTTTATGTACTCTTTGAAGTCGTCATCTTTGGTGATGACAGCTTTAGAGATGAGTGGCTGGTAGTTGATGCAGATGGTGGGCAGCAGAGGAGCACTGTCTGTCTCAGCCAGCCATGTGATCTTTGTTGTTTTCTTAAAATCTTTGTTGTCCAGGTCTAGACGAGCCTCCATGGACATGACCTTACCGTCAGCCCCTCTTGAGAGGACAGAAAACAGGTGAGCATGTGAGGCATGGAACTACACATCAGGGAGTTTAACAAGGAAGATCAGCTGATTAAACATACTTGTTAATCTTTGTGATGATGAGGTTGCCCCAGTTGATAAAAGTGACCACCTCTCCCTCTTTGAAAGTCTCAGCATCTGCTCCTTCAACCAGAACTCTGGGTCCGTACCACACCTCCTTCATCCCGACCTCAGTGTTCTGAACACAGAATCAGCAGAAACACTAAGGTGTTTGTAACTTCAATTCAATTCAAGTTTATTTATAAAGCGCCAAATCCCAATGAGTTGTCTCAAGGCACTTAACATAATAAACATTCCAATACAGGTCAATTAATTAAGCCAATCAGAAAAAAGTTTCCTAAACAAGGAGCCCAGCAAATTGCATCGAGTCACTGACTAGTGTCAGTGACTATACAGCAATCCTCATACTAAGCAAGCATGCAGCGACAGTGGAGAGGAAAACTCCCTTTTAACAGGAAGAAACCTCCAGAGGATCCTGACTCAGTATAAGCAGCCATCCACCACGACTCACTGGGGATCCAGAAGACAGAGCACGCACGCACGCACACACACAGTAATGTTTCTATGGTTACTTTGTGATTTCTTACTAAATATTCTATTTGGTGAGAGATAAACTTTATTGTATTTATCCTAGTGAATCTATAATTAAACGGGTAAACTAGTAGTAGCACATTCAACGTCAAGGAAAGTAAAGTGTTATCAGGAGAGGGAGAATGATTAAATGGTTAGCAACAGTGTTCAAGACGATGACCCCCTCTATGAGGCCACCACAGCTCAGAAGAACATCACTGTAGCTTCTTCTGGGGAGAAAAACACTTAGAGAAAAAATAAAGTTAACAGCTGAAATAGCAGGAAATAATACAGTTAAAGAGCAGATTGTAGAAGAAAGTAGTCGAGTGTGGAAAGTGGTCAGTATGTGCTCCAGCAGTCTAAGCCTATAGCAGCATAACTACAGAGATAACTCTGGATAGCCTGGCCTTATAGATGGAGGCATGTTGGAGGCAGGGCAAGGGAGAGCCATCTTTACCGACTGTACACTCCACCTCCCTCTACTCCCCCACTTGTCTAGATCTGGGCTAACAGATTTTAACCATAGGCCCTATCAAATAAAAAAGTTTTAAGCCTAGTCTTAAAAGTAGACAAGGTGTCTGCCTCACGGACTAAAGCTGGGAGTTGGTTCCACAACAGAGGAGCCTGATAACTAAAAGATCTGCCTCCCATCTTATTTTTAGATATTCTGGGAACCACCAGTAAACCTGCAGTCTGAGAGCGAAGTGCTTGGTTAGGATCATATGTAGGGCTGAATGATTCAGGAAAATAATCTAATTGCAATTTTTTTTTCAATATTGCAATTGCAATTTAATTCACGATTATTTTCTCAAGGGGCTTTTCTCATTTTTCAACTAACGGAAGCAAAAAAATATCTATGTAACTTACTGAATATAAACAAGTTTATTTGTCTACAAGTTTATCTGCATATCATGTCAACAAGTTTATTTGTCTACATAAACATAAACACTCACAGTAAATAAAAAATTTGGTATTTGAAGGTGCAATGCTTTGCAGCCAGGAGTATGTCCCTTGAAGGAGCATAGGTATTAGCATCAATTGCAAAAATTGATTTGCAGGAAAGAAGTGTGTCCCATTTATTGAAGTCTTTTGTGTTTAGAGTTTTTGACGTCTTGTCCATGCAGAGCTTCCGTAGTTCAGTTATGTTTATAGCTGCTAGCCAAATGTCAGTGGAGTTGAAGTCTCTTACTGTTTTCTAGCTTTACTAAAATATCTGTCTGTACTTATTTGATTAATGGCAGTTTTTACTTTTTATTAGACTCCAAATGTAATAATTTGACACGTTCCTAATTCGTAATTTGTAAGAATGTAATCGACAATATTAGCATTAGCATTCCTATGGATTTTTCAATGTATATTAGCATTGTGCTAACCATTCACTGCCAGTCAAATTGCAGCCTTTGCGATTAGAAAATCTCCTTTTGTCACATCGCAATTTAATTGCATATGCAATTAATATGGAACATCAGGTCACAGATGTATGATGGAGCTTGATTGTTAAGAGTTTTATATGTGAGAAGGAGGATCTTAAAATCTATTCTGAATTTAACAGGCAGCCAATGTAGGGAAGCTAAGATGGGAGAGATATGATCTCTTTGTAATTCTCATCAGAACTTTAGCTGGGGCATTTTGGACAAGTTGAAGACTTTTAACTACATTCTGTGGACTTCCTGAGAGTAATGAATTACAGTATTCCAGTCTTGATGTAATAAATGCATGAACTAGTTTTTCAGCATCACTCCTGGAAAGGATGCACCTAATCTTAGCAATATTCCGGAGGTGGAAAAAGGAAATCCTACAAACCTGTTTAACTTGGGATTTGAATGACATGTCCTGGTTGAAGATAACACCAAGGTTCTACTCTGTTCTCGGAGACTAATTTAATGCCATTCAGGTCAGGTGATTGACTAAGCAATTTCCTTTTCTGAATTTCAGGTCCAAAGATGAGAACTTCGGTCTTGTCTTGATTTAAAAGCAAACAGTTTTGAGTCATCCAAATTTTTATGTCGTCAAGACAAGCCTGTAATCTACTTAACCGATTAGGTTCATCAGGGTTAATGGATAGATACAACTGAGTATCGTCAGCATAAGAGTGGATGTTTATCCCATGCTGTCTAATGATTTTACCAATTGGAAGCATATACATATAGTAAAAATAATTGGTCCAAGCACTGACCCCTGTGGTACTCCACAAGTAACCCTGCCTGGAGTATGAAGTATGAAGAAGATTTTTCATGTACGTTTACAAAATGAAATCTGTCAGACAGGTAGGATTTAAACCAGCCTAGTGCTGTTCCTTTGATCCCTACAACATGTTCAAGAATTTCTAAAAGAACATTGTGATCAACTGTGTCAAAAGCAGCACTGAGATCTAACAAGACTAGAACAGACACAAGATTCTTATCTGAGGCTATGAGAATATCATTTGTAACTCTCACTAACGCAGTTTCAGTGCTGTGATACTCTCTAAAACCAGACTGAAATTCCTCAAACAGAGCATTAGTGTTTAAATGCTGACATACTTGGATGGCCACTATTTTCTCAAGGACTTTGGATAAAAATGGAAGGTTAGATATTGGTCTATAATTCACTGGGTCATCTGGATCCAGAGAAGGCTTCTTAAGTGAAGGTTTGATTACAGCAAACTTAAAATCTAGTGTTACATACCCATTTACTAAGGATAGATTGATTATATCTAGAATGGGGGCAGTAACCATAGGAAATACATCTTTAAATAATTTGGTTGGGATTGGATCTAAAATGCAAGTGGAAGGTTTAGATTAAGCTAATATTTTTGATAACTGAAAGCTCAACTGGGTCAAAACGGTTCAAGCACAGATGAGGTTCTACAGTTACCTCAGATGCTGCCTCACTTAAGCTTGGTTTATGCTTGACGCATTTACTTTCCGCTTGGTGATGGGACTCGCGGATGGAACGCGCTTCACAACTTGCAGCGTTTATGGTTCATGCGGCTTGTCTCTGCGGTGAGCCAATATTCTCCCAAACTGAATGGGGCAGCATGGAGCTCTACGGCATGCATCCAACATTACACCATAGTAGAAGTAAAAATTACTGTTGCATTCCAGCATTTTTTAACAGCGTCCTCGTCTTTTCCGACAGTGCGAGCTATTTCTCTCCAAGAATTATTAACAACATGTTGATCACGGTGATCTTTGAGAGCTGAATCATACAAATGTCTGTATTTACGAACCTCTGCCATACTAGTTCTTGCCAGTCCACCATGTTTTTCCGCGTTGGACTGTCCGCGTGGTTAGAAAATTTCCTAGGTGCGCGGTGCAGAAAGTTTGGGCCGTGCGGAGGCGCGGTGGAGGGGCGTGGTTGTTAAAATGACGCAATTTTGCCGCGCGGAGCCGTGCGAACCTCGCAGACCCGTCAAGCATACACCAAGCTGAGGAAGAAGAAATCGCATTAGGGAGGATGCTAATGATTTTGTTTCTAACGGAATAAATTTTACTCGTGAAAAATCCCATAAAGTCGTTGCTGATGAGGGCTAAGGGAATAGATGGTTCAGAGCTATGATTCTGTGTAAGTTTGGCAACTGTACTGAAAATAAATTTTGTATTATTCTTATTCTCTTCAATTAGCGATGAAAAACTAACAACAATACCTAGATGCTCCTGGGTTGATTCCGAAGCAGCTTGAACACAGAAAACTTTCACTGAATTCAGCTTCAACATGAAAAATCTGCACAGCTCAGATCAGACATGCCTAACTCAAGGCCCGTAGGCCACATCGAGCCCCCTTCACAGAGTTGTCCAGCCTGTGTGCCCCTATTCTAACGATGCGTAACAAAGATCACCAACCTTTGGATGTTTAGCCACTTCCTTCATCTCCTCTGATGCCTCTGGGACAGAAACGGGAACCACGTAGGAGCTGGACAGAGCCGTGTACCTGGGAGCTACTGGGTCAATAACCTAGCACACAAAAATAAACACACACACACACATTTGTGAGAAACATGGAAGAACTACCCTTTATAAAAGTATCCTCACAGAGAGAAAGTTAATATGATAGGAAAAAAGCGGGAAATGGTGGAAATAAAGCTCATCTGAAGATAAACACAAAGAAAAACCTGTTTGGGAAGTCAGCCCAGCTTGAAAAGTGATGAAGAACGAGAGCAACACAAGAGGACCGAAGAGCTGATCTCATGAGTCAGATGGGTCTGTTTGGAGCTGAGAGGCACAAGCTTTGGTTCAGCTGATCATTCGGTCCACTTCCACTATTTTACCAGCCAGCCTAAACGTTAATGATGCCTAAATGACTGGGACAGAAAACACTGAACAGCAAGAGTAACACACTTTACCTCGGCCTCAAGTAGAAGCAAAGAAATAGAAATTTAACACAGACTAGCAGATCATACAGCCCCTGTACGACACCAGCAATCCCACTCGTGTTTACTTTTGAGGTTTTAAATCAGGCACTCGATCACGAATCATCTTCAATCTGGGTCCATTAATGGGGTTCCTTGCTTTTTGGTGTGGAGGATCCTGAGTCAGATGGCTTTTTAACACTAGGAAGTGTGTGAGAGTCAAGAGTCAGAAGACGGACTTCTTTATAGAATATTACCTTCATCAAAAGGTGCCTGAACTTAAATGATTTCAACGGTTACCTGGAACACTGTAGTTATTATGCTTCACTGTTGGGTCAGCAGAGTCCTGGTGACAATTTGCTCATCTCTAAACTGTTGGTTTTGGGTCCTCCGCTCCAACCCCATTTAGAAGGTTTTGTGCATTTTGTTATTGAAGGTGCAGTAGATCTTTTTCTGGAGTATTTTTTGCAACCACTTAATTAAATGGTAATTTAAAAAATGAATAATTGTAATAGTTTCTAAACCCTACAATCCAAGAAAAACCTCATTCAATCATTGTGAACGTCTCAATCTTCATGATTGGATTCTGATTCATCCAAACCGCCCTCTGACCATCCCTCCCCCCTTTGCCAAGATCACTCTTTGTACATGATTTGTGCGTTCTTAGCTTGGAGCAGCAGAACAGGAAGTGGAGCCAGAGCCGGGCTAGCTATATTGGGTAGCATACTAAATTGGTATATGATTACTGTATGTAGGTGTGTTTTGTTAGGAATTATGGCTGAAAGGGTCCAACAATGGATCAGATATGTAAGTAAACATGTTTTTATGGTTGACGGCATTTGTTGTGTCCTGCATGTTCCTGTATTCTGAAGGTGTGGGTTAGGGGGAGGAGGCTGAAGAGGGGGTTGGGTTTTAACTGTGGTTTTTCTAATAAAAATGGCTTTTCAAGGAACTCCTGTGTACCTTTAATGTAGAGTTGTGATCTCCATCACTGACTGGTGCAAGGCCAACGCAACAATTCATAATTTACTCTCAAACGTCAGCTGTTGCTTACTTTTGTAATGACTTTCGCTATCAAAACACCCATATTCTGGGAGGGTAACAGTTGGAAACTAACCACAGAATGCCACACAGTTTCTCTCTAGACAGAATGCATTCTGTATGAATAGTGTTTGGTAGTTTATGGCAAATCAAAAGCTGTATTTATGCAACACAGAATCTCCTTCGAAGTAATAACTTCATTCTAAACGAATATAATCATGTTAAGTTCTGAAGTGCCTCCTGATTCTTGTAGGTTCGGCTGGTAAAATACTGCAGACTGTAGGTGGACTCTGGGTAAAAGAAGCGCATGGCCAAAGCAGGGTGGGTCAGAATGAGGAAGAGGAGGACGTGGCGGAGGAATACCTTCAGACAGCTAACTGGCAGCTTGGAAACAGAAGAGTGAGATGCTGTTGAATGTCAGGTACAAGGAGGGAGGAACAGGGTGAGGAAAGAGATAAAGACATTTACACAGAATGGACTCAGTTCCTCCCAGGCATGAATGTTACCTCATCAAAACATCTCTAAATCCTCTGACTGAGCTTTTCTTTTTCAATAAAAACACGACCAGCAAAATGGCAAAGTGCAATTATTGTGATGCAACCAACGCAGCCCCTTCGGCACACAAGGAATGAAGAGATGACGCAGAAGAGTGACGATGTATCAGGGTGGTGATGGTAGCTAGGGAAGACTGGAAACGATTAGACCACAGTAAAAACTCAGGTGTGTCTCATAGAATCAGCATCACAGGTGTCTTCACCAGGTGTAATCAGTATGCCTGTTTAAAGGCTGTAGTCACAGTGCTATTTGGTATCTGGGTGTGTACCACCCTGAGAATGGACCACAGAAAGCTAATTCTGTTCTTAAAGTGAGGGTGAATGCATGGGCGGAGACATATTTCATCCGCACTTCCTGTTAGGAAAACACTTCTGAAAGAGGCGTCTCCTGGCGGACCGAGAGAGCGACACTGAGGCAGTGATAGACCGCACCCCCCCCCAACCCCCCGCGTGTGCTGTCGGAGTTTCTAAGTCTAAAAACAAGTCGTTAACGAGTGCGTGCATGCAAGCACGCACTCACACAACACTTACCGCTCAGGAGAAGAGCAGACAGATTCTGCAGCATTCTGGAGGATTTCCTGTTAAACGCGATCATTAGATGAAAAGGGGGAGGAGGGCATTTTATTCAAGGAGGCGAGCGGCTCAGAGCGCCAACGTATCATGTCGGCAGGTGAGTGGCTGAGCCAGGTGGAGGTACGGCTGCTTCACCTGGAGACCAGTGCGGTGCAGCTACGTAGTAATTTGCTTTTTCAGCGTAGCCATCAGCCACAGCTGGTTCTACATAAATGTGGAGCAGAGTTTTAACCTGAAGATGGAGATAGAATTATGGTTTTGGGCTGAAATATTACATTTAGAGTAAGTTGCACTAAACTGCCACACTAATGATTACACGTGTGTACAGCACCATTAGACACTCATCTATACAGGTTGTCAGCAAAAAAAAAAAGTTAATTTAGGCGTTACTTGCTCTTTAAGTCAGGGAAACATGGAGGCTCGGTTCGGTTCTGGTTCTGCTTTGATACATCTGGACCAGGGAGTCCTGATCATGGTTCAATGAAATCTCAGGACCGTCAAGACCTTCTGGAGCTACATGTGCTGATGAGAGCCAGAAAGCTTGGTCCCAGTCGTAGGTCATGGGTCATCCAGCAGAAGAAGGAGCCAAAACAGATAAAAACACCCTGAATGGATCAGATCCAAACGCCGGCCTGGTTCTATACGAGTCCTGATCCTTAAGGACCCTTCAGACCTTACACAGCTGGAGCAGTTACCTCATGAGGACAGGGTCAGAATATAACTTTAGTCCAGACCAGGGGGGTATTCCAGAGAGCTAGATTTCCCCCAAACCAAGTTTTCTTGTAAGATTCCCAGTTTTACTGCCCCTAAATCAGGTTCTACCAACTAGCTAGCCTGAACCCCCTCCCAGTCAACATGGTAACACATGCTGGAGAAAAAAACCTGCAAAAGTATTAATAAATGTGGAGTTCTAATTGAATTTACATCTTAACATGTTTTTCATTTAACCTTCACTTGCAGCCAGGAGCATTTCATGCTCCTGATGTCAGCATTATTAATAAGTACAATTATACATCAGCCTTTGTCTGGGATGGACCCATCTAATGCACATGCTGTCCTCTTCATAAATATGTTAAAATAGCCTTAAACAACCTGACAGCTGCTAAAATAATACATATGTAAAAGGAAATACTTTATTAATGTGACTATATACTTACTCTGGTCACATGTGGCAAACACGGTAATATTTGTAATAAAAAACATATGTGATGTTTTTTCCTTGGTGTGTAATATGTATATTTGTGACAAAGGGTTTACAGCGTTAACTTTAGGGTCACGTGACCACAAATGTATATTCCTAAAACTCACAGCCGCTCAGCAAAAACAAAGTCCGTCAGTCTCTAAACATCCAGACTCTGGAACTGAACACGAAAACGACACAAATGATGTAAACTTTAATAAAATATGTGGAGAAACAAGAGCTGGAGCGGACTTCCGGTGTTGCCATGACAACATGTAAACTCTGCGCGTTCTAACTAAATAACGCCAACTACACAACTTTATTCAAATAGCTCATGGTCTCTATTTTAGTTCTGATATCTTAGGCATGAATGAATAACTATTGCTCCGTCTGGATGAAGAAAGAGGCTCTGTCCTTTACTTTGATTTTCATTTATCAAGTATCGATTAACAGGGGCTGCCTGTGGACGCGCATTGGCCTAGTCTGCCGCTCCTCGCTTGGATTAGAGGGGATTGAATCCACCTGACGATTGTTTGTGGAGCTGGTGAAGCCTGGAGGGGAGGGGAGTGCTTTGTCAAGCAGGGATTTATCAGGAGATGTCCGATGTTCTAAGCTCCATCCATCCATCCTTCCATTCTCTTCCGCTTATACAGAGACGGGTCGCGGGGGCAACAGCCTAAGTCAAGAGGCCAAGACTTCCCTCTACCCAGCCACTTGGGCCAGCTCTTCTGGGGGTGTTCCCCGGCCAGGTGAGAGACGTAGTCCCTCTAACGTGTCCTGGGTTTCCCTTTAGGTCTCCTTCCAGTTGGACGTGCCCAAAACCCTCAGCAGGGAGGCATCCAGGAGGCATCCTAACCAGATGCCCGAGCCACCTAAACCGGCTCCTCTCGATGTGGAGAAGCAGTGGGTCTACTCCAAGCTCCTCCCAGATGACCGGCCGCTTGTATCCGCAATCTAGTTCTTTCGGTCACTTCGCCTTCTGGCTCAGCTCTCTCTTCACCATGACAGACCGATACAACGCTCGCATCACTGCAGATGCAGCACCCATCAGCCTATCGATCTTGCGCTCCAGCTTTCCCTCACTCGTGAACAAGACCCCGAGATACTTAAACTCCTCCACTTGGGGCCGGACCTCATCCCTGACCCGAAGAAGACATTCTACCCTTTTCCAACTTAAGACCATGGTTTCGGATTTAGAGGAGCTGATTCTCATCCCAGCTACTTCACACTCGGCGAACGTTGGAGATCACGTTCTGATGAAGCCAACAGGATCACATCATCTGCAAAAAGCAGAGACCTGATCCTCAGGTCACCAAAGCGAACCTCCTCAACAGCTTGGCTCAGAAATCCTGTCCATAAAAGCTATGAACAGAATCATTTCAAAGGGCAGCCTTGGCGGAGTCCAACTCTCACTGGGAGCGAGCCCGACTTACTGCTGGTGTTCCGACTATCCGTGCTACTCGTCGATATGTGCTACTTTGGAAAAATGTGCATGCGCAGACTGATTATGACGTCACAGGCTGTTTACCTAAAGAGATGCTTTACCTCTGGAAGTTGTTATATTGCTGCTTGTTGTATGTTTACCTGCCAGTTAGCTTGTAAATGGTTTGTAAAACATCATTATTACGCTGTAAACAAGAGCTTTCTCCCATTGTTTACGGTCATTCATGGAATCATGACAAACACGGTCTTTTTCATAAATAAATCACAGCTAACCGTTGAGCTAATAATTATTCTACAGCTGTGTATTTTTGAGTAATATCGCCTATTTAAAATAAACCATACATAATAAGCATGTAAACAAGAGTGAAACTGTCGTAACACGCTGCGGTGGGAATATTCTACGAGGAGGCACATATAGTCAGAACACCCGCCATGCAGACCAAGCTCTGACACCGGTCATACAGGGACCTAACAGCTTGTATCAGAGGGCCTGGTACCCCATATTCCCGGATTACCACCACAGGGTGCCCCAAGGGACGCTCCAAATCCACAAAACCAGCTCAGTGGCCTAGTGGTAGAGTGTCTGCCCTGAGACTGGGAGATGCTGGTTCAAATCCTGATCGGGTCATACCAAATACTTAGAAAAAAATGGGACCCAATGCCTACCTCGGTATTAAATGATAAATGACCCACACTTGAATAGCACCTTTCAGAGTCACGACTCCAAAGCGCTTTACACTACAGTGCATCATTCATCCACTCACACACACATTTACACGCCACCAAATAATTCCTGAGCGCGGCTGTCTGCAGCTCACTGCGGCCCCAGGGGATGGATCAAATGCGGAGAACAATTTTTTTTGGAACCTTCTTGTTTACGTTTGGATTTTCTGGGCTAAGACCCATTTGAATTTTAGTATCTTGACCTTTTGAGAAAAAGAAACAAAAGTTAAAAAACGCCTAGAAGAAAATCTTGGTTCTATTTATCATTTGTGTCACCCGTCCTCCATGTTACCCCGGGTCTAGACGCCTGGTTTGTAACATCTGTTTAAACATTATTCTTTTAACCACAATTCAAAAACAATATTTTACTTGATTTTCTGAACTGCTGCTTTCTCTTTTTAAAATTTTTTTACAGCTTCAGAATAAAACCTCAAATGTGTGACAATAAAAATAAAGACCTTTTATTCCATTCTAGCACTAGTGTGTTTAACAAAAAAAATGTGTTTAGTGAGTTTTCAGGTACAGTGTGAGGAGCAGGATTACAAATTACAAACATATGTGGGATTTTCTGTGTTTGCAACATTTTTACGACATCTTGAAATGGAAACCGTCAGATCTACTACCTCTGGCAAAAATATTATTATATCCTCATTATATGTACCGACATACACTCACCAGCCACTTTATTGGGTACACCTGTCCAACTGCTCGTTAACGCAAATGACTAATCGGCCAATCACATGGTGGCAACTCAATGCATTTCGGCATGTTGACATGGTCAAGACGTCCCACTGCAGTTCAAACCGAGCTTCAGAATGGGGAAGAAAGGTGACTTAAGTGGCTTTGAAAGTGGCATGATTGTTGGTGCCAGACGGGCTGGTCTGAGTATTTCAGAAACTGCAGATCTTCTGGGATTGTCATGCACAACCATCTCTAGGGTTTACGGAGAAGGGTCCGAAAAAGAGAAAACATCCAGTGAGCGGTAGTTCTGTGGGTGAAAATGCCTTGTTGACGCCAGAGGTCAGAGGGGAATAGCCAGACAGGTTCTAGCTGATAGAAATGCAACAGTAACTCAAATAACCACTCTTTACAACCAATGCATGCAGAAGAGCATCTCTGAACCCACAACACGTCAAACCTTGAAGCAGATGGGCAATAGCAGCAGAAGACTACACGGGGGCTACCATTTGAAACAGGCTCACCAAAATTGGACAATAGAAGATTGGAAAAATGTTGCCTGGTCTGATGAATTTCCATTTCTGCTGTGACATTCAGATGTAGGGTCAGAATCTGAAAGCAAGGATCCATCCTGCTTTGCATCAACGATTCAGGCTGGTGGTGGTGGTGTCATGGTGTGGGGGACATTTTCTAGGCTCACTTTGGGCCTCTTAGTCTTAATTGATCATCGTTGCAACACCGCAGCCTACCTGAGTATTGTTGCTGACCATGTCCATCCCTTTATGACCACAGTGTACCCATCTTCTGGTGGCTACTTCCAGCAGGATAATGCGCCACGTCATAAAGCTTGAATCCTCTCAGGCTGGTTTCTAGAACATGACCATCAGTTCACTGTACTCAAATGGTCTCCACAGTCACCAGATCTCAAACCAATAGGGCACCTTTGGGATGTGGTGGAACGAGAGATTTGCATCATGGATGTGCACCCGACAAATCTGCAGCAACTGCTGATGCCATCATGTCAATATGGACCAGAATCTCCGAGAAATGCTCCCAGTACCTTGTTGAATCGATACCACGAAGGATTATGGCAGTTCTGAAGGCAAAAGAGGGTCCAACCCGGTAATAGTACGGTGTATCCAATTAAGTGGCCAGTACATGTGTTTTAGTTTTAACCAGGGGCGGCGTTAGGCCTGGCTACTTGGGCTGAAGCCCCGGATGTTTTATGAAAAGCCCCGGATCTAAATCGTGGAAGTAACATGCAGTACCAAAGTCCAACAGAGAGGGAGCAGCTGGCAGTAGTTTGTATACAGCCTGCCTGAAACGCATGAGTGAAGATGGACATAAGGACGTTTTTTAGACAAAAAGTACAACGACAGAACCCCAGCTTTGATGAGACTGGTGCTGTCTCAGGTTTGTGAGTCTTATTTGAAAATATTTGTTGTGCTGCTGGTTTGCCTAAAGTTAGCTTATCAGGTAAAGTTGATGGAGAAAGAACGGGAATATTTACTATCATCTCACACTAAACACTAACAGGAACAATACTCTGCCCTGAATATGCTTAATATGTAGCTTCAGATTAAAAATTATGTGGTACAAGACAAATACTGTATATATATGTTGACTAGTGCGTGTCATGTGTGTGTGTGTTAAGCCCCGGATCTTCTTCAGTCCTAAATCCGCCCCTGGTTTTAACCTGACATTAAGAATGAGCAGCAAGGACAACTTAAGCCAATACTGATGTCCAGACTATTTGAATGAGGTGAAATGGACGTGTGACATGAAATGAGACAACGGTTCTGTCTAGAGGCATAAAGAAGGATGAAGAGAAAGTTGCAGAAAAGCAGGTGATGGCAAATGAAATCATGTCACAGAAGCCATGCTGGCGGTGAAGCTTTGAGATCATGTCTGAAATGTTTCTGGTTATGGCTGTCCTAACACTGAGACGTGCATAAAACACTTAAAGGTGCATGAAGTAAGAATTACACCCTGTGGTCACATTTGGGTACTGCAGTCCACGTATCACAACACATAAGTGAGGCCTAGTCCACACGTAGCCGGGTTTTTTAAAAACGAATATCCGCCCCTCCAAAAACTTGCATCCACACCACCTCGTTTAAAAAAAAAAACTATCCACACGTACCCTGATAAATACGTTGTTAAGGACATGCCAGACCTGTAGGCGGTAGTACTTCCCCCGTTCTTAACCTCGTCCTTCGTCTGTGGTCTTCCACAAGGAGCAGTAATTCCGCTTGCAAAAACAAACAAGCAAAAAGCGCTTGGACAATTGATAAAGCGAGCGCAGCTCTGAGGGCTTCCATGATGCCGGCTAGTGTAAACACAGGTCGCACACGTGATGTCAGCATTTTTTTGTCGTGGAAAGTGACGTTGCGGACCTTAAAACTCCGGTTTTGTCCGTCCACACGCAGACACCCAAAACGGAGAAAACGCAGATCTTCACTTTGGCCGGAGTTTTTTAAAAGATCCGTTTTCGTGTGAAAAAACTTCGTTTTCGTGTGGATGACAGGCCAAGACGTAGAAAAATATCTATGTTTTGGCAGATCCCCGGCTACGTGTGGACAGGGCCTGAGTCAGTGACCAGCTGGCTGAGCAGGAAATCTGTTTTGAAGTAACCTTCCTTCCAAAATGGTTAAGATATTAGACTTAGGGGTTGTTTCACAGTAAAATTCTTACTTATTGCTCCTTTAACAGTTTGGACTAATCAACACCAAGTCAGTCACAGCTGCGGATGTTTAGATAAAATTATTAGTTTGGGTTAAAGATGAAGATTTAAATGCTGTTTAAGGTTGGATCAAACGGGGAGAGTGAAGCAAGTTCTTTAATCAGACATTTTTAATTCTAACGTTTTTACTATAAAAGACGACTGCAGCGTAACCCAAATTAAACCACTTCTGTGTTTTACTGTACTGCAGCAGCAAGGCAGAGAAACTAAACTGAACGTGTAAATGCGTCTACCTTCTTATTGAAGGACCAGATCTTGTCCCACTCCATGTTGACCACAGACCTCGATCCGCCCTGAAATGAGACGAGTGAAAAAGAAACTTTGTTCAGCAAGCAGCATTAAAAAACAGACTCCTAGTAAAGTCTGGCTACAGTCTCAATATGACGTCATCTCTAGTCATACCTGGTCAGGTGAGGACATTCTAAACATACCTGAGCTGCTATAAACTGCTTCAGACCTTCTACAGTCATTCCTCTTCTCAACACTCCTCTGACAGTTGGGAAGCGAGGGTCGTCCCTAGAAGGCGAGCCGGCACGGAGATCAGAGAGAGCCACGTGTGCACACATCACCAGATGACCAAGGTAAACTTACCACCCCTCAACGTATCCCTGATCGACAAACCAGGTCAGCTTCCGCTTTGAAAGCACGGTGTTGTTCAGGTTGAGCCTGGCGTACTCCCAGATGTAGGGCTTCCTAAGACCCAGGGTCTCGATTATCCAGTAGAACTGATCGTCACGGTCGTGGTACTCGGTGGTCCTGAGCGCGTGGGTAACACCTTCCAAACTGTCCACGATGGGGCAGGCGAAGTCATATGTCGGGTAGACCCTGGACGAGATGCAACTTTGAGCAAGTGAACTCTTTAACGCCAAGTACTTTGGCCACTTTCAGTCTTTTTACAGCATAAGTTACTGTGTTGTTGTTATGGCAACCTTCCATTTATCTCAAGAGACAGATTTGGGTTTAGGAACGACGTCAAACAGACCTTGAAACACAGCGGAGATGGAAGGAGTTTGTCGTTTTCCTTTGAGAGAGCTCATGTGCTGGTTGGACTTGTCTAAGACCTTCACGCCCATTGTAGCCAGCTGAATCCTTTTGTTGCAATCGGTACAAAAAGCCTCAAAAACATTGTTTTCCATCAGTTTTAACCACAAAAAGAGACTTTAGCCAGCCACGCTTCGTTAAATTTACATGTCCCCAGAACAACAGCGTGAAATGATTATAGATAAGTAACGTTTACCGTACACGTCTCTCGTCTGGGTGCTGGATCACGAGAAAGCTTGGCGGCATCGCGGTCATGAATATTTTGACCCGGGCTGGGTTGCTCCATCAATTATTGGTCCCACCACTCTTTTATTTAGGTTGTTATTTATTCAACATAGTCACAGTTGACAGACAAACCTTTGTAAACAAATGTGTTGTAGTTAAACACAGCACAACTTTTAAGAACCCCCAAATGGAAATTCAAGAATGTTTGAAGGCTTGTCGAGGTATTATTTTCAAATCCACAAATGCAATGCTTTCAAGAAGACCCGCGGGAACCCTGCGAGTCAGAAAACTAGTAGGGTTCGCTAACCACTGTGCCGTGTGACCAAGCTGATTACGGTAAGCAATCCAACCCAATAATGTGTATGTGTGTGTGTGTGTGTGTGTGTGTGTGTGTGTGTGTGTGTGTGTGTGTGTGTGTGTGTGCGTGTGCGTGCGTGCATGAGACTGAATTACTGGGACAAACTGACACAAGCAAAAATGATAAAAACTATCACCAAGTAGCTGTTCTGTTCATTGTTTACATTTGATTTGACTGCTTCCTGCCTCTGCATTAGTCACATATCAGACCTAATATTCAGACCAGGACTGGGCAATAAATTGAAAATTTATCGGTATCAAAATTTCTGACTTTTATCGTGATAATTTTTTCCAAGTCAATACATTTGATAATAAAAAAAAAATGGAAAGATGTGTGTAGGCTGGCAACGTTCATGTCCCTTTAAGAAGCTGCATCAGCTTGAGTCGTAAAAATGTGACGTGACAGCTCCATCTAGTGGACAGCTTTTGTTTCTGCGCCTAGAGGTGAAATCCTAAATATATCGCGATGTTGGTTTTAGGCCATATCGCCCAGCCCTAATTCAGATGAAATCATGGTTCAGACCAAGGTACATCAGCTGTGCCTCTCCTTTACGACCACATGTTCTCTTGATTCGGAGTTGACCATTTTCTCCAAAAGGAGTTTGGCAGAAAAGCAGAAGAACCTAATTTATCTGTAGGTGCTGATTTATCCACCTACTTGTAGGTGTCTCTGGTGCGAGGGTGGGGGGTGTTCTTGCAGCGATAGAGGGTGGGGTCTCTCATGCAGCCGTTGTTGGAGCTCATGTCCATCTTGGCTCTCATGCAGCAGGTCTGACCGTACTCTGTCCCGGCCTTCATCTCAGCCCACATCTTCATGTTCTGCTCCACAGCTGAGGGGAGAAAATGAGAACACGCGTGTTAACGTGCATCTTTTGGAGCTTCGCTCCATCTGAAGAAGAAGAAGAAAATATCATTTCTAAAGCGCCTCTCAGGATAAAAATCACGAGGCGCTTCCATCTGCGGCGGCTCTGGGTTCCTACTGGCGTACTATTGTTTCTGCATTTGGACTCGATGCGCTGCTCTCTCTCTTGCTTCATCTGCTCTGGAGGCGTGTTGTCGATGTACGCTTTGCCCTCGGCGAGCAGCTTCTCGGCCAGTTTCATGATGGTGGGGAAGTGGTCACTGGTGTAGGTGAACTGGTCTGGACGGATCTGGAGCATGGAGACGTCTTCCAAGATCACCTGAGACAATAAAACATGCAGAAGACAAGGGTAACCTCTCGGGTTTGGGCTTCAATGGCAGCTTACGCTAGGGTGGGAAAGCATTGAAGATTTCTTCCGTTAGTTGTTTTTTTAATCACACTTTAATGTTTGAAAACAACAAACAAATATCATCATCAGACAAAGAAAGTCTGAGTAAATATAAACAACAGTTTGCAAAGGATTGGATCATTTATAAAGGGAAAGCTCCAAACCAACCTGGCTCTCAACGACCCTTTAAACTTAACTGGTAACGAGTCTCCTCTCCTCTTCATAGTTGAAGCTATAGTTCAGCCTCAGAGGGTTTAGAAACAACCTGTTTAAGGTCAAAGGTCATTAACGCTTCTTCTGGATGTTCTGCTAGAGCAGAGTTCACGGTTCCATCAGTTACAGCAGGTGGCCCAGGTCCTACAGCGGCCTCAGACCATCACACTACCACCACCATGTTTTAGAGTTAATGCGACTCCAGATGGACACACACCCGCCAGAAAGATCTGCTCGTCTCATCAAGATGTCTTTAGCTCTCCTACGGAGGTCACTTACCAACCTGTCTCCATATGGTGAATCACGACCTCTGACCTTAACCTGAACAAGGTGAAGCCTGTTGAGCTTCATCTGTTCTGGATTCTTATGCTGCTGAATTTCTTAAGATCAAGTCCCGGTGTTGAGCTTGTTCAGCCCTCTTCGTCTTGTCAGACAGGTTCTCCACAGGTCTGGTTAGGGCTGTTGGAGCTAGCCGGGCGTACACTGTGTGACTTTTTCGAGCCGATTTTCCACTCGTACAAGAATCCACGAGATCGGGGCGAGTTTTGCGCCGAGCGTCGTGTAGTGTACAGGGGGTTACGAGAGGCGATTAACACCACGTGACCAGCTGCCGATCAGCAGTCGTGAGCTCGCACGGACTTCTGGCGTGTTTGATATTTTGCTCGTCCCTCGTGAGGGTATCGCACTGTTGAAGCGGCGCTGCGAGCAGCTGCGACCCAAAAAGTATCAGAACCTCTCACGGCGCATGCGCAATCCTGCATCAACACCGCTCCCCCGCAATTTCCCTAATAACACACGCTGTTCGTTTTTGTTTCTACACGTTTTTTTTACTCACAAAGATTGTCAAGAAAGCATGTTTGTCGTGTTCATGTCAAATTAAACTGATCACAAAACACAGATTTACTTTCTTTATTTCGTTTTCCTCATCCAACCCCCATAAATCCCTGTGTGTCCTCCTGCAGCACTCCCGAAGGACAACAGGCAAATTACGTGTTGTGTAGAAACGGCTATTTTTAGCATATTTTTAGGTCCGACGTGTTGCTACCAGACGTACAGTGTGAGCTCCTGACTCGTGAGATCTGCCCTGCGAGGAAGTCGTACAGTTTGAGCTGAAGCTGAGCGCTACGAGTGAAAAAGTCGCAAAGTCCGCCCAGTAGTCATCACAGTGAGTTCATGAACTAACGAGCATTTCTTTCTCTTGTGGGACCTTTGGAGAGCTTTATTCCTATAAAAACTGCTTTTTGTGTTTACTCAGCCAATCTGATTCTGACACTTGTTTGCTGATTAGAGATTTGAATGAAACAAAAAGAATCAAAAGAAAACAGACAGGAAAACACTTTCTCATAACATGACATCTCTTGTTTTTCTGATTCTGTGTTCTCAGCTTCTCTTCAGACCAGACCTTCTCAAAGTCCTCCTTCTCCTTCTCGGGGTTGGTGTCATCAAAGCGCATGATGAGCTTGCCTTTAAAGGTCACCTGGTAGTACTGGTTGAGCAGGGCGGCTTTGGCGTGGCCTATGTGCAGGTATCTGCTCACAGAGAGACAACAACAGGGTTCCAACCGGAAACTGTGCAGAGCTGAGCGGAGGACAGAACCGCAGCCTTACCCGCTGGCCTCGGGAGGAAATCGAACCACCACCTTGCCCATCTCAGCTCCTGGCAACTCCACAAACTTTCCAACATCCTGCTTCTTCTCATTTGACTAAAATACACAGAAGTGTTTTTAGATGAAACTCTGTGACATTTCCCTTCATATAACCCTTCACCAGAAGTTTTTGATGAAATAGATAAACTCCACTCACACTGGACTTGTTGACCGGGGCCTTCTTACTAGCGTACTTGTTACCCACAGAAGAGAAGGGAACTTGTGAGGTCAGGAAAGAGAACCAGCGACTGACATGAGGGAACGACTTCCCCTGACTCAACCAATCGCTGTGATCTACGGAGAACACAAACACACCATCAGAAGTGCTGCGACGTTCACGTAAACAACACAAAGTCCAGGAGTGAAAACGGATCCAAACAGGAGCATCTCGGATGCGACTAACCCTTGAGAGCTGCCCAGACAGACAGGTCAGCCAAGGTGATGGCATGTCCGACCAGGAAGGTCCGAAGGGACAGAGCCTTATCCAGCTCACCCAGCACCGCTGTCAGGCTGGGCTGATCACACAGACGCCGGGCGCTGAACTCCAGCCAGTGATCCACCTGAAGACACCGTTAAAAACTAAAGACCAAAGAGCCAGATTCACATAAGGTCCAAAACACACACCAAACACACCTCAGTCTGCTCCATCAGGTTGGACCCATAAAGGCCGAGAGCAGGAGCCACCCGAGCCAGGTAGCGGCTGATGGAGTTAGCGTCGCTGAACTGGATGGAACTGAGAAAAGAACAAAAATGATGCGACTTCCTGAACCTTCACATGCTTTCAAAGAAAGCCTCTGAAGCACCAGGATGATTGTAGCACTGTTTCCTTTCCTGGAACTTCAGGGTGAATGCAGCGAGGGGGGAACTGACCGGGAGATCTGAAGGCCCAGTCCTCTCAGCTGTCATGTCTCCAGTTACAGTTTGGCTCTGTAAGGAGTGTGCTAAGACGCCAGCACGCTGCAGCCGCTACGCTGTGACGCGTCATCGATTGGGGCCAACATCTCGTGTTTTCAAACCCCCCCCCGTATGCAATTCCTATTTCCTACATCAACATCATTTCTGAGTGAGTTACAACTAATCGGCGGCATTCCCGCCCACCACCTGCACTGGGCCTCCTACTAGGCCACTCAGAGTACCTAGCTCTGAGCAGGTACTCAGAAGGTTCCTGAAAACGGCTCGGCTCTAAGTGGAGACAGGCATGTTTCTGGTGAGTTTACCCTGAAGTTCCGGTGATGGAAACAGCTTATGTCACTTACTCTGAGATGTGAAGCCTGTTGTCTTTGCCCTCCTCCACAGACACCTGCACACTGCTTTTCACGTGCTCTGCAGCCAAAAGAGCACCTGCAGGACAAAGAAGTGTTTTCTCTTGTAAGACCCCGATTCTGAACGGACCGTCAGAAACAAGTGGCCCGATTGTTTTATAGGCCATAACCCATAGAGATGCAAGTCAGAAATGTGTAGAAAGTGAGAAGAAAGCTAAATTGAGTCAAATGTAATTTAGTAAAAAGTATTTTAACTAATTCTGGAAGCGCAACAGTGCAGAGCTGTTAGTATGAAAGCATGCAGTTGTGATAATGCTGTTAAATCCACATTTTCTTCACACACACACACACACACACACACACACACACACACACACACACACACACACACACACACACACACACACACACACACACACACACACACACACACACACACACACGAGGCTCCACCATCATCTAAGGTAGATGTAGGTATCGAGGGGTGAGAGACTCATTCAGATGCAGAAAATAAAAGCACATTTAAAATAAAACAGCATCGAGCCGTGGCACACCTGTGCAGCACAGATATTTTATACATTGTGGAATTCCAGTACACATTCAATACACTGATTTTTAAACCAATGTCACAAAAACTATTCAAGTTTAGTTGGAATCTTGCAATCCTGGCGCATTCTGGGTCCACATAGCCAAGCATGTATATCTGGGCTTATTCTGCACTAACATGTATTCTCGGCATTATTTAACATGAGACAAAAAAGTTGCTGGTCTATAAATCATTTTCCTAATGTTTGTTTGGCATTTTGGTCACAGCTGTGTTAGTGCGTGTTTTTGAACCATCTTTAATCAGGATGTTCTGTTTGAATGATCGTTTCTCTCCGCAGGGCAAATTTGTTATGATTTCATCCAGCAAAGCTTTCTGGTTAACAGGAGAGGAGGTGTTCACGGAAATAAAGGAAAGCTTTCACCTCCTCCTCCTCCATCCATCCAATCATCCACGTTTCAGGAGGCTTGCATCAGCCTGCCGGGGTCGGTACGAACACCAGGGGACGCTGTTACAGCTGTTTAAACTGGTCATTCAGTGGATGACTCAAGTACAAAACTTTGGATTAACATCATCTGGGGAAAGTTTTGTGTAAAAAAAACATATTTAACCACGATAGGGCGTGTTTTTCACCTCGGAGAGTATATTTACAAATGCAGTCATTATGAAGAGCCCGGCTAACCAGGCTACCGGTTGATCTAAAGTTATATTCTGAGACAAAACACAGGATCACAATGTGGCACAAAAACACACAATATGGCGCAGCTGGTGTTTATAAAGCAGGGCATGTGAAAAATGCCCATGTTGTGGTTTTGTGGGTGCCACGACTGCACGTCGGCTAGCATTCGGATCAGATCCGTCTGTAACAGAACCGACCCTCCAGCAAACATTTACCGCTTTAGTTATCAACTGTTTGTTTTGGGGTTCACAAACTTTTTCAGATAGAAAGTGAAACCCAGACCATTTGTTTCCTTGTTTTGATGACACATTGGGTGTCGAGCTGTCACTGGGGCGCGTGCATGTCCACGAGCTCCATGAAACGGGTCGTTTACAGCAGTAACTCACCTAGAGGCGGGTTGTTGGCGTTTATGGTTAGATTAAGCGCCATCCTGCTGGATCTCTGCTTCGGACAGACTCAATAATCTTTTAACTGGTAAACAAAATAAAAGAGCCGAACGAAGTGAAAGAACACGCAACAGCCCAATCCTCCGTACCAAGCAACAACGGGGGAAGGAAGAAACACCCTTCTTTTGCTTTTAATGACGGGTCACTCGCTTCATAGAAGAGCGACACTGCCGCCACGTGGACAGGAGGACGAACGTGCAATGAGATTTTATGGCCTTAAAACATTTCTCCAGAGGCGTCTTTTACTATTTTGGATAGTAGTAGTAGGAAGACAATTTCAAAAAGTGTTTTGAATATTTAACAGAGAAAATAAAAATGTGAAATTATAGATAAATAAAACGTATAAAAAAGTATATTAAAAGTAAATAGAAGTTAAAAAAAGGTTAAAAAAATGAAATCATTAAACCCAAACTATGAACATGTCTGAATTGAACAAAATAAAACATAGAGCTGGGGGTCACCAGGTCCCAGGGTGCTCCCAGGAACTCTATACAGATCCTTCAGGCCTGTTCTAAACAGCACAACTGAATTTAACTCTAAACAAGATCTAAAATATTTTTTTTCTGCTGCCATCGCTCTCTCTCTCTCTCTCTCTCTCTTTATATATATATATATATATATATATATATATATATATATATATATATATATATATATATATATATATATATATATATATATATATATATACTCACCTAAGGATTAATACTACTAATATGGTGCTCAGAACTGCCTTAATTCTACGTGGCATTGATTCAACAAGGTGCTGAAAGCATCTTTAGAAATGTTGGCCATATTGATAGGATAGCATCTTGCAGCTGATGGAGATGTGTGGGATGTACATCCAGGGCACGAAGCTCCCGTTCCACCACATCCCAAAGATGTTGTATCGGGTTGAGATCTGGTGACTGTGGGGGCCGTTGTAGTAGTGAACTCATAGTCATGTTCAAGAAACCAATTTGAAATGATTGGAGCTTTATGACATGGTGCATTATCCTGCTGGAAGTAGCCATCAGAGGATGGGTACATGGTGGTCATGAAGCGATGGACATGGTCAGAAACAATGCTCATGTAGCCCGTGGCATTTAAACCATGCCCAATTGGCACCAAGGGGCCTGAAGTGTGCCAAGAAAACACCCCCCACACCATGACACCACCACCACCAGCCTGCACAGTGGTAACACGGCATGATGGATCCATGTTCTCATTCTGTTTACGCCAAATTCTGACTGTACCATTTGAATGTCTCAACAGAAATCGACACTCATCAGACCAGGTAACATTTTTCCAGTCTTCAACTGTCCAACTTTGGTGAACTTGTGCAAATTGTAGCCTCTTTTTCCTATTTGTAGTGGAGATGAGTGGTACTCGGTGGGATCTTCTGCTGTTGTAGCCCATCCGCCTCAAGGTTGTGCGTGTTGTGGCTTCACAAATGCTTTGCTGTATTTCTTGGTTGCAACAAGTAGTTATTTCAGTCAAAGTTGCTCTTCTATCAGCTTGAATCAGTCGGCCCATTCTCCTCTGACCTCTAGCATCAACAAGGAATTTTCGCCAACAGGACTGCCTCAGGGATGCAAGGATAATGTCCTGGCCCAAGTGGAGGAGTTTAAGTATCTCAGGGTCTTGTTCACGAGTACGGGAAAGCTGAAGCGTGAGATCGATAGGCGGATTGGTGCTGCATCTGCAGTGATGCAGGCGTTGTACCGGTCGATCTACGTTCCTACCCTCACCTATGGTCATGAGCTTTGGGTAGTGACCGAAAGAACGAGATCGTGGATGCAAGCGGCTGAAATGAGTTTTCTCCGCAGGGGGTCTGGGCTCTTCCTTAGGGGTAGGATGAGAAGCTCGGTCATCCGCTAGGGGCTCGGAATAGACCCGCTGCTCCTCCACATTGAGAGGAGCCAGTTGAGGTGACTTGGGCATCTGGTCAGGATGCCTCCTTGACGTCTCCCTGGTGAGGTTTTCCAGGCACGTCCAACCGGTAGGGGGCCTAAAGGAAGACCCAGGACACGTTGGAGGGACTATGTCTCTCACCTAGCCAAGGAACACCGTGGAATTCCCTCGGAAGAGCTGGCCCAAGTGGCTGGGGAGAGGGAAGTCTGGGCCTCTCGGCTGCTGCCCCTGCGACCTGACTCCAGAAAAGTGGAAGAAAATGGATGGATGGATGGATGGATGGATGGATGGATGGATGGATAGAGGACTGCTGCATACTGGATGTTTTTCCCTTTTCCCACCATTCTTTGTAAACCCTAGAAATGGTTGCGGGTGAAAATCCCAGTAACTGAGCAGATTGTGAAATACTCAGACCAGCCTGTCTGGCACCAACAAGCATGCCATGCTCTAAATTGCTTAAATCACCTTTCTTTCCCATTCTGACATTTTCACACACACACACACACACACACACACACACACACACACACACACACACACACACACACACCAATTAAAATAATGCCGATAGCATGGACTAGAAGACAGGTGATGGTTTACGTATTTAAATGATGATCAGGCTGCTGTAAAATGTAATCTCCATCCACATCCAGACACAATTATCCTCTATTCTTTCTCTATTTGCTCTGCTCTTGTCTGGGCTGATCAGGTGACGGTGCGCGTGGCGCGCCTAACAGCTGATGCACATTTTACGCATTTGGAGAGGTGGGCTGCAAGCTTTGCTTTTACTGGAAGATGGTCCACTTAACGCACGGGTGTAGACTAAATATTAATGACAAATGAATGAAAATTAAATTGTGAGTTTTTACTTCATATTTTAGAAATAAAAATGACGGGGGAACACATTTATGACGTCTTTTTAAACGAAATTTTCTAGCGCGACCTGCCTGCTTCACTTAAGTCACTGCTTATTAAGGTCCGTCCAAAATTACCGTGGCCCACCCAAAAATGAAAACCTGGCGCCGCGCCTGTTATAAACCTCTGCAAATTATTGTTCTTCACTTGATCAAACTCAGACTTTGTACAGCTAATGTCAAGATGTAAAATTATGAATTCAGTCGAGCTCTTCCGTCCCTCCATCTCCTGCTCTCCTTGAACCCGACATCGGCTGTCAGAAGTGGAGGTGAAGAAGGAGATGAAGCAAACAGAGTGAGTGCGACATAAAGAAACCAGACTGCTGAGGTGAGCAAAACAGAAGGAAAAGTGTGGGTGTTGAATCCCCCACGGATGCGACGCCCATGTGAGCGACCGGTACCGGCTGCTGTCACCTGTTGTGGGCAGCTCTCTGCTGTCTGAGGGTAGGCCCCGCCCACAACGCTGCGGCCGCTGTGGCTCCCAGTGTTTTCTTTACTGTGGGAAACGGGTAATAATGGCTCTTTGATGGGAACAGGTTGCCAACCCCTGGTATAAGATCTGAGCTGGTAAAACAAAAATCCTCATCATCAGGCTTTTTTTAAAGTGGGGGGGGGACACAGCTGCCAATCATAAAATTTGCCGGGGACATGTCCCCGGCGTCCCCGGTTAAAATGACGCCTATGCTTATTGGTATATATTCTAGAAATATGTAAATATGTTCCTGCGATCTGCGATGGACTGGCACTCTGTCCTGGGTACACCCATCGACATATATACGATGGGTGTACCCCGCCCGAATCGATTGCCCATTGACCGCTGGAGATAGCCACCCCCCACCCCCACCCCCGCGACCCTATGGGCAAGCGGGTTCAGACAATGGATGGATGGCTGTTCCCGCTATTCAAGCGGAACCTTTTCAAACAGATTGAAGTTTCAACCCGGACTCGTGTTTCGTGAGCACCCTCCTCCTGCAGGCATGCTGGATGTAAACAACAGACTTTCTTTTCACAACAGAGTAAAACTGTAGCTGCGCACCTGTCTTGGTAAAGTAAGTGCCGCGGTTCACCGCCACACTTCAGCGGTCGTGTTTAGTTTATTATCTGTTTATTTTATGTATATAACGTGGTATCTGTCGCGGTGTTTTGTAGCTGTGCATGACTGATTTTTAGCTACTTTACAGCAGAAGATTCTGGCTGTTATATTTCTGTTAGAAGTCGTTGTCAACTTAGTTCTCTCAATAGTTTTTAAGAAGATAAAATAGTATTATTTCATTAAAGACGCTAGAAGAAGTTTTAAAAACGTTTTTAATCTCAGCTTGAACGCCAGCGCTGTGATGCTTCTTGTAAACAGCACAGCTGTCCCATCTTCTATCCCATAATAACTTTAATGCCACATTTTCTCATTGTTTTACATTTTTAACGGGAGCAGGTCCGATAGAGACCCCACAGGATCCTAAAGACTCATTTTTTTCTGCTTTGAGTTGTTTCTGCACGGCTGGGATGGGCTCGTGTTTCTGGCTGTTTGGGTTGTTTACCCTTAAATCACGATTAATCTCAAAGTTGATTCGCTGGTCATTTAGATTCTTCCCAGTATCACTGGAACAGGAGCATCCACACTGTTGGAGACGCAGGTCAGAGGGGTGAAGTTAAAGTATTTGTGTATTTAGCTGAATTTCAAGTCTGCTGAGTAAAGGCCAGCCAGGCTCTGTGGTTCTGTCTACCATTAAAGAAGAATAACTATGTATTTAACAGACGTCATTGGTATTGCACTTTAGCTTTTATATTTTAACAATATTTTTGTTAATGTGTTTTCTGTATTTTGAATTTTCTGTTCTGCATCACGTCAGACAAATCTGAATATAAACCTTTTTTAAAGTGCCGTCTACCAGCATCAACGCCTGTGCTGGATGGCCGAAGTTCCAACATTCTTGAATTAATAACAATAATGACTGATGCTTAATGACCCCCTCCCTGAGGGGCAGTGGACTGCCACTGTGAGGGGAAACTTCAGGTTTTCACGCTCTTGTACGAAGATGCTCTGATCTCCTTGGGCCCGTGGTGAAACGGCTCTTCCCCCCTACCTCCTGGCCACATGCTGCACGCCCAGCCCTAAAGGATCCAGAGTACCGCTTCAATCAGTTCCAGAACCATGGGTTTGGGTTTGTTATACGCCTGGAGGTTTTGCTCTGCTTCTGGCCTCTAGGGCGGCAGACGATCTGAGCTCCAGATTGTCTTTTTGTGACAACATGTGTCTTCATGTGCTCATCATGTTGCTCTCTGCGTCTTCAGGCATGTCTCTGGACAGTCATCATGGGAAGTGGACCATCTCCAGCAGTGATGATGAAGATGAGCTTCTTCCCCCTTCTGGGACTACAGGTGCCAGTTCCCGTCAGACAGCTGAAATCAGCCACAGCTCTCCTCCATCTGCCTCTCCGGTGACGCTGAAGGCAGAAGCAGCCAGGACACCGGTGTCCTCTCGCTCTGTTGGCTCTGAGGCTAGACGAACTGCCACAAAGAACCAGATAAACCCAGTAAGATACAAAACCAGCCCTTCACTGGCTGGGAAGAGAAAGAATGAGTTGTCAGAAGGTACAGGCTGGGCCCTCTCGGACAGCGATGAAGATGATGGAGCTGTGAAACAGAACAATCAGGCTAATCTGCCAAAGCGAGCTCCTCTGAAACCTGAGACTAAAAAGCTAAAAGCAGAGAGCGAGCGTCCTCCAAGTCCTCATGGACGACAGTACTATATAGATGAGTCGGAGGACTTCTTTGAGTCCTGCACTCCTCGTCTTGATGACACTTACAGATTCTACCTCAACAAAGTCACAGGACTGGACCGAGAGTACAACAGCGGAGCTTTGCACATCAGAGGTGAGTTTGGATGGAGGACACCAACCTCTAATGTTCTGTACGTCCTGCAGTGTGTCCTCATGTGTCCCTCTGACACTGACTCAGTGTGAGAAGAAGGTAAAGTTCTCGTTCTCTAGTTTTATGGTGGCTGCCTTCTGTGTGGAGGTCTCACAGGGGACCAGCCCACTCCTCCGATCAGTCTGATGTTCTTTTGTCTCTGCAGATCTTCTCTCCCCGTTGTTTGGAACGCTGAAAGAGTCTGTTCAGGTTGGTTTTATTCTGTTTTCTTTTTAAAATAACTTTAAACAACAACCAGGCTGTTGGCCCGTTCGGTTTGTGTTGTTTTAATGAACTAATGGTGCTCCTCTTTCATTTTTATAGTTCAACTACTGCTTTGATATTGCTTGGATGGTTAAACAGTTTCCTCCAGAGTTTAGGTAAGTCCTGCTTCGTCTTTGCCACCTCCCCGTTCTCGCTGCTCCGCTTCAGATCCTCGTCACACAGTTCTGAAGAACACAAAAGGAAGTCTAGTTGAATGAAATGTGTGTGTGTGTGTGTTTGTGTGTTTTTCAGGGATCGCCCGGTTCTGATCATCCATGGAGATAAGAGGGAGGCCAAGGCTCGGCTCCTGCAACAAGCCCAGCCCTTTCCACACGTTCGCTTCTGTCAGGTGCTCACTGAACCAACAATGGAAGCAGCTGTTCAACAGACAGCCCATAATAGTAATGCAGTGTCGAAAAAACCGGAAAACCGATTCTGAATTGATTCTTATAAAAATGTCAAGAATTGATTAGCATCGATTCATAAGTCCAACAATCGTGTTAAAACCTTAATTGTTTAACACAGTTTGCTGTTTTTACGGCTAAAATGGGAAGGAAGGGTCCAGATGGCCTTTTTGAGGTTTAGGTCTGAAAGGGTTAACACAGTTTCCCTCGGTGTTGCACCACATAATTATGGGCATACAACTAACAGTTTACAGCCATACTCTGCAACTTTTCCATATTTTAAATCATTTTCTCAAGCGAATATGTGCTAAAATGACCTTTACAGGGTCAATGAAATGTCACTCAGACCCCACTGCCCCCCCTGGGCCAGAATACTGCCTCCTGTGGTTGAGCTGACCTACCTGGTGCTGCAGTCTGCTTCCAAACCATTTCCTGCATGATTTAGATCACGAACGCAGCCGACTTGTTTGATTTAGTGATGAACCACTCCTGTAGAGACTAAGGAAGGCGGAGGACACATTTAAGCTGTTAGATTAAGGTGTTACGAAGACAAACACACAGCGAGGAGGTTTCATTTTTGGTTTGACCACATAAAATTAATAACAGACACTAGGGGGTGCTAAAAGCAAGCAGAACTGCCAAGTGTGCCTTTTTAATAGCACTGTCCCATATCAATATCAAATTGGAACAGATTGAATTGGATCGGATCGCTATAATCGATTCTCACCCTTGAGAATCGGAATCGAATCGATTCTTGAATTTTGAATCGATGTCCAGCTCTACATGATAGTCCGTATGTACTATAATAAAACAGAGTGGTGTTGCAGAGAAGCACAGTTAAAATGATGGTCAGATTGAGTCTATCTAAAGAGAGTGTTTGGAAATTTCTGACCAAATATAAACAAATCGTTAAAGGGAAGACTGTCGTCTTCTGATTTCAGCATTACTTCAATGCGTGCATCACCTGAGTTTCAAACTAAAATCACCTGTTTTTGAAAAATGATGTAACTGATGGACGAGGAGAAGAAGAAAAAAAGATGAAAGCATTTAAATTATGTGAGAAATAAAGAAATGAGAAAAGCAGCAAAAGGAATCAGTAATGAGGGGAAAGCAGCAGCAGATGCCAGATTTGTGTTTTGTCTTTAGTAGACACCATGATGTGGGCTGATTAGATGTAATCACCATATTCTGAGATTTAAATGAAGATCATTCTGGTGATGAGACACTCACACACTCAGACTGGTCTCCTGTCAGAGACGGCTGGTAAACACAGGGCTGCAGTAACATTACGTCGCGTTTCCTAGTTGGATTGACGCTCATCATCCCACACAAACGTTTGTTTCCTCTTTCCTCATAAAGGAAGCTAACCATAAACCGGTCACTCTGGTTTAACACTTAAAATCAGGTATCTGGATGTGGTTCCTCTCAGTTTTGTGCGGCGACTCTTCCAATTACATGTGTTTTGCTTTTTACAGGCCAAGCTGGACATTGCTTTTGGAACTCATCACACGTAGGCATCACTCTTTCTCACCAGCCGACCAACCTGTTCTTTATTTAACTTATGGTTGATGGAATTACCGTTGAAATGAGGTTTTATTCTGCATCATGTCCGAGTGCAGGAAGATGATGCTGCTGTGGTACGAGGAAGGCTTCAGAGTCATCATTCTCACCTCCAACCTCATCAGAGCTGACTGGTACCAGAAGACACAAGGGTGAGTGTTTACTGGTTTTCCAACAGGGTTGGGGGCTGCAGCGCTTCATTTACTGTAAGGTTTTGTTGATAAACTCATGCTAAATCCCTGGCTAGGATGTGGATGAGCCCTCTGTTTCCACGGTTACCAGAGGGGAGCAGACCCAGTGCAGGTGAGTCGCCAACCTTCTTTAAGCGGGACCTGCTGGAGTACCTGGCATCGTACCGAGCTCCAGAACTTGAAGAGTGGATCCAGCGAATCAAAGAGCACGACCTGTCAGAAACGAGGTTACACTTCTTCTCATGTCATCTTCTACCAAGAGAACTGCAGCTATGGTTTCTGTCTGTGTGCAGTATTGGTAAAAAGGCCTGCTCTGGTCCTGTTTCAATATCAGGGTTTATTTGGTTGCCTCGACTCCTGGGAGGTACGTAGGTCCGGACATGGAGCGCTGGGGCCACCTGAGGCTGAGGAAGGTAAAGAACGCGCGCATGCTCTCCTCGATTTGTGCAGGAAGTAGAGGTGGGTTTGTTCTGTGGCGTCATCAGACCAGGAGAGGTCCTCAGAGATGAACTCTGTGCTGGATGTCTGCACAGATTACCTCTCTGAGCTGTAACTGTAATCTGATTTCATGGATCAGTCGTCGTCGTCTTCCTCCGCTTATCCGGGTCCGGGTCGCTCATGACCATAGGTGAGGATTGGGACGTAGATCGACCAGTAAATCAAGAGTCTGGCTTTCTGGCTCAACTCCCTCTTCACCACGACAGATCGGCTCAGTGTCCGCATCACTGCAGACGCTGAACCAATCCGCCTGTCGATCTCCCGATCCCTCCTACCCTCACACATGAACAAGACCCCGAGATACTTAAACTCCTCCACTTGAGGTAGGACCTCTCTCCCGACCCGGAGTTGGCAAGCCACCCTTTTCCGGTCGAGAACCATGGTCTCAGATTTGGAGGTGCTGATCCTCATCCCAGCCGCTTCACACTCGGCCGCGAACCTACCCAGCAAGAGCTGAAGGTCAGAGCTGGATGAAGCTAGGAGGACCACATCATCCGCAAAAAGCAGAGACGAGATTCTCCTGCCACCAAACTCGACACACTCCACACCACGGCTGCGCCTAGAAATTCTGTCCATAAAGGTAATGAACAGAACCGGTGACAAAGGGCAGCCCTGGCAGAGTCCAACCCTCACCGGGAACAGGTCCGACTTACTACCGGCTATGCGGACCAAACTCACGCTCCTCTGGTAAAGGGCTTGAATGGCCCTTATCAGAAAGCCACCCACCCCATACTCCTGGGGCGTCCCCCACAGGGTGCCCCCGGGGACACGGTCATAAGCCTTCTCCAAATCCACAAAGCACATGTGGATTGGTTCAGCAAACTCCCATGCCCCCTCCATCACCCTTGCAAGGGTATAGAGCTGGTCCACAGTTCCACGGCCAGGACGAAAACCACATTGCTCCTCCTCAATCTGAGATTCAACTATCGATCGGGCCCTCCTCTCCAGTACCTTGGAGTAGACCTTTCCAGGGAGGCTGAGGAGTGTGATCCCCCTATAGTTGGAACACACCCTCAGGTCACCCTTCTAAAAGATGGGGACCACCACCCCGGTCTGCCACTCCACAGGAACTGCCCCCGATGACCACTCAATGTTGCAGAGACGTGTCAACCATGACAGCCCTACAACATCCATAGCCTTGAGATACCCAGGACAAATCTCATCCACCCCCGGGGCTCCGCCACTGTGTAGTTGTTTGACTACCTCAGCAACTTCTGCCCCCGAGACTGGACAGTCCATCCCCAGGTCTCCCGGCTTTGGCTCCTCCTCGGAATGCGCGTAGGTGGGATTGTGGAGCTCCTCAAAGTGTTCCTTCCACCGTCCGACTATAGCCCCAGTTGATGTCAGCAGCTCCCCATCCCCACTGTAAACAGTGTGAGCGAGTTGCTGCCTCCCTCTCCTGAGGCGCCGGACAGTTTGCCAGAACCTCTTTGGAGCCGATTGATAGTCTTTCTCCATGGCCTCACCAAACTCCTCCCACGCCCGAGATTTTGCCTCGGCAACTGCTACTGCTGCACCCCGCTTGGCTATCCGGTACCTGTCTGCTGCCTCCGGAGACCCACAGACCAGCCACGCCCTGTAGGCCTCCTTCTTCAGCCTGACGGCTCCCCGAATTTCTGGTGTCCACCAGCGGGTACGGGGGTTGTCACCACGACTGGCACCGGCCACCTTGCAACCACAGCTAGCGACAGCTGCCTCAACAATCGCAGAGTGGAACAAGGCCCACTCGGCGTCAATGTCCCCCACTGCTCTCGGGATGCGGTCAAAGCTCTGCCGGAGGTGGGAGTTGAAGACTGTCTTGATAGGCTCTTCTGCCAGGTGTTCCCAGCAGACCCTCACTATGCGTTTGGATCTGCCAGGTCTATGGCATCTTCCCCTGCCATCTGATCCAACTCACCACCAGGTGGTGATCAGTTGACAGCTCCGCTCCTCTCTTCACTCGGGTGTCCAACACATACGGCCGCAGGTCAGATGATACGACTACAAAGTCTATCATCGACCTGCGACCTAGGCTGCCCTGGTACCAAGTGTACCGATGGACATCCTTTTGTTCGAACATGGTGTTCGTTATGGCCAAACTGTGGCTTGCACAGAAGTCCAATAACGAAGCACCACTCGAGTTCAGATCAGCCGGGCCGTTCCTCCCAATCACACCCCTCCAGGTCATGCTGTCATTGCCCAGGTGAGCACTGAAGTCCCCCAGCAGGACATTGGAGTCCCCTGATGGAGCACTATCTAGCACTCGTCCCAGGGACTCCAAAAAGAGTGGGTACTCTGAACTGATATTTGGCCCATAAGCACAAACAACAGTTAGGACCCTTTACCGACCCGAAGGTGCAGGGAAGCTACCCTCTCGTCCTCCGGGGTAAACCCCAACACACAGGCAGAGTCTTGGGGCTAACAAAAAGCCAACCCCATCCCTCCGCCTCTCACCCGGAGCAACTCCAGCAAAGGAGAGTGTCCAACCCCTCTCAAGGACTTGGGTTCCAGAGCCAATTCTATGTGTCGAGGTGAGTCCGACTGTATCCAGCCGGTACCGCTCAACCTCTGCCACAAGCTCCTGCTCCTTCCCTGCCAGAGATGTGACGTTCCATGTCCCAAAAACCAGTTTCCTTGTCTGGAGATCGGACCGCCAAGGCTCCCGCCTCGGTCTGCCACCCGATCCACACTGCACTGGACCCTTCATGTTCCTCCTGCGGGTGGTGGGTCCACAGTTGGATGAGCCCATGCATCCGGTTCGGGCTGGTCCCGGCCGGGCCCCATGGGCGAAAGCCCGGCCACCAGGCGCTCGCTCTCGGGCCCCAACCCCAGGCCTGGCTCCAGGGTGGGACCCCGGACACCATCCGGGCCGGGTACTCCAACTCTTTGATTGTAAATCCATGAAAGATCCTCTGAACTCAGTGCTCGATGTCTGCACAGATTACCTCTCTGAGCTGTAACTGTAATCTAATTTCATGGATCAAGGTTAGGATTATATCAGTGTGACTCTAATGGATTTCTTCATCCTGATTTCTTTCCTCTTTGAAGCTGTTGCATGAACACACAAATCCAATTCCTGGAGAGGAAAGGTGGCCCGTTATTGGCCAGTTTTCCAGCATCGGCTCCATGGGAGCAGATAAGACCAAGTGGTTGGCGGGGGAGTTTCAGCGGACCCTGACTACACTTGGGAAATCCTCTCTGCACCCAAGTCCTCCCATACACTTGGTACGTTCCGAACTGCTTTCCATACAGTTGGCTCAGTGTTGCTGATTTAAAAACCCACTGACTGTAGGTCAGAGGGTGAATTTTAGACCTTAAGTTGTCTTAGACATGCCAGATCTTCCACACATGGGCTCAGATTAGGTTTAGTGCCCCCGATTTTATTTTCGTCCACTGTTTGCTTCTTCTGTCAACTTTGTTGTGTGATATTTGAACCCACAGCAGCAACATACCAACTACAACAATCCACAGGAAAAATGTATCCGAGGAGTATTTTAGCGTTTAGTCGGGCAAATGTCTCATCTGTTCACAGAGAGGGGGCGGGGCCTAGAAGTAACCTTGCTGTCAGCCACTAGGGGGGTGCGTTTCTTCTAGTTCTTCATTTATGTTTATGTTTGCGAGGCTGTGGCAAAACTACAAAGCCCATGTTGCAACAGTGCTGTCAGAAGGTGTTGTTGTAGTTTATTCAGTTAAGTCAAACTTTCTAGTGACGCTTCATCATCAGATGGGATCTCGTGGGGGCTTGAAATCCTTGCAATGAGCTTGAATTTGATTTTGCCCCGATGTAAGAAGTCTGCTCATATTTAATAAGGTTTGGCTTCAGAATTACGATGCTGACGATGGTAAAAGTGATAAATTCCTCCCAAATGAGCAGTTTGGTGTCAAATGTTCACTTCTGCATTTGAACACAGTTCATGCAGACTTCTGCGGCTGGTCTGGAGTAAGAGGCTCGCTTTGTTATTTTGCAGCTGTATCCATCAGTAGAAGATGTAAGGCTGAGCTTAGAGGGATTCCCAGGTGAGACTTTTTGTGCATAAATAGATTTGTTATACATTACGCGTTGTACGATTGATGGGTGTGTGTTGCGTGTTCTGCTCTCTAGCGGGGGGCTCTCTGCCCTACAGCATCCAGACGGCGCAGAAGCAGCTGTGGCTCCACTCCTACTTCCAGTAAGTTAAATACAGCTAATGAAACTTTCCTGCCAGTTGCTTCTGAGAAGCCTTTTGTTGCAGGCAGGAGTGAAATGAGCTGCTGCTGTTTATTATCAGACAAAACCTCTCGACACCCAGCTTCATCATAACTCAGGTTCAAACAAGCTGTCACACCCTGTCCTGTCTCTCCATTTGGTTCAGCCTGTGTCCCTGTTGATTGCTCCCACCTGCCTCTTGTTTCCCAATCACCCAAGCTCCCAGCCCTCCTGTATTTAAACCCCTCCAGTCCTTTGTCTCTTGTTGCTTCATTGTTTCCATGTCCTGCGTGCGTGAATCATTAAAACCCTTTCAGTTGTCCAGTTTGTCTGCCTGCCTGCTTTCTCCCCTGCATTTGGATCCTCACCTCCGCTCCACTCACCAGCGCACCCTGACAGAATGAAGCAACCCCCAGTTGAAGGACCCAGCGGGGAGATTCTCCCGAGGGAGTACCTGCTCCAGTGGCTCGCTCCAAGCCACCACCCGGCTTCTCCAGCTCCAGCTCCGCCTCGCCGCGGACGACGGCGTCAGCGTGCACCCTCGGCCTTCCTCTCCACCCTCCCAGCGCCTGATGAGAGACCGGATCGCGAGACGCGTTCGGATCACTCCAGTTACGTGGGCACCCGTCTGGCTGTGTGCTCCCCCGGCGTTGGTCCACGGCGTGGGGAGAGACGCCGGGCTGCCCCGCAGTCCTGTGTACCGGGATGGAGTTGTGTGCCCGCCGCTGCCCCTGCTCTGCGCAGCAGTTTGGACAAGCCCCCGGCCAGACCTCCGACCCAATCGGCGCCTCCGTCATCTGCTGAGGGAGGAGCATTGGCCGCAGCCCAGCTGACTGAGCTCGTCAGTCTCCAGGCGGAGCTTGGCCGGTTCCGCCAGCTCATCAGCTTCCAGGAATCCCGCCTGGACGCTCTATCCTCCTCATCTCAGGACCAGACGAGCGAGCCCGGTGTTCACCCAGCGGAGCTCGCCGATCTCCGGGCTAAGCTGGCCCAGCTCCATTGGACCCTCAGCCTTAAGGAGCGTCAGCTGGACGGTCTGTCCTCCCTGCTTTCACAGTTCTCAGCACCACCTGCTCTGTCGCAGCCAGCTCCAGCAGTGGCCCCGGTGGACGCTCCGCATCCAGTTCCAGCGGTGGTCCCGGAGGTCGCACCGCATCTGGTCCAGCCTGGCCAGGCAGCTCCTCCTGCAGCAGCTCTGCCTCCAGCCCAGAAACTGATGATACCGGTCCGGAAGCAGGCGGTCCCGGCCCAAAAGCAGAAGGTTCGGGCCCCGAAGCAGACGGTTCCGGTTCCGGCCCAGAAGCCGAAGGTTCGGGCGTCGAAGCAGACGGTTCCGGTTCCGGCCCAGAAGCAGACGGTTCGGGCCCCGAAGCAGACGGTTCCGGTTCCGGCCCAGAAGCCGAAGGTTCGGGCGTCGAAGCAGACGGTTCCGGTTCCGGCCCAGAAGCAGACGGTTCTGACCCCGAAGCAGATGGTTCTGGTTCCGGACCAGAAGTCGACGCCTCCGGACCCGAAGCCGACGCCCCCGGACCTGAAGTCGATGGAAGTCGACGCTCGTTCCTGTCCTGAAGTCGACGCTCGTTCCTGTCCTGAAGTTGACGCTCGTTCCTGTCCTGAAGTCGACGCCCGTTCCTGTCCAGAAGTCGACGCCCGTTCCTGTCCAGAAGTCGACGCCCGTTCCTGTCCAGAAGTCGACACCCGTGCCTGTCCAGAAGTCGACGCCCGTTCCTGTCCTGACGACGTCGCCTCCCAAGTCGGCTCGTCTGATGATGTCGCCTCCAATCCTGAAGTTGGCTCGTCTGACGACGTCGCCTCCCAAGTCGGCTCGTCTGAAGTCGGCTCGTCTGACGACGTCGCCTCCCAAGTCGGCTCGTCTGAAGTCGGCTCGTCTGACGACGTCGCCTCCCAAGTCGGCTCGTCTGAAGTCGGCTCGTCTGACGACGTCGCCTCTGAAGTCGGCTCGTCTGAAGTCAGCTCGTCTGACGACGTCGCCTCGTCTGACGACGTCGCCTCTGAAGTCGGCTCGTCTGACGACGTCGCCTCTGAAGTCGGCTCGTCTGAAGTCGGCTCGTCTGACGACGTCGCCTCTGAAGTCGGCTCGTCTGAAGTCGGCTCGTCCGATAACGTCACCTCCTCCTCCGAAGTCGGCTTGTCTGAAGTTGCCTCGTCTGAGGATGCTCTCTCCTGTCCAGAGGTCGACGCTCTCTCCTGTCCAGAGGTCGGCGCTCCCTCTAGTCCGACGTCTCCACCGTCTCCAGTGCCAACGGTGGTTCTGGAGGTCATACCGTATCCGGTCCAGCTCTTCTACGAGTCTCCGGTCCAGCCCGTCCAAGGGGCTTTGTCCCCGGCCCAGCCTGCAGAGACTCTGTCCCCGGCCCAGCCTGCAGAGACTCTGTCCCCGGCCCAGCCTGCAGAGACTCTGTCCCCGGCCCAGCCTGCAGAGACTCTGTCCCCGGCCCAGCCTGCAGAGACTCTGTCCCCGGCCCAGCCTGCAGAGACTCTGTCCCCGGCCCAGTCTACAGAGCTCCTCTGCCATAGACGCCGGCCCCCAGGAGCCCGTCGTCGCCTCCTCCTCTGCCCCAGGCGCAGGCCCCCAAGAGCCCGTCGTCGCCTCCTCCTCTGCCCCAGGCGCAGGCCCCCAAGAGCCCGTTGTCGCCTCCTCCTCTGCCCCAGGCGCAGGCCCCCAAGAGCCCGTCGTCGTCATTGCCTCCTCTGCCCTGGGTGCAGGCCCCCGGACTCTGCTGGTCCCTGCCTCCTGATCATCTGGCCCTCTGTTCTTCTCGGCCCTCCATCCGGGTCCCCCTCCTCCGGCCCTGTTCTGTGTTCCTGTGGGCTTCTGGAAGCCGCCCTTTGAGGGGGGGGTACTGTCACACCCTGTCCTGTCTCTCCATTTGGTTCAGCCTGTGTCCCTGTTGATTGCTCCCACCTGCCTCTTGTTTCCCAATCACCCAAGCTCCCAGCCCTCCTGTATTTAAACCCCTCCAGTCCTTTGTCTCTTGTTGCTTCATTGTTTCCATGTCCTGCGTGCGTGAATCATTAAAACCCTTTCAGTTGTCCAGTTTGTCTGCCTGCCTGCTTTCTCCCCTGCATTTGGATCCTCACCTCCGCTCCACTCACCAGCGCACCCTGACACAAGCAAAGCTGGGTTGTTTTTAAATTAGCTGAAAAAATGGAATGTTGCCTCAATCCTTACCTCTCAGCTGTTAAACAGAAGTTAGTAATGGCTCATAGCCTTTGAAAACTGTTTCCAAGCAAAAGTTCAATAATTTATGTTTTGTAATTAAAATTAATGGATAAAGACTCAAATAGTTTTTCTTCTCACCAAATGTCATAAAAAATCTAAATTGTTGCATATCATAGGAACTGTAGCTGAATACTGGGGTTTGTCATTTTCTGTGTGTGTGCGTGTGCGTGTACGTGTGTGTGTGTGTGTGTGTGTGTGTGTGTGTGTGTGTGTGTGTGTGCGTGTGCGTGTGCGTGTGTGTGTGTGTGTGTGTGTGTGTGTGTGTGTGTGTGTGTGTGTGTGTGTGTGTTGTTCTCCTTTTCTGTAGCCGTTGGAAGGCGGATCGCTCAGGGAGGAGTCATGCCATGCCACACATCAAAACCTACATGAGAGTGTCACCAGATTTCACTCAGCTTGCCTGGTTTCTCATTACAAGGTGTGTGTGTGTGTGTAATCTCATTGTGGGTTATGGTGACAACCGCTCCTCGTGTATGTTTCCACTGAAGCTCTTCCACGTGTGCATCAGTGCTAACCTGTCTAAGGCAGCGTGGGGGGCTCTGGAGAAGAACAACAGTCAGGTGATGGTGCGTTCATACGAGCTGGGAGTCCTCTACGTGCCTTCGGCTTTCGTAAGTTTAAATTCCGGATTATTTGTGTGTGTGTGTGTGTGTGTGTGTGTGTGTGTGTGTGTGTGTGTGTGTGTGTGTGTGTGTGTGTGTGTGTTCTGAACCTGACACAGTTCATCAGCCCATCACCGTTGTCCTCCTGTACAGCATTCACTTCCCGTTTTCTGTGAGATTTGCTTTTCAACCAACACAAATCAATGCTGGTCGGCTTGTTTTGGGCTAAGTACTGTGCTGATATGTGGTGCAATAATCCGTTTTCTTGCAGGACATGAAGACATTCCCCATTGATGAAACCCCCTTTCCTGTCTCCTCTTCTACCTCTGGTTTCCCTGTGCCCTTTGACCTCCCTCCTACAAGCTATTCTCCTAAAGGTACAGAGCTTTTTGTTTTCATCACAGCAGCACAGTGCGGTTTAAATGCAGTCTGGATTCATTTGTTTTGCTTGAACACAAACATTATTTCTGTTTGTTTATATTGAGTCTTTAAATGCATAAAAAGCAAAAAATAAATCCTTATTGAGCTGTCAGAAATCACAAATATGACCACCACTTGCAATACATTTCACGTAGTTTTATTTTAAAGTATCATTGCACCTGAAAAACCACAAACTTTGGTTCAGCAGCTCTTCTCTGCTTTTATAGCAGTGGTGACGGTCCATGATTTGTTCATGTGGCTGATCCATGAAGGAGATAATGGCCATTTACTGTGTGTGTTTCGGGGGGGGGGGGGGTGTCATGTGACAGGAAATGTATAGAATGTAATGTCAGTAAATATTGGTTATCGGCCATAATAGCAGCATTGATGTTGGATTTCAGTACAAATTTTCGTATCGGTGCAAATCTGGATGGATATCTATGTTTATATTTGGAGATATTCACTCAGAATATACAAATATATCAGGCTAGAAAACTCGGTAATGTGAATGCAGATCATACTGTACAACGTATTGCGCTCTACAGTGTGATGGTGGGACACTCTTATTTTGACAAGCTGAATCTCAGCATTTCTGGTGTGAGAAATAACTGCAACATATTTCTCAACTGAGTCAGAAATAATAAACTATGACAATGTTTGTTTCTTTAATCGAGCTGCCTTTGTAGAATGTAAAATTAATGAAATATAATAAAACTTATGTTTTAATTATTTGTCTTTGATTATGGAGCTAAGAGTAAAAAAAAGAAACACAAACTTGATTTTAGCTTTTATCTAAACTGAGAACTAACTCACATGCTTCCAGTTTTCAGTATAATGTTGTTTTTATTGTAAATCAAGTATTTCTTTGTTTTGTTCTACCTCTGATCTGTCTCTGCTCTCAGATCAGCCGTGGATCTGGAATATCTCCTACAGCCAGGAGCCAGACACCCATGGGAACATCTGGGTCCCTTCCTGAACACTAGTGTGTCTGGTGCCCATCTGTTCTTTTACCTCTCAGTGCTTTGTTTTACTGTTAGTTATAGTAATTTCATTTTTATACTGTATTATCCCAGTCCAGTAATAAACTAGATTCACCTTTGTTAGCTGTGGTTCTTGTTTCTGAATGTTGCAAAGGGATTTTAATTTGAAAGGACGTCCTTTACGTTAGCTTGACTCTAAATTCTGATTCATATTTCTTATGGGAGAAACCAGCCCAGGTTAAATGGGCTCAAATGTTGTGTTTGTACTGAGTTAACCTGTAAAAACTGAGTTCAAGTGACAGCTCATTGTAAAAGTCTTCAAAATAAAACTCCTTCTCGACAAGTTTCAAAACTGTTGAATACGGTAAATGGCCTGTAATTGTATAGCGCCTTCTTAGGGCTCTACAACCCCCCAAGGCGCTTCACAACACAATCAGTCAATTCAATTCAAATTCAAAGATACTTTATTAATCCCAGAGGGAAATTAGAGTTTCAGTACACACAATTCTGAGATCAGACATATATACACAGGCAAAGACACATGACAAGAATTGGTGACTGTGGTCATTCGCAACCCGAGTCGCGCTACCATAATAGAGATCAGAGGGTTTACATGAGTATTGGGTCAGGTGGAGGGAAAAAAGGCACTTCAGAGTTACCCCCCACAGGGAGGGCAGCTTTGCTATGTAAAAAACACCTCAGACAGAAATGCAACAGACTTCAGACATCACAAAACATAAGTGTCCACTAGGTGGGGTGGTAGGGTTTTGGGACTCTCCACACGTCAGCAGCAGCAGCCACGATAAGCAGCGCTCTTCACCTCAGTCTGGAAAGGGGTGGGAGGTCGTTGGGTTTAGAGGGCACAGTGACTTCCTGGAACGATTCAGTGGCCTTCACAGCTTGCAGTCCCACCCAGGCCGGGATAGGGAGACAGAGTTGCCATGGCGACGGCAGCATTCCACATTTCTTCTGAGGGCGGGGTAAGTTTTTAAGCCTCACAGGCTCAAGGGCTCCAGATTCATATAAGAAATTGTTTTGGGGCCAGACAGAGATAATTTCCTCTCTTAAAGTTCCACTGGTCCTCAACCTCTCAAAAACCAATAATGGCGTAGATTAATCTATCCCAATCCGTGCTGATTCATCCACTCGCTCCTTGATCGCATCCATCTTTTGTGCCAACACATTAATCTCAGCCAAAGTTCCAAGCTTATGACTCATCGACAATTATATGAGTCTGTGAATTCACGGCACTGTGTAATCCATCCCTGAGCTCCGGGAGTGAGCCAATATTCCTCGACAGCTCGTTAATTTTCTGGTAAGTCAGGTAACCTCCAAGGCCAAAGAGCAGGAAACCTGACACCAACACCACGAATATCCAGACGTCTTCAGAATCCTCTACAGACAGCTGAGATAGGCAAATCAGGTTCCACTGTTTCCAGGAGTCCATGATGTGCCCAACTGGATCTGTCCCAGAGGGGCACCCGGGAGCCCCTTCTCCCGTTCTCATTTTTGAGAAAATTTTGTCAATCGTGTTGAGTAACCAGCTGACCAGGTCCATTTTTAATAATTTCCAGTTTCCAGAAAAAATGTAGAAGCTCCGTACACCCAAAGAGCCTTGGGGATGAGATAGGGAGGAGAGGAGGGAAAAAGCATCTGTAATCTCCAAGAGCCGTTCACACACTGCTGGGGATGAGCTATGATGTAGCCACAGCTGCCCTGGGGTGCACTGACAGAAGTGAGGCCACCAGTCCCTCTGACCACTACCAGCAGGCTAGGAGGGTTAGGTGTCTTGCCCAAGGACACAACAGCAGCATTCAGAGGGGTGCTGCCAGTCATTGTCTCAGTGCCTCTCTCTGTCCTCCAGACAACACCCTTTTCCAGGTATTTTTCTACGCGGGAGTCTGGTTGAAAGAAGTACCGGTAAGTACATTTTATTTATATAGCACTTATCACAGACATAGAATCACAAAGTGCTTCACATTTATTAAAACAAAATAAAACAGTCATATAATCATAATTAGATTAACATCAGAAAAAATTAAGTCACAAAATTATAAAATTTTCATAAACAGATGAAAGACTAAAAATTTGAGTTAAAAATAATAAAAGATTTATGTAAAATCAGCTTTAAATAAAAGGGTATTTAGCAGTGTCCAGACTGTCAACGCTGCGTAAGGATAAAGGAAGATCATTCCAGAGTCGGGGTGCAACAAGAAGCGATCACCTCAACTTTTATATCTGGTCTTTGGAACTTCTAGAAGGTTCCGGTGTGTGGACCTGAGGACTCGAGTTGGAGCATAAGGCTTTAACAGTTCAGTAATATAGGGAGGAGCTTGACAGTGTAGAGCATGTAAGCGTCATTAAGGAGGCTAAAATATTCTTTTACTGTATACATTTAGTTAAAGTAAGATTTTAGGAATTATTCAGACATTTATTGTGAAAATTGGAGGATAGGAACTGTTGTTGTGATAGAGTGGGAACTCTGGAAGTTATTTGCTGATCTGACAGTATCTTCAAGATAAGGACTCCGGTCAGAGAGCAAGGCACGGAGAGACAGTTTTACGTATTTAATGACAGTAGAAGTATGGACATCTATACATTTCTGTGGTTCCGTGTGGTCTGGAAAATAAATACAAAGAATGATGTAAAAGGACTTTACAAATGGATCTTCTAGAACTGCCATAACTATAACCCTTTCTGACATAGCCGCCCCCGAATTTAGTTATAAATTCAAAAACTAGAGGAAAGTCTTATCAGGTGTTTAGCCAGAGTCATCTTCATCTTCCCAAGCTGGCAGTCGCACCAGGCGCACAACTGGTCGAAGATAAGTCTGTCCCTTTATCCTCACTTCAGCTGCCCTGACTCGACCGTCCGAGCCTGGATATGTCTTGACAATCCTCACGATCGGCCACTGGGCCCTAGGCAGTTGTGAATCGACCACCATCACAATGTGTCCAGCTGCAAGATTGTCTGTATTCTTGTGCCACTTGTGTCGCTTCTGTAGGTTAGGAAGATGATAGCGAATAAAGTTGGGCTAGAAGTGGTCTGCCAAGACCTGGCTGTGTCGCCATTGCCGTCTACCCAGGAGTTCGCTGGAAGCGTAAATGGCTTGTGGAAGCGATGCATCACGACGTCCCATGAGTAGTAAGTTCGGGGTGACTGGGTCTGGATCAGCAGCATCCGAGGAAATATATCCCAGTGGCTTTGCATTGAGAATTCCCTCCACCTCAATCAATTTGTTTGGAGATGGGCTTCCCCACAGCAAGGAGTTTCACCTCTTCCTGGAAGGTCTCACTTTGGGATTGTCATAGGAGATGTAGTTCAGCTTCTTGTACATCTGCAGCTGTCATGGTGGGGCTCACCAGGTCTTTGGCCGCCCCGTGAAGGCTCATATGAGTGGCTCTAACGAGGTCATCCCAGTTGTCGATGTTAGTAACATCCACTTCATGAGAAGGACGGGTAGCTGCTGCACAAAACACTGTCTTGCGTAGCTCATCCTCATCTTCTTCCTGAGCTACTTCCATTTGTAGCTCTGGCCAGGTGTCAGTAGGCTGGTGAAGAAATTGTGGGCCCTGACTCCACCGGTTGGGCTGACTGAGCTGATGGAGTGTCTTCCCGCGGGTAAGGTCATCTGCTGGATTATCAGAGGTGCTGACATTCCGCCAAGTTGACCCTTCAGTAAGTTCTTGAATTTCAGCGACCCTCGTTCCAACAAAAACCTTGTATCGACTTGAGTCTGATTTCAGCCATGTCAACACTGTAGTTGAGTCGGTCCATAGTGTTATCTGCTGGGGAGAGAATGACAGCTCTGTCATTGTGACCTTAGCCAGCTGAGCTCCGGCTAGAGCTGCACACAATTCAAGGCGTGGTATTGACAGCTGTTTTCAAGGGCAAACACAAGATCTAGCCATCATAAATGCAACGTGAACATTGCCCTGGTTATCGGGAGTTTGAATATACTCGACTGCTCCATAAGCTCTTTCGGAGGCATCGCAGAAGATGTGCGCTTGTCTGTTAGGCACTTCAGGGGCCAAGGTTGCTGGAACATAGCATCTTGGGATTTCCACTTGTGGGAGGTAGACCAGCTCGCTCTCCCATTGTGTCTATATTTCCAGTAGAGCCTTGGGTTGAATCTGCTCATCCCAGTCGACTCCCACTTTCTACAGGTCCTGGATGAGGATCTTGGCTCGAGTGGTGAATGGGATAAGATACCCCAGTGGGTCATACTGCATGGCTATCGCCTTGTAGATGTTTCTCAGGGTTGGCTGAGAATACTCTACCGGTTGGTGTCTGTAGCCGAGGCGATCAGAGAGGCACTTCCAACGTAGGCCTAAAGCTGGTTCCTCTGGGTCTTGTCGGGACTGGGAAAGCCACAGCTCGGAACTAGCCGCTTTGGCTTCAGCAGGAAGGTGTTCCAAAACAGTTGGATCGTTGCTGGCCCACTGCCTTATATCGAACCCTCCAGCAGAGAGCAGACTGCGCAGTCGGTCAACTAGGGCTTTAGCTTTGTCAGCAGTGGTGATGCTTGTTAGACAGTTGTCCACATAAAAAGCACCTTCAACTGTATGCAGGATGTCTTCATGCCCCTTACTGTTGTCCTTCACGTGCCTCTGGAGGGCATACGTTGCACAGCAAGGACTGCACGTTGTTCCAAATGGCAGAACCTGCCACTCATATACAGTCAGTTCCTCCTCTCTCTTCATACCTCTCCACAAGAAACGGAGCAGCGGTTTGTCTTCTGGTAGTAAGCGAACTTGGTGGAACATCGCTTTGATGTCACCGCTGACAGCCACACTGTGTTCTCGGAACCGAAGAAGTACGCCCAGAAGTGAAGGACCTAGGGTCGGCCCGGGCAGGAGCTGGCTATTTAGACAGTGTCCATTGTGTTGGTAGGAACAGTTGTAGACAATTCTTGCCTTTCCATTATGGTGGACAACATGGTGAGGCAGATACCATGACTCCTGGGAGCTGTCTACTGTAGCTGAAGGAAGAGGTTTGGCATAACCTAACTGTTCAAGTTTATGGATTTCTTGACAGTAGGTATCTGCCAGAGCTGGGTCTTTAGCTAGACGACATTCAGTACTACGTAGCTGTGGGAGCAAAGTGTTCTTTGATGCCCAGAGGAGGGGACAACCCTTGCGCCTGAGAAGTGAAGTAGCATATCTAGTCACTCCATCCACTTCCACTTTAGTGGTGCATTGCTCTAACAGGTCCACAGCCTGTTGACCCTCTTTAGAACGTGTGGCAGTCGTTCACATAAGGCGAGATGTCAACTTCCCACAGACGTTCTACATGGTGCTGGAGCTCTGAGTTGGGAGACATGGTGAAGTAGCAGTGCGGGTGGTCAGCAGAAACAGGACTGAAGTTGGGTGGGCCTTGTAAAGTCCAACCAAGAGGAGTGCACACCGCTAGGGGACTCCCAGGTGGGCCAGCTATTACTGGTTGCTTAGGGATGAGTAGATGAGGTAAATCGGACCCAATAAGAAGTAAAGGCTGCACTCTGTCCACAAGTGGAAGTGGAAGTCTTCCCAGATGGGAGTACTTTAACATGAGTGACTTTACAGGGTAGCTGTGTTCTGAGAGACTTAGTTCATCAGCAGTGAAGGCATGGTGAATGCTGTACTTTACTTTGGGAGTGTGAACTGGAGATGTTTCAAATGAAACTGTTGCTCCCTGAAGGTGAATCACCTCATGGTGGACAGTGCGCAGGGGAAGGTTTTCAGGCTCTTTAGTCAGATGGAGGCGTCGCACTGCTGATGGGAGGATAAGAGTCCTCTCAGACCCGTCATCGAGGATAGCAAAGCCTTCCAGGGAATACTCAGAATTGTGTAGACATACTTTGACCAACTTGAGCATGACTTTATTTGCGTGGTTTGGATGGTCGATGTACACTGTATTGGAAGCAGTGTTGACCATTAACACCTTTTTCGGTTCTTGAGGGCACACATCATGGAGCACAATAAGATGTTGTTGCTTACATAATTTACAGGGCTTCTTTGGAGTGCAAACCTCAGGTGCATGATTCCTGCCACACCGCCAGCAGCTTCTGTGTTTGATCCATGTGGCAATTTCAGCTGCTGAAAGAGCTTTGAATTTAGGACACAGGCTCAGGTAATGTCCTCTGATGTCACAATAAGGGCAGTAAGGTTTAGGACCTGATTTAGGCTTAGGTGATCTTATATGGCCAGCTGGATCTGGAGGTGTGGCTTTAGCCTGGCTCTCTGTGTTGTAGTACACGTTGGATGAAGGACCCTGAGGTTTCTTCTGATTCCTCAGCTTTGGTTGATCTTGACACATGTAGGCTGCTCTAGCGGAGATTCGCTTGGCTTGTGAGTTCAACTGGAGCCATGTGGAGAAATCTGACAGGGTATAAGTCTTATCAGTCCCAGTTGTCAGAATGCCACGGTTCAAGCTATACTCAACAAAGCTGTCTCTGTAGTTAGCGGGCAATTTGTTAAGTAACCTATCAACATGAGAGCCACATTTGAGTTCGTAGCCATTTTCACCCTCTAGCGATCGGAGCATGCCTACTAAAGCTTGTACTGAGAGGGCAAAATAGTCAATCCATCTGGATCACCAACCCTAACTGGAGGTAAGTTTAGGATGGCTCCTAGCTCACTTTGCACAAGCTGGCGGGATTGCCCGTATTTATCTTGAAGTGCCTGTAGTGCCGATGTGTATGGTTTCGGGTCATAAAGGCTTGTGCTAGTTTGTGAGCACCAGGCAGCTTCAAATGTTGCAACAACACTTGATATTTAAATGGTTCGGTGAGGTGAGCATGTGAGCTTAGCACCTTATCTAGAGCCATTTTGAGCAGTGCAAAGTCTGCCTCTCTTCCAGATGTGAAGTAGGGTAAAGCAGGCTTAGGAAGTCCATATGATGTAGCTATTAATAGCTCCATTAAGTCTGTACTAGGTGCAGCGATTGAGCCTGGAGGAGGAGCTGTCTCTTGTGGCAAAGGTGGTATGCTGGGAGGAGAGTGATGCTGCAGGGCTGCATCAGGTTGTACTGGCTGTTGTTGTGAATAAGACCAGGGTAAATGCTGATGTGGAGCCTGGTTATAGACTGCTGGTAGCTTGTTTAGGGGAGCAGTGGACTGCACTGTTAAGGCTGGTGGTCCAGCACGAGGTAATAAAGCACCAACTGATAGTGTCGTACCAGGCTGAGGGATGGTATTATGCGCTGTGGTGGGCAGAGCTATCGTGGAGTATGTGAATTGTGGCTGGGTCGGCAGGTTTACCATGGCAGGAGGTTGCGGTTGAAGGATAGGCGAAGCTCTAGTTGTTAACTGGCTTGTTGAGACAGGAGGATTAGTCACTGCTGCTGTAAAGGCTGGTGGAGGGCCAATAACTGTAGGTGCAGAGTGTGCAGGTCCATGTGCACCTTGTGAGGGTGGTGGTACTCCCATGACGTCAGCTGGGGACCCTTTGTTGGATTCATCTCCACTTTGCGGTCTCGAGGCAACAGAGCTACTCGTTTCCTCCTTTAGGAGGGATGTAATGAGAGTCGCTTTCTCTAACTCTATTTCCTTTTCCTTTAGTTTACGTTGCAGCATTAGCCGTCTGGTAATAGCCTCTTTAGCCTTTAATGCTATTTCTGCCTCTTCATCAAGCTTACGCCTCTGTATTTCTTGTTCTCTTAGGAGTTCCTCTCTTCTTCTGAGGGCTTCCCGAGCTTGGTGGTCCAGATGCTGGTACTGTTCATCCATCAGACTTTCCTCCGTTATCTGTCTTTGCACCTCTGCCAACTCCATGCGCTTTATTCTCTCCTCCAACATGGCTGTCTGTATGTCAGATAACCCATCGATGATTGACCTCCTTGTTGACGAACTGGCACTGCCCTGGGTCTTAGCTTTACTGCGTTGAGAGACAGATAGGCTTCGATCTGATGATGCTCTCCTACTAGGTAGGCTCAGTATGGCTCCCGTGATGGCAGCTGTCATCATTGCAGGTTGATCTGGAGGATGAGCTTCATGCCCAGCTGGAGCTTGGGCTGCTGGATGATGGAGAAGTTGAGGTTGATATCCAACTTCATAGTCCTCCAAATAAGTTGGTAGTCGGCACTCCCGCTGGGATCTAGCATGCACTGCTGAGTCTGCAGATGGTTGTCCTAGCTCCTCCATAATATCTCTAGATGACTGTGAATCCGGCTCGAAGGACCATGTGATAGAGTGGGAACTCTGGAAGTTATTTGCTGATCTCACAGTATCTTCACGATAAGGACTCCGGTCAGAGAGCAGGGCACGGAGAGACAGTTTTACGTATTTAATGACAGTAGAAGTATGGACATCTATACATTTCTGTGGTTCCGTGTGGTCTGGAAAATAAATACAAAGAATGATGTAAAAGGACTTTACAAATGGATCTTCTAGAACTGCCATAACTATAACCCTTTCTGACAGTTGTATATTAATTTGATTCAGATGGTGCACCTTAGATTAAGCAGCAAGCTGTGTTAAAAGAAAATGATAAAGGAAGTTTAAGGGAGCACAGAAGTACCTGAAGTTTTCCTTTCTACCGCTAAGCTTGGGTCAGCCAGCGAGGTGTGTTATATTTATATTTTCCTGTTTTAATTGAATTTTTGTTGTATTTTAGTTTTACGATGGCATAGTATTTTGACGAAGGTAACAATACCAACTTGAAGGTCTGTAACAATACCAAATTCAAGATTGTTCAGCTCACATTAAAAGTAAACATGCCATCAGTAAAAAGAACTCTTTGTTGACTTTTAAGAGGCGGAAGTGATATATTCTCTTCTAAATGGCTAAAAATAACAAAGTGTAGTACCAGCTTTCAGAGATAGCAGCATCTCACAATCTTCCTTTCTATTCTTTAACAAGCGGTCCATTTTGGTAGTTGACCAAATGGCAGGCAACAGCAAAAAGCTGATTGATGCTACGAGTGAGGGAAAGGGGAATGAGTGTACTGAACAGTTTGTGCTCCTTCACCCTCCGAATGACTCGCTCAACGTGAACTCTGAGCCTAGCAATGGACTGCGTCTTTCTGACTTCTGGTCCAGACAGCTGGGTCTTTCTTTTAAGAAAAGCAGGTATATGGACTCTGCAAGGTACAATATCTTCAACCAGTAAACCTTTGTCAACCATGATGGCCATCGATGGGTTCAGCAGTGAGACCAGACCAGACTGCCTCAGAATCTCCCTGTTACTGATGCTGCCTTCGTAGAGAGGAGACACAAACATCACCGGTCCATGAGGGGCTATTCCGATCAGTCCCTTGAATGTGCAGTGTGACTTGTAGCTGGAGAACACTTCGCTCTGCAGGAGGAGAGAATCAGGGGTTTGACAGCGGAGCTCAGTGCAGCACAGGATGACCTAGGTGTCTGCATATTGGTGGAGGACCTCTGGCATTTTCTCTTTGATGGTCTTCTCATCCAGCCAAATGCCCACAGCTCCAAGCACATTGTAAAGGAAGTTAGCCCAGGTGTTGATTATCCGGCTCACTGTAGTCTGGTGTATTCCAAATCTGTGTGCCAAACACTTTTGCATCAGCCCCAAGGACAAGTAGTTCATGAAGAGGAAAAACTCATTGATGGGCTGAAGTGACTGCAAAAACAGTAAGAATGAATATATTAAAACATGCAGTTGTGTAATCAGATCCATTCGTTCAACTCATATTAGAGCTTTATAGTTGAACGAACATTAGTTGAACCTAAAATCAAAATCAACTTAATGTTGTGTTCACAGCTTGGCGGAGATGATCAGCTTGGGTTGCTGTTCGAGCTCTTGTCACACGCACAATGTCATGAACCGCTGGCTCTATCTGGCACCAAAAGGACATCAGGTGGGCATAACTTGCAAACCTGTGTTTGAGACATTTAAGTTATTGACCAATCCTGCAGCTCCAGGAAAATCCTCAAATTATACAATTGTTCTTAGTTTGGCCTCTGGATGGCACTATTGAACCACAATGTGACTTATTTAGTCATCAAATGCGCAAATCAAAGGCTTTTAAAATATTTATCATTTATGATGGATTACATAAGGACACAAAGACCGTAAGGCATAAAACTACCCAGATATAGAGTGTATATAGGTCTGTGGTCTTCAGACCCACTACAAAAGGCAAAGCAGCTCTAGGCAGCCGCTGAAATGTAACGGAAGTTACGGTGTAACTATGGTTCTGTGAGTTCCTGGATGACTGCCAGTGGCAGTAAACAGAGTAGATGTATCTCCTCACCAGTGGCACGCCTTTCATCGCCGCCCAGGATGTAGTAACACTCCTGGTGGAATGGCACACGATCCCAGGGGGAGCCACTGCACCCACTGCCGCATAAGCCATCGCAATGGCATCCACGACCCAATGCGACAGCCTCTGCTTCGAAAGGGCTCGACCCCTGTTCACTCCTCCGTGACAGACAAACAGCTGGACAGTGTTTGTGGCCACAATATAGAGCTGCAGTGCCCGAACCGGGCACAGCAAATTCGCCCGCCGTTGTCCCTCCGAATGAAATGGGGGAGGGAAATATGCCCCCAGCTCGATTGCGGCATTTACGTAGCCAGAGGGCAGAACTTTGGGAAGAAAGGCAACGTTGGGCCACAGCGTCACCCCCGACCCATCTGCCTTCCACCGCAGGTAGGCGGGGCTGATGTCCAGTGCGTGCAGCTCACTGACCCGTTTAGCCGTTGTCACTGCCAAAAGAAAGGCGGTTTTCACAGACACCACTTCCAACGGGGCGGTAGTCATCGGCTCAAAGGGTGGCCCACACAGGGCCTGCAGGACCAGGGGAAGGTCCCGAGCAGGTGCCGGCCTGCACAAGGGAGGACGCAACCTTCTTACGCCCCGCAGAAACTGGGTCACCGAATAGTGAGCCCCAACGCTCCTGCCATCCACTAAGAGGTGGTTGGCCGAAATAGCCGCTAGGTGTACCTTAAGGGTCGAGGCAGTCCGGCCCTTGTCAAACCGGTGCCTGAGGTACCGCAGAACCTCATGCAGGGAACAAGAACCAGGGTCCACGTCCCTGAAGGAACACCAGGCAGAGAACCGCTGCCAGCAGCGAGCGTACGAGGCCCTTGTAGACGGAGCCCTGGCACTATCCAGCACCTGCTGGATTGAGGGCTCTAAGCCGACTGGGGGCTGCCTGCACCCCTCAATGGCCAAACCGTGAGCCGAAGATGATCTGGGGACGGATGCCAAATCCTCCCCTCCATCTGAGACAGGAGGTCCCGCCTCACCGGCAACCGCCACGGCTCCCCGTTCAACAGACTGAGAAGCAATGGAAACCAGACCCTCATGGGCCGGTCTGGCCACCAGAAGGACCTCGTGTGACGAGTCCCTCACCCAATGGAGGGTCGGTAAGATCAACGGGAAAGGTGGGAAAGCGTACAGCCGAACCAACGGCCAGACATTGGCGAGGGCGTCCATCCCCAGCGGGGCGTCGGCCTCTGCCAGGGAAAACCACAAGGGGCAATGCTTGCTGCTCCTCGAGGCGAACAGATCCACCTGGGCCTCTCCGAACTGATGCCACACCCTCTGCACCACCTGAGGGTGCAACCTCCATTCCCCCGAGGGAAGACCCCGCCGAGACAGGCAATCCGCCACCGAGTTCCTCCACCCCGGAAGGTGCAGCGCCCTGATGGAGGCCAAGCAAGGGTAAGCCCAGGTCAACAGCGTCTGAGCCTCCCTCAACGATCGCAATGACCTGGAGCCCTCCTGATGGTTTATGTGGAACACCGCCGAGGTGCTGTCCGTCCAGACAAGCACATGCTTGTCTCGCAGAAAAGGCAAGAAGCGCCTCAGCGCCAAGTAGACGGTCTTCAATTCCAGGACATTGATGTGAAGCCGTGCCTGACGGGGGCTCCACAATCCCTGGACCGACCTGCACTGCCAATGCACCCCCACCCCCGGGGTGACGCATCCGTCGTGACCACCTCCCGTCTGGCGGGGACCACGCCAAGCGGGACACCGAGACACAGGTAGGCGACATCGTCCCAACGACGCAAAAGAGCCACACAGCTGCTCGTGACCTCCAGCTCGACCCGTCGGTGTCACCGGGGATCCAGGCGGAAGCCGTTGAACCACCTCTGCAAGGGCCGAAGGTGGAGCAGCCCGAGAGGCACCAGTGCAGAAGCCGTGACCAGCATCCCCAACCAGGGCCGGAGTGGGACACATTTTCAGCCCTGGAGTTTCAGACCCCAGACCGGCCCACTTAACGAATTATTATTAAAATCATGTTAGAACTTTATATGTATAGTCTACAAAAGCACACTACTCGGTAAAGCCTTGTAATTCAGTGCAAGAAAGAGTTGCTTTACAATGCATATTTGAACATCAGTGCACATCTCCAACATTGTTCTTTACAACACATTCTCTAACAATATAACAATCCACCTTCTGTTCAAACAGCTGTTCTGAGATTTTCAAACCTTTAAAATGAAATGACTCAGCACTCCCTTTCACACTTTTTCCAGTTTCCCTAGACTCACCTGCACACAATTAAAATAATCATCTGTAAAGCTTTAGCAAATTTGATATGGAAATCACATTTTTTGTAACCAATTAAAATATTTTCTATGGCAAAATATGCAGGCTTATTTCATTTTACTTTCATTCTAATAGCGATCTGTTGTGGGCTTTGTGCATTTACTAATAAAAATACATCAGGTCACTACTATTATTTGGACATTAAAATTATTATAATGAAACTGATGTTTGCTTGTTTGCACATGAGTTGGCTCACTTTCTATCCCAACAGGAGCAATACCCTCACTGCTGGCTCCTGGCTCTTCTTCTGACACTACATTGTGTGAAAATGGTCACAATTCAGCATTCATTTTCCTTTTTTACACACTTTCTGATCAATGCTGAATCATCTAGTATTTTAGAACACTTTCATATAGAGTCAGGATAGTTTTCATCATATAAATTTTAATAATATTCAGTTCACTGACTCAATAAGTAATCCTACCTGTACATGCCCGTTCTGGAATGGTGGGTTTCTGCCTGGTGCTTATTAGGCCTACTGGATCTTGTGTTTGACTCTGAGGGGCTACAAGACAGTTTGGTGGCATCAGTCACATCATACTGTTAACTATATTACATAACGTTATGTCATGACGCCATATAATTCATTATTGATGCTTAATTAACTTGAATGGTGATTTGCAGCCGATAAAGTTTAACATCTTGACTTGCCTTACCCGTTTTATCTTCATTTGAAGTTAAAGACCGCGAGCTTGTTTGAGAAAAAAAAGGTGCTCATTTTTGCACATTTATCTGCATCTGTTTCCAGCGCTTTCCTCTTTTTAATTCTTGCCTTCTCCGCGCCACCCTTGCTCTTTCTACTTTCCATCTTTCCGTCAACTGCGTGGTCACGTGGTGCGCACAGGCGCATACGGGGGAAAAAAACAACGAGCTGCAGCCTGCAGGTAGAGACAGCCGGGAGGAGCGTATGTGATCAGCCCGGCGGCCTCAGTGCCATGACTGAACACCGGCCCCAAAAAATAAAAATAAAATGATAAAAAACAAAAACGAGAGCACCGGCCGCATGCGGCCCAAACATCGCGCGGCCCACCGGGAATTCTCCAGACCCTCCCGATTAGCCACTCCGGGCCTGTCCCCAACAGTCGTATTCACACCTGGACCGGGGGTGCTGCCCCAAGGCGAAAGGCCCGGAGCAAAGACCGAATCCGGACACTCCTCTGCTCGGTCAGCCTTGCCCGCATGGCCACAGAATCTATGGCAATGCCAATAAAATCCACCCGCTGAGTCGGAGCCAGAGAACTCTTCTGCAGGTTCACCGTCAGCCCCAGCGCCTCGACGTGGGCAAGGACACTGGCCGTGACCAGACCCACTTCGCGACACGACGGCGCACAGACGAGCCAGTCCTTGAGATATGGCAGGACCATCAACCCCGCCCGACACAGGGGGCTCAGGGCTGCCTTCACGCACTGCATGAAAACTTGGGGGGCGAGAGACAAGCCGAACTGCAGAACCAGAAACTGGTACACCCTCCCGATGTATGCGTCCTTGAGATTTATTGTCGTGAACTACTCCCCTGGACAAACCACCTGAAGGACATTGCGAGTCCAAAGCATGCGGAAGGGCAGCACCTTCAGGAACCGATTGAGACCCCTGAGGTCCAGTACTGGCCGCAGGGACCTGTCCTGCGGGGGGGGGGGGGGGGGGGGGGGGGGGGGGGGGCGCTGTCCTGCCCAGAGGATTCCCGGGGCGGTGCCTGACCTGCCCCCGAGCATCTCTAAGTCCCTGCCACGGCCACGGTCTGCTGGGTGACCTGCAAGGGGGCGGCTGGATGAAACCGGCGCCGAGGGTCCCGTGCCCCTCGTGGCCTGGACTGTGGCACTGGGAGGACCCCTGCCCCGCTACGCCTACTCCAGTCCTCTGCGGCCTTTCTGGACTTCCGCCGACATTCCAACGCCCTCTCAGCCTCGGGCCCGAACAACTGGCCCGGCACCACGGGCAGTCCACGCAGGCTCTGTCGGCAGTCATCCAACACCGGGGCCTGCGCCAACCAGACCTGACGGCGAGCCATTACCAGTGTGCCCAACAGCCGACCAAGCTCCCTGGACATCAGCCCAAACGCTTGTAGGGCTGCGTTGTTTGTATTGCCCAGTGCCATCCCCGCTGCGCCCAACTGCAGCATCTGGGACTGGGCTAGCAACAGCACCGACAGCGAATTGCTGGTGCGCGCCATCCTTGCCCCGATGTCGTAAGCCCGGCACAGTAAGCTGTCGGTCACCCGACAATGGGTGCTCGGACAGCGGACCCTGTCCCTCAATGCCTCATCCGGGGAGAGCACCAAAGAAGCAACGCAGTGGTCCACCAGGGGCATGCGGTCCAACCTTAGGTTCCTGCCTCCCGCATCGATGCCAGGGTCCTGGCATCCCTACCGTGGTGGGAGAGCTGCCTCGAGTTCTCCCAGCACCGCTGCAGCTCCTCCACAATGGCCGGCGATGGTGGGACCTGAAACGGGGGCACCGCCGGAGCCCGGTGGAAGAAGGGATTCCCCGCCGGATGGGCCACCGGCACATCGTCCAGTCCAATCCTGGCCAGTGCCGCTCGCAAAATCGCCTGCAACTGACAGGGGTCCTCCGCCAGCTCCGAACTTGCTCTGGTCAGCAGCGCTTTGAGTTGTTCCACCTCCGCCCGCAGAGTGTCCACTTCCTGGCAAGAGGGGTGCGCCACACGCCGCTTCTTGCGCCTCGGGCTGCTGTATTCCTCAGCCGGTCCATCCCTCCGTCTCCCGGAACACGGATGAGGGATACCAGAGGGCGGCAGGTCTGACTCAAACAGGAGGCACTCTACTTGATTTAGCCTGTCCTCCCGCACCGCCAGCGGCAAAATGCTGCAGTTCATGCATGGGCCAGTCAGCGCCTCTCTGAGGTGACCGACGCCCAGACACTTTGGCCACAAGTTGTGGCCGTCCTCCACCTGGAGGGGAGCCCCGCATGACGTACACGCCAACATCCCTACCGATGTGGGAGACGCCAGCGAATACACAGGAACTGAGCGAGGACTTCAATGAAAACTGAAGAACGCAATTCAATCCTGGAGTTGTTAAACAACACACAATGTGTGTCAGCTGGGTAATCTGAGCGTGACACCTCCACGGTCAGAACGTCCAGCCCCACTTACCTGTAGCGCTCGCCGGCCGCACCCCCTCCCCTTTCCACAGGGGAAAACAGCGACCGCCAGCGAGCCCTATCCGAGCCGGCAGCGGCAGAAATTCCCAGAACACCGGGACCGCGCCCTTCTTCAGAAGTCTGCGTCGCCCATGTGAAGAGGGCTTGATAAGGTCAGCAGGTGAAAAATGACAACTGCGTTCTCTTGTATTGAGTGTGACCTGGAAGCAGTCTTGTCTTATATTATTTACCCACTTCTTCTGTAACTCACCATCTTTTGGGAAAGTGTGAAAACTTAAAAAAGAGTTACACCTTGAGGATGATGTGCATTTTGGTACACAGCAGTGGTAGCTAGCTGTGCTGTCCCCTCTCTTCTGAAATGAAAATTTAGTCCTCTTGGATGTCATCTTGTACACACACTCCCGTGTATTCAATTTAAGGTAAAAAAAAAAAAAGGAAAAAAAAAAGCAATGAAAAGATGAATTTGTGATAATTTTCAAACTAAAAAGAAGACCACAGACTAGCTTCGGCAAGGACCGGAAGAAGGCGTGCCCTCTGAAATTCTTCCGGAAAGTCGTCACGCGGCTCCGTCTGTTGGAAACAGAGTGTTGTTCTATTTTTTGCCAACGGATGCCGCAATTTTCTGTTTTTTGTAAAGCAACAAACAGTGTTTAGAAAAATTTAGAGGAAGTGTTTCTACTAAGTAACTCTTTTAACTTTATTCATCCGGTTCCTTCTCTTTCTACTCCTATCAATACAATAGTGTTATTTTATTTTTTGTCAGCCGGGGGCGCCAATTCCCTATTCTTTCAAGGCAACAATAGATGTTTAAAAAATATTAAAGGAAGTGTTTCAAAGTAACTCTTGTAAAAGTTTATTTAGACAAATGACAAACAGTAAATAAAAACTACATTTGTATTCGGTTTTTGGTTTCCCAATTTATAAACTTTTAATTTAATTACTTGTAATCTAAAATTTGGTTTGATTGATGCCCACTGTAATGTTCTTCAAAAATGTTTTAAATACTAAAAATACTATAAATGAAAAAAAAAATACTCTGGTATTTATTTGTATTGTTTAGGTCAACTGGATGGGAACACAGCTCGGCTTTGAGGTGATCCCCAAGTCCCCAAGATGAAGGAGTGTAAATCACACTTTTCAGGTGTTTATGTGATTTTTAACCATTATACAGTCTGTGTTTTTGTGATGTGTCCAAATAAAATACGTAGAACTTTAAACCCAATGCATTGTTATTTTTAGTTCATGTCATCACCGTACATTGAGTACCTTACATTCATCATGCCCAAAGTGCTTTAGATTATACAATTAATTAGTTAAAATAAACACAGGATTGTATTTCTATTTTCTCCCACAATCTAAATGAGCTGGATAATGGAGTCTTCATCAGTTCATTTGGCTTTTTAGGTCTGCTGCTGAGCTCCGTGGTTTGACTTTCTAAGCTCTTAAAACTACGACTCCCATCGGGCTTTGCGTCGTTGTGTCAACATGGCGTCTGTCTGCTGGACAAAAGGCGGATTGAAGCCCAGTTAGAAGCAAGGGGGAGACATTTTGGGAAAACTGCCGCTGTCTGTGTTTCTGCGCCCCGAGGCGGCGGATTTATGACCAAACAAGCATCTGTGGAGGCTCTCGGACTGGAATAATGTGAGTACCGCCGCCGTAGACGTGCCCCCGCCCGCCAGCCCGGCGCATTTCTCCGGGTTTTATCTGTGCGGTGATGTCTGCAAACTCCTTAAAATCCACCGGAGCCGTTGACGGGTTCCTTGGCGGGTTAGTTTAACGCCTCCCCGTCGGTCTCGTCGGATTACCGGAGTGACATGTATGTAGTTTATAAAGCGGACCGAGTCTGACATGACAACTTTTCTGTGTGGTGGTTAATTACAGGCGAACTGAGGTTCTGCACACGGCCAAGTTCATATGTCAAATTATTACGTTCCTTTTCATTTCGTAGAAAATGTCCCTGATTTCAGGAGAGACCTGCTCAACTCCTGAAGCAGACCGAAAGAAACCTCCTCTTGTTTTCACGTTCCTGTCTGGAGCATGACAACTTTGTGCAACACCAAAGGCTCTTCTGGTTCCGAGTCCAGTTTGAAACTTTAACGTTTCCCATCGTGTCTGCTGCAGGATCGAGCTTGTGCCACGTCTGGCTGGTTCACTGGGTTCAGCCTCTCTGATCCAGTTATTCTTTAACGTGTTGGGACTCTTTGATGAACAACCCAAGTTCAGCAATCATAAAGTTATTTTTAGACAAGCACACGCAGGAACAGTCCAGCGTGCTGTGTGAGGACCGAATCAGACGCTGTTGGACAAACATCTCAAAGACAGTTCTGGTTCTTGTCTTTTCTGGCTGCTCCACTTGTCATCAGACTGTTTGGGTGTAAGAAGTTATGCAGCGTCTGTCCTCACAGCCCGACTCCATGCTTCACCAGTGATCTACACTAGAAGGGCGTTCCAGTGTGTTCATGTCTTTGGTTAACTCTTTAGTGAAGACCATAACTAGATGGAGTTATTCTGGACCACCTTGGTGTTGGTGTAACCCTTCCTTTATTTGTAAAAGTTTGGGGTGCCTCAGGACGCATACGAACCTCCAACAGTTCACCACAGAGTGAGAAGCGGATGGATTCAGGATCGGGACCTTTTTCAGTCTGAGACTGTGGTCCTCAGTCAGGAATGGGTGAGTTTCCAACTCCAGGTTGAGAACGAGCTAGGGCTTCAGGTGGAGGAGATCTTGGAGTCTTGTTCAAAAGTAAGATGGTGGTAGATGAATAGATTAGTATTTAGTCTGTTGTGGTGAAGAGAACGCTGAAAGGTGAAGGTGATGACTTCCAGAGCAACCTACAACTTAACCCTCATGAGCTGTTATGGCTGAAGTGAGATGTCTCTGCTGGCGAGATGAGAGAGGGCTCAGGTATACAGTAGGAGCTCAGAGTCCCTGCTTGTCTGCATGGAAAGAGATGGGGCATCTAGTGAGGATTATATCTATGGAAGGTGTTTGACATGTCCCACTGGGAGGAGACTTTAGGACAGTCTGAGGACTCACTGGTGGCTTGGTAATGTCTCTCTCCTGGTGTATGGAGGGAGGTAGTTGGGAAGAGGGAGGTCTGGGGATCTCCGCTTAAGCAGCTGCTCAGTTCTGGATAGGTGGCAGAGAATAAATGTGTTCACTGAAAACCCATTTTTTAATGATTATGTCTGATTATAATTGGTCACAATGTCACACTGTCACTGAACATTCGTGGACTCACCCATCTTCAGTCAAGACAGGGAAGGCTGTTCTCGGTTTAAGTGTCCAGGGAACAGCAGAGAACATCACGACTAGTAGAAGGTAACTGTTAGCGTTAGCAACTCCACCACACAGCAGAACTCTTCCAGGTTTATGTCATTTGTGGAGATAAAACCTCAAAGAGTCAGTGGTAGAGTCTTGTTGTTATCCAATCAGAGGAGAGACGTATCAGGTAATAAGACCCCAGATTTTGCCATCTTAAGCTCAACTGTGATAGTTACTGGAATACACGGGTATATTCCAGTATCCCCCCCACCGAGTAGGACTCGCAAGCCATTAATTCCTGCCAGAGTCCACAGTAAATGTATTGGTTAAATGAGTGAACCACACCAAAGTAACTACCGGTAACTAAACAAATAAATTAGGATTAAAAAATCAGATCATTATCTCCACCTACTGAAACAGACTATATAACAATAAACCGACTGCTGTGGTGCAGCTGACCTCAGAGTAATATCCTGGGTTTGTCCTTGGATCTTACCTTTGTTTAGGTCATCTAACTGACCAATCACAACAGACTGAGACTTCTAAAACCACATTTACAACCAACATTTATTTTAGCAGTCTGCACATTTATAATATTACTGTATTTTTGGAAACTAAATCATGCAAACCACTCGTTTCACACACGGGTTTCACAGGATGGAGATGGAGAGTCTTAATAGATGTTTCTTTTGCTCGGTGGGGAAATATTTCATTTGAAAGTGCAACGATTGGCTGCAGCTACAGATTGATTTAGCTTTTGTGTTATACCTTGGCTAAACTAATTGCTGTTTTCTAATTGACCCACATATTCTACATAACTCAGATGGATAGTGATCCAGAAACACAGTTTCTGGTATTTTTTCATTTGCACTAGACCGCTGAGATAACCATTTTGCTGTATCTTTGCAGGTCTTTGTTGTTCGTATCAATCCAACTTGATTATACCATGAGTCATCCTCTGCAGCAGGAAGAGAAAGTATGTAGCTTGGCTGCCTGAGATGTAAAATTTTCTTGACATTTTTCCTGAGATACTCACAAACCACATGCACACACACACACACACACACACACACACACACACACACACACACACACACACACACACACACACACACACACACACACACACACACACACACACACACACACACACACACACACACGCCCTCTGTGTCCATTTCTTATAATCTCAGATATGCCTGCCGTATTAAATTTTCTGCTGTTGCTTTTTTCTCCCTGCAGCAGAAAGAAAAGCATCAAGGCAGATGTGTTATCTCTTATTTCTGTTTATCTCCCTCCTCCCCCCACAGACCAGCTTTGTTGCTGTTATCAAAGCAGTTTTTTTCAGTCCACATCACAATATGTTTAAAGCTGCACAGCATAGCACAGTACAGCTGAGGATATAAATGAATATTTCAGAATGCTAAAGCTGCATGGAAGAGATGGTGTATTTCTATAGAAATCAGGGAACCCAGCACAATAGCACAAATTAACTGAGTCAATTTGCATAACATTATGTGATTACCGCCGGGGTTGGAAACGTCTGTGCTCAAATAAAAAGTCTGATTGAAGCTGAAGGAACGCACTCTATATCTGGAAAGCAGCTGCTGAGCAGTGTTCAAGAGGTGTGTGTGTGTGTGTGCGCTTGTGTGCGTGCGTGCGTGCATGCATGTGTGTGCAGTCTGTAAATCTGCTGGTAAGAAGCTGACAGATGTGTCTGTACTGCAGTTTTTCTTATGGTGTCACTGTTTGTATTTCCACGATGTATGCAGATGAAGCTCATCTGTGATTTTTCTGGAGAATTGTCGCCATGTTGCTTGAAATGCTCTTCACACACTGATGAAAACCAATAATTTAAATGCTTGGTCACAAAAAGGAATAATTTTAATCTCCTCTGAAATGTACAATCCTGGGAAAACTACAACCAATTATCACACTGGTCTCCATCTCAGTGATTGGCTCCTGATCATGGACCACCCCCTACTTGCCTCTTCATGCATGAATGATGCATTCTCGACTTGAAGCTGTTAAACAGGAAGAGAAGCTAAAGCTGGGCTGCCTCATGTGTCTGACGGAGTGTTCTGTTCTGTTTTCAGATGGCATTTGAGGTGTTGCTCTGTTTAGAGTCTGGTTCTGTTCTTGTTGGGAGATGTTTAGGTGATGGACTTGTTGTCTGTGAATGCAGCGCTGGTAGAGCTGTGGTTCAGCCAACTCAAACTGTGTGTGTGTGTGTGTGTTGGATTGGGGATGGACTTTTGGATTGTGTATTTTCCAAAAGTTGCTTGCTTAAGCGGCTTTTCAGGAACTCCCACCTTACCTTTAAGTAATAAGATACAGACATGTAATTTTAAAAATATTTGTAACTTATGTTTTGCATCTAGAAATAAAGTACCGGTAATTAAATTACATTTCTGTGTTGTGTAACAGTCAGAGTGATGTTGCAAACAAATGCCAGTAATAGTTATACAGAACAAAGTGACAGCTGTCTACTTTAGCCTTACAATTCAGAACATTATGAGCATATCTCAATGTTCTTTTAAGGTAATCATATAAAAATGAAGTGAAATGTCTCTGTGAGCATTTGCTCCCGAGAGATAATAAGATAAAGGAGGTAAGCTTTCAACTTTCATATGAAGGTAAATTAATCCTTAACAGAAGAGATGTCCCACTTCTATGAAATGAAGGGCTCAGATTTCACTGTTGGAACAGAAGACCTCATAGGTGATGGAATACAGAACACATAATGGCCAGGTCAGCAGGACACACCGTCAAACAAAATGGGACGTGCAATACCCTAAGTGCAGGTTTTACCCCCCACCCCCACCTGAGTCACATTGCTGTCAACCAAATAAACAAAACTGTAGTCTACCTTAGAGCTGGACGATGCAGGAAAAAACTTATCGATTAAAAAAAATCATATTGATCGATATCAATGTAATGTACCAAGTGGTCAAATCTTCACCAATAAATTGACCAGAAAGCAACCTTTCATTTGCAGACATAAACCCACCATCTGTCTGGCCTCCAAATCCAGAAAATTCTGCCCAGTTATTGTTTCCGTACAAGAAGACAAAACATTCTCACCCAAGGTCTCATGCAGGAGCCAGACTGCTGCAACCCCACTCTAAATAAATGTAAACCTACTTGAAGTTCCTACGTGACTTTACAACTTATAAGTTTGAATCATTAAATGTGCTGAATGAACAAGATGTTTAAATCAAATCTGTGCTTTAATCAATGATGGTTTTAAAATTAAATAGTTCCTGCAATGATCCATTTCAGATCTTATCTACACCAGATCAGCATGTGTTTGATTTAACAATTAACCTACCAATATACTTATACACACTATAATAAGATAATTATAAATTTTAACATCCATTTCACATAACTGTTAACATTCTCTCACAAAGGGTTAACCATCTTTGCATCTGAAGGAAGGCAGGACGTCTGAGAAATGTTTTGGTAAAGCTCTCAAACGTGTCAAATTCTGAGTTGCCAAATTTATAAGCAATGTGATTTTAATAAAACAGTAATTACTTCCCGATTAATTCAGTTTCCTACTGACTCCCGATTCGGTCAAATTGGGGAAGAAGCAATTTTGAAACCATCCTATCTTTTGACCTCAGGTCAAAGCTTTTCTGCAACGCTGTGGGTGATATCAGACAGACGTCTCTTCTAAGAGCCAAACAAACAGACTTAGATGCAAACAAGTATTCCAGCTTCCTTTCGTCACCAGGAGAGATCGCAGACTAGACAGGTCCTATCGGAGCTAATCTACGCGTTCCTGATACCGAGAGGTCCACTCCACCGACAGTGACTATCACGACCTCTTGACCGCCTGGATCGCACGAGAATCTTCGGATAAGGGTGCGTAGATTCGACACAGATTGCGTCGGATGGGTTTTATAAATAAATCTGTAGTTTACCTAACATACAGCCAAATATATGAAACATGTCAAATATATTTTTTAAATTCAGCCCTGGCCATCTTAATCCATTACTTTATGATAAAGCAAGTTGGTTTCATTACCAGACTTTTTTATCGATTCTGTTGCAAACCACCATTGCTTGCTTTTTGTCAGACTTGTAAGAATGAAAACATCGCCACACTGGTGAACTACTCTAACCTTTTTATGGGACAGTTTCTTCCACCTCTCTGCTGCAACATCTTGTTTAAGTCCCACTGCTGTCTGTTTAGGTTTGAGAGGGGAGGGCTTGGTGATGGCGCGTGCATGGGTCTGTGTTTTTGATTGGTTTGATGTCAGTAATGACTCTAGTATGAAGCTATTCAATAGGAAAAGGAAACCTATATTGAAGTTGTATTAATCCATTTTCTTTCTATTGAACCACATGTCTATTGATCGATATATATATATATATATTACAGTCGGGTCCATAAATATTGGGACAACGACACAATGCTAACATTTTTGGCTCTATACACCATCACAATGGATATCAAATGAAACGAAGATGTGCTTTAACTGCAGACTGTCAGCTTTTATTTGAGGGTATTTACATCCAAATCAGGTGAACGGTGTAGGAATTACAACAGTTTGCATATGTGCCTCTGAATTGTTAAGGAACCAAAAGTAATGGGACAGAATAAGAACCATAAATCAAACTTATACGTTTCAATACTTGGTTGCAAATCCTTTTCTGTCAATTACAGCCTGAAATCTGGAACACGTAGACATCACCAGACGTTGGGTTTCATCCCTGGTGATGCTCTGCCGGGCCACTACTGCAACAGTCTTCAGTTCCTGCTTGTTCCTGGGGAATTTTCCCTTCAGTTTTGTCTTCAGCAAGTGAAATGCATGCTCAATCAGATTCAGGTCAGGTGATTGACTTGGCCATTGCAAAACAGTCCACTTCTTTCCCTTCAAAAACTCTTTGGTTGCTTTTGCAGTATGCTTTGGGTCATTGTCCATCTGCACTGTGAAGCACCGTCCAATGAGTTCTGAGGCATTTGGCTGAATATGAGCAGATAATATTGCCCGAAACACTTCAGAATTCATCGCGCTGCTTTTGTCAGCAGTCACATCATCAATAAATACAAGAGAACCAGTTCCACTGGATGCCCACACCATGACACTTCCAGCACTATGCTTCACTGATGAGGTGGTATGCTTAGAATCATGAGCAGGACCTTTCCGTCTCCATACTCTTCTCTTCCCATCATTCTGGTACAAGTTGATCTTGGCCTCATCTGTCCGTAGGATGTTGTTCCAGAACTGTGAAGGCTTTTTTACATGTTGTTTGGCAAACTCTAATCTGACCTTCCTGTTTTTGGGGCTCACCAATGGTTTACATCTTGTGGTGAACCCTCTGTATTCACACTGGTGGAGTCTTCTCTTGATTGCTGACTTTGACACAGATACATCTACCTCCTGGAGAGTATTCTTGATCTGGCATGCAAATTGGCGCTCCTCTGTTTTCATCACACTTAATGGTCAAACAAAGATCAGAATAAATTCACAAGCAGTAAACAACTAGCAATCATTGAGAAGCAAACATAATGTGGTGGTAATTCATGGTGTTGTGCTAATTAATTATGTAATGATTAAATTTACATATTGTTTAATGAACCATAAAATGTGAGATTCCGTAGGAAATATGAAACCAATCTTATGGATCTTTGGATAACTTAAACCAGAAGATTGGAACTTTTTATTGCAGGGATTATGTAACTACTTCGTATTAACTCAGAGACAAAGAGTCAAGTTTTAAAAGTTTAAAGATTGATTACTAAACAGATTAAAACTAGACTAACTTTAAACACTAAATGTATGGTGTAACTAAGGTGAATTGAGATGGAGAATGTTGTAGTGTGGAATGTTGTTCCGAACCAGCAAATCCGGAGAAACGATTAGTTCTGATGGGAGTGAAGCTTTTGGTTTGGAGATTTATAACACATTGAGACGCCATTCTGCCGGCCTACGTACCCTTTCGGAAGTCCCCGTTAGATCAGGAATGTCGAGGTCCAGCTTGACCTCCTCTGGAACCGAAGCCGGTAGGAAAAGCAGCTGTTGCCGACCAGGCAAGTCTTGAGATACTTCCGGGTCACGACAGTTTTATTGACATCTAGCAAGACCCAAAAAGGAGTCGTGATTCAGCTTTTATTCTGAAAGGAACGGTTGCAGCAGTTGGAACAGCAACAGATTTATCCAGCTTGTCGTTGGTTCTTTTGACTGAAGAGGAAAGTTACGGATTGGCCACTCCGACAACTTCTCTAGAAAGCTTTGAACTGAAGTGTAGGCTGATGTGGGCATAGTTTTACAATTTGGATGTTTTGATTTACGGTCGAATCAAAAAGGGACAGATTTACCAAGCACCAACAAAACCACTCCTCCGTCTGATCTGGAAGATTCTGACTGGATCATAAAAGGAAATGTGTCATGTGACTTAACATTATGCGTGATCATTCTAGTGGAAACATATAAAGTTATTTTACTTATTAAAATCTACTAATCATAAACCTTTTCATTTCAGATTGGTTCACATTTTCACTAACACTTTGTTTGATTAGCTTTATTAAAATAGAGTTCTTTGATTTATTAAAAGGAGAGTCCATTCTTCATTCTTCTCTTGAGCTGGAAAGAAGCAGTTTTAGAAGCAAATGCATGACCTTGAGACAGTCTCGTGCAGATTAGTTCTTCCTGAGGAGAGAGTAAATAACCTTCGGTGGAATAGCTCCTTCATCACGTTACAATAAGTGTGCTAATTAAATTAAATTAAATTATACAACAGTTAGTTCTAACCAAGTAATTTGATTGGACAAGAGACATTCCTTGAGTGCTGATATTGGAGTACAACAGCACTGGGACATTTTACAGACAATATCAGGCGTTAATGTTGTATTTTTGTGTTTCCTGGCAACAGCTTTCTAGTTGAAACTATTTGTGTTGGCGGAGCTAAATAAATGATTGAATAAACTAACAAATTATATCTTATGTCGCTTAATATTGTTAAGAAATTTTGCTCTTAGAACTGTTGTATAAAAGCAATACCACTCAAGAGGGAGTGCTGTTGTGCCAAATATCAGTACTGGTGTGATTATTTACGTATTAATGATTTGAATCACACAAATGCATATATTCAACACAACAGCACTCCCTCTCGTGTGATATTTGTTAATTATGAAATTTAAAATGACAGCCTACCTACAGCAAAGGAGTGAAGTTCCCAGCTGGCATCGATGAGGTGTGCAGTAACACAGAGGTAGTTATCATTATTGACAGATGTCCAGTGGTCCCCAGTCAGTGCTACACAAGTTGCCTCCACCAACTTCTCATCTTTCGCGGCTTTCTCTGTTGCATGCTGGTCATGTATTTTCCTCACGATTGTTCGCCTCGCAGGTAGTTTTTAGGATGAGTCACCTGTGGCCGCCTGGAGAACAAGCTCGAGCCATGTCGGCGCGTCTCGTTTGAAGATTCCTCTTGCATTAATGATGTCTCTTTCGCACCCTCAGGTATACATCCGCACCACGCATCCGCGCCAACCAGGTATACATCTGCGCAATGTGAAAGTCATCATAGCTTACTTAGTATAGACCTAGATCCCAATCCAACTTTGAGAATAGATTAATGGCGACATTTTTTTCATCGCGCGATCACTGAAACTCAATTTCGTTTCTCTGTATGTCTTGCACATGTGGTAGAAATGACAATAAAATGACTTTGACTTGAATTGATAAGAGACTGGCTTTGCCGCAGCACGTTAACGCTGATAAAGGCCCACCCCTTTTTTTATATATATGTATATATATATATATATAATATTGTTATTGAATTGTTGTCCAGCCCTAGGTCCACCCTACATCTTTCTCTGGACTTGTTAGGACTCAACATCGGTATTTATCCCTTGCTGCTTTTGAATGATGAGAAAAAATAGTTCCTGAATAATGAATAAGACCAGTGTTTGAAACCCAGCTGCCCATTGGGTCATTGAGACAGAGGCTCATTTTCAATTTTCTGATTAGAGAGCTGTGTGGGATTTGTCCAAGTTGTATAATGGGAAACCAGATCTTCACCCTTGCTTGGTTTCTGAAGGGGTTATGGGAATTTGGTTTTCCAGTTCACATGCTTATGACCACATTCTCGTCCGGTTCACTGTTGAGGACCATCAGTTGCTTAAAACTAAAGGTAGAAATGTGTCAACTTGGACTCTGCACCTTGTGTGAATGTGGAGTAGAACCACCATTCCACAATAAAATGTGTCAGTCAAAACCCACCAGCAAGATCATAAACTCTGCTAGGTCTGGGAACATTTAATGATCCCATGGATGGGTGGGCAGATGAATGTGTGTGTGTGGGTGTGTGGATGAATGAATGGGTAGATGGATGTGTGGGTGGGTGTCTGTGGATGGATGAATGGATGTGTGTGTGGGTGGATGAATGGATGTGTGTGTGGGTGGATGGATGGATGTGTGTGTGGGTGGATGGATGAATGGGTAGATGGATGTGTGGGTGGGTGTCTGTGGATGGATGAATGGATGTGTGTGTGGGTGGATGGATGGATGGATGGATGGATGGGTAGATGGATGTGTGGATGGATGGATGAATGGATGGGTAGATGTGTGGGTGTGGGTGGGGCGGGGGGGGGGGATGATCTGAAATGACTCAGACTGGACATGATGTGTATAATTTCTGTTTTATGACTATAAAACAACCTCCCATCAGTCACTTACTGGTGAAGCAGTCAGCCCAACTAAAGCTAGATTTATACTCGCCAAGCTGACCCTCGTGAATGCAATAAAAAACGATGATTTGGTTTCTCTTTTGATATTCATTTTGCAGGATGTTCCAGCAGTGTGAGGAGCCTCGCTTTACCATCGAGCAGATCGACCTCCTCCAGAGGCTCCGGAGGACGGGTATTTCCCAGCCTGAGGTCCTTCACGCTCTCGACACCCTTGACCACTTGGACCGGCAGCATGGACAAAAGTTGAACCATAAAGCTTCCTATATGCCACCCTCTTCTTCCTTGTCTTCTTCCAACAGCACCTCTGCCTCTTCGTCCATGACGTCCGCCTCTACTCAGACAACGTTCCCTGATAATCAGCTCTCCCTGTCACCTAGAAACAACTTTGACGCCACTACTCCACCTCTGGCCGTTCCAGCAGCCTCACCAGTTGCGATGGCAGCAGTTGTGCAGAATGGTCTGGTTGCCATCACCAACGGGAAGCTTTCTCCTCCTCGGTTTCCTGTGGGTGTGATTAGTGGTGGAGTAGCGGCACCAGGGTTTGGCTTTGAGGCCAGTGAAGAAGACATAGATCTTGATGAAAAGGTGGAAGATTTCATGAGGTAAGACAGTTAAGTTTGGTTGAAAAATCAAACACAACTGAACAAGTACAGCGGGTAGAGAAAGTATTCAGACCCCCATTGGCACTGAGCAGAAAGCAGCCGCGGGTGGTGGTGGGTAAAGGTGGACAGCCGAGAGTACCGAATGATGCAGAGCAGCAAGTTGCAAACAGCCTCCTGCTTTTGTATTTGAATGGTTCTCCATTTCCTCTGCTTTCCCTACGTTTTACAGACTGGATGGGGTCATGTGACCAGCTGTGACCTGGACTCCAGTGGTCTGTGTCACAGCTTCTTAAAGGGACATGGACATCAGCAACCCACTCGCATTTAAAATGTTTTAACTCCAGGCATACCAACATGAACTAAACGATGTCTGTAAAACTTCGGTAATGGTTTACGGCCCAACCCTAAACCTAAGTATTCATAATTTAAAGTTCTAATCACATCTAAACCAATGAGTTATGTAATGATTTAGATTACATGTTATTTAATAAGCCATAAGGCGTAGGATTCCATAGGCAATATGAAATCCACCTTACGGATCTGTGAGGTTAAACCAGAAGATTGGAACTTTTTATTGCAGGGATTAGATAACCGCTTCGTATTCACTCACAGACAACAGAAGAGAGAGAGAGTCATTTTTAAAAGTTAAGAATTTTATTACTAACAAACAAAGGCGGTTTTACCATTAGGCATAGGTAGGCGGCCGCCTGGGGCCCCCTTGTGTTGGGGGGCCTCCTAGCCCTGACCGCCGGCATCCCTCTGTTAATGCCACAATATTCTTATTACCAACCTGTGGCCGCAGACGGTATTGGACATGCTTCTCATTATCGTAATTCCTGAACCGTTCAAGATATCATTAAAATTCCAAAAGTGCTGAAAAGATTAAAAATGGGGCTTTTCGTGCATATACAATACATTACGGTAGCCACCGGGATTCCCTGTCTTGAGCGCAACCAATCACAACACAGATTCAGAGACGTGCTGAGTTTGTCATCCAAGATGCTCGTTTTATAACTTTTGAATAGCTGATCAAATTCAAAAAATTCCAACGGTTCCTAAAAGTACATAAAAGCAGCTTTCCAACGATTTATAGCATGAAGCAATCAGAGTTATGGAAAATATCGCTACGAGGGGAAATCCTGCTGTACAGCCTGATTGAAACGGGGCGCAGCGCCTCGGTGAAAGTGGATAACGGAACGGGGAAGCTAATTAGCATAAAAACCAGCATGAAATTATGGAAATGCCTCAAAGAAAATCAACACGATCTATTAGTTGTCCCAGAAGGCTTTTATCTGAAGACAGTGACCACGAAGAAGGACAGATCTCCAGTGAACCAGGATATGAACGTTTGTTCAGTCTTTATTTTTTATTTTTTTATTTGAACAACCCTCAACTATTTGCTAATTGTAAGATTCAGCTTCATTCCAGAATCATTTATCTTTTTACAATAAATAATTATTTTTGCTAAAACAAAGGTTTTTGGTATAGCAGTGCACGGTGTGCCAGAGAAGCACCCCATGGCAGTGTGAGGTGTGCAGGACTCTGCCTGCAGCTGGAGAGAAACTGCTTCAAGGCCTACCACATCAAATAAAACCGTCTGAAAGTTTACAAAAATAAATGGTCTTAAAAACTGCTAAAAAAGATACCAAGGTTCTAACTTTTTAAAGAATAGATGCATTACAGTTCAAAGTTTAAATTGTTCATTCCAAATTGTTTGCCCAGTAATTTAGAAGTTCCTGTTCAGTAATAAATGTAAAAAATTCAAATCCGTTTTTTGCTTTTTTTCACTTTTAAACTGATTTTTTAAAAGGCTTTAATATAAATAAATTCTAAATACAAACCATACACTGAAAGCTGAGGTTGTTCTAAAAAAAGAAGAGCTACACACACTTTGTATTTTTTATTACAATTTTACAGCCATAAGATTAAAAACATACCAGGCGGCCCTGTTATAATTATGGTCATAAGAGGGTTATTAAGACGGCAATGCACAAACAGGAAGTGGTTGGTAGTCATTCCACTCCAATCCAGTTGGTGGCGGTAATGCACCAAATTGTTGTTTGCCAAGTGCCATAAGACCACAAAGAAGAAGAAGAAGAGAGGCGGGAGCATTCGTAACAAACTCAAAGCGATAGTCATAACATTAAGCATGAAATGGAGTTATCCTAGTGGCTCCAATAAGAGAAAGAAGCTGCATGCTTCATAAAAGCTTTTATCTTCACTTCTGAAAGTGACGTCATTTTTCGATGTAAACATCAAAAGGAAGCAGAAAGGAAAAACCATGGAAAATGTTTAAAGGGAGGAAAACATAGACCAAAATGGAAAATAGAAAAAAATAACTAAGGCTAAAGCACAGGAGCACTGACAGGAAAAAGAAAGCAGAGCAAATATTGAAAGCACTCAAAGGGAGGGAAATACAGGAAAAAAGAGGAGGACTAATAAAAAGGGAAAATAACTCGTGTCAGAAGAGGAGAGAGTTTCGCAAATCCAGTTAAAGGTAAGATTGTCAAAAATTTAGTGTAAGGGGCCCCATGTCTGTGTTCGCCTTGGGCCCCCAAATAGCTAAATCCGCCCCTGCTAACAAATTAAACTAGACTGACTTTAAACACCACATGTATGGTGTAACTAATGTGGATGAGACGGTGAATGGATGACGTGTGATGTTAATCAGAACCAGCAAATCCGAAGAAGCGATTAGTTCTGACGGGAACTGAAGGTGATGTCTTCGCGTTAAGCTTTAGTTAGGAGGTTCATACTCGCATGAGACACATTTGCCGGTCTACCTACCCTTCAGGAAGTCCCCTTTAGATCAGGAATGTCGAGGTCCAGCTTAACCTTCTCTGGAACTGAGCTGGTAGGAAAAGCAGCGGTTGCCGGCCAGTCCAGTCTGTGAGTTACTTCCGGGTCACGACAATTTGTTGGCGTCTGGTGAGACCTGAGCCTGGGTCTTGATGGTTCAGCTTTTATTCTGAAAGGAACTGTTGCTGCAGTTGGAATAGCAACAAATTTTTCAGCTTGTCGTTGGTTCTTTTTGGTGGAAGAGGATAGTTCAGGATTGGCCACTCCGACACTTTCTCTGGAACACTTTGAACTGGCCTTAGAGATGACGTGGCTTAGTTTTATACTTCGGATGTTATGGTTTATTGTCGAATGAAAAATTACCAAACACCATCAGAACCACGCCTCCATCAGATGTCAGATTCTGATTGGATCAATGAAAGTAATGTGTTATGTCTTTTAACGCTATGTGAAATCAGTCCTGTTGGAACATTTAAAGTCATAGTACCTTTATATTCTATAGGATTATAATAAAGTAATTAATATTTTGATTTCACATATCGGTCACATCTCATTTATTGACTAACACTTTGATGGATTAGCTTTATTAAAATAGAGTTCTTTGATTAATTAAAAGAAAAGAGTTCATTCTTCATTCTTCTGTTGAGCTGAAAATAAGCAGGTTAGAAGGAATGCATGAGACCTTGAGACTAGAGCTGAAACGATTCCTCGAGTACCTCGAATAATTCGAGTACAAAAAATCCTCGAGTCAAATTCTCTGCCTCGAGGATTCGTTTAATTCATATTTAATTAATTCATGGCTTTGCAATCGCCCGGGGTCATGTTTCACCCGGACCGGAAACACAATACCAATTCTGTTGTTATAATTAAGATATTAAAGATTCTCAAACGATCCCACCTCTCTCTCTTTTCTTGACTCAAAGTCAATACAGAGTGTTTAATTAAACTCCCTGATGATAAAAACAGCCTATTCTTCTGTTTATAAAAAGTGAACTACTTACAGTGTATTAAAATACAACTCTAGATAGTTACATCACTTCAATTCCGTGACGCACATGCCCACTGGACTGAATGCACACGCGAGTAGCGAATATAACTTAACTTTCTCTTAAGCCATGGCGGACAACTTGAACCCCAGTGGAGTGCGAAAAAGACAGAAAATGTCAAAGTTGTGGGACCATTTTTCACGTCGTAAGGCGGAAAACGTAGTCCAGTTTAAATACTGTAAAATGGATTTAGCCTAGCACAACACCACATCCTCCGTGCTGCAGCACCTGTAAATGTCACTTCTGCAAGCGGACTCGGAGCCTCTACAAGATAATGCATTTTAGCCTGTATTTCTATATATTCTGCGGACTATGCGACTTTTTCGTTTGTAGCACTCAGTTTCAGCTCACACCTTACATCTGGTAGCAACACGTTGGACTTAAAATGTGCTAAAAAATAGCAGTTTTTACACAATATGTCGGACTGTTTATTGTGTTATTGATGTCTGTTGTCCCTCGGGGTTTCTGCAGGAGGACACGGGTATTTATGAGTGGCGGAGGAAAACGAAAGAAAGTAAATAAATGTTTTGTGATCAGTATAATTTGACAAAACCACGGCAAACATGCTTTTGGCAATCCTTGTTAGTGTGAGACAAAAAGTGTAGAAATTAAAACGGACGTGTGTTAATAGGGAAACAGCCGGGGAGCTGTTTGCGCCGTGAGCGGTTCTGGTTCTGTTTGGGCCACAGCCGCTCGCAGCGCTACTTCAGCAGTTATCCTCCTAGTTTTTGTCTGGCTTGCAGGCTAGCATATTCTCGCACGAGGGGAAAATCGGCTCAGGTTTACTTATTTTTTGCACACGCATTTGTTTACTGTGAAGAAAAGTTGAAGTGCTGAAGTTATGCAAACTAATTTTGAATAAAACTTGAAGAATAACTGGCAATTGCTTGCTCATTTTAAGAGGTCTTTCATAATTATAACATGCTATTTGATATCAAATCAAATCACTTTTATTGTCACGTCACATGTGCAGGTACACAGTACATGCGAGTGAAATTCTTGTGTGCGAGCTTCACAGCAACAGAGCTGTGCAAAAATACAGTAATGTAAAAACAAGTAAAATATAAAAATGGCTAATCTACGTATACAAATGAATAAAGTAAACAATAAGATAAGAGATATAAAATGTACAGAGGTTGGTATGTGCAAAACAGTGGCATTAATGTACAGTATGGAGCGTGCAATGTTGGAACTTGGTGGAGCTCGCGACGAGGCAGCCATACTCGGCGCCATCTTGGCTCATCAATATATGATATAAAGGTTTACAAACACAAAAGGGTAATTTATTAGAGTACTCGATTAATCGAAAAAAAGATTCGATAGAGTACTCGATTACAAAAATATTCGATAGCTGCAGCCCTACTTGAGACCATATCTCATGCAGACTGGTCCTGTGTCAGAGGAGGGAAAAAGAGTCATTTCATTCTGTTACAGGTACAAAAACACTTTTCCCTATCAGAGGTGTAAAGATGCTAAATTTGACACATTAAACCTAAAATATTTTTTTCTACCTTTCTGGATCCAGCCCCCAGTGGATGGGGGCTTCACATCGGGCAGCCGGGGTTTGCCCCTTGGCTTCCACTAGCTTGTTTTCACTAATAACCGCTCTATGTAGAAGACTGCAGGTGAAGTAGGACACACTGGATGTTTCTCACAGAAAACGAGGTGGTGTGTGTACCCATGTTTTTTCCTAGCTGTGCGGGAGGATATTTGGGTTTACGCAAAGACAGCTACGAGTGCACATGGCCAGAGAAGCATACATCTGGCCTTTGAGCTTGCTTACAGCCATTCTGTCGCTCTGGCTGGAGATCCTTCAAGGATTACTGGCACTGTTCTCACGTGCAGTCTAGTACCTCTCATCTATAGTCTGCAGCCAGACAGAAGCAGTATTGATTAGAAAATGTGTGGAGATGAAATCGGATCACAGTGGGGTTACTGCCTCTGCTTCCTCCATGCCTACAGCTGGTTTTACACTGGTAATGCCTGGTGTTTAAAGATAGAGCCAGAGTTTACCATCGCCGTACGTTCAGATTTATGGATGTGTTATTCCAGGAGGGACAGCGCTGTGATAAAAGAAGAAATCAAGTCCTTCCTGGCCAACAGACGGATCTCCCAGGCGGTCGTTGCTCAGGTAACAGGTGAGTTACAGACCTCTAATTTATCAATACAGAGATGAGACTAGCGTCAAAGTCACCCAGATCCGGTGCTACAATCAGGACCGGTGCTAGAGCTGGCTGTTTAAAAACCAGTTCAGAACCAGTTTAGTTTTCCACAACCTGAGAACCAGCTCAGAGTCACGTCATCACATCACGTAAAACTTATTCCAGCAAAGGTTTGGTCCTTCTGTTGAATTCTGAGTCTCTCTAGAGGATCACAGTGAAGGGAGACAGTTTATCTATGCCCAGGTTTCTCGTCCTCAATGCTTCCAACCTGCAGGTTTTAGCTGGCCTGCTCTGACACACCCAGTTTAAATAGAGGAGTGAAAATCGGGCTTCTGTAGAAATCAATATGGTGAAGAGGTCATTCAAGCAAAACTAAACATTTTTCTGCTTCTTGCTCCTACTGGTTTAAAGCAGAATTACAACTGTCCTAGCAAATGCTGCTGCAGCCTACTGTAGCTAGTGCTAACAATGAGCTAATGCTAACATAAATCAATTGATTCTAAATACAGTCAGGTGCTGGTCATCAGATTGGAATATCATGACAAAGTAGATTTATTTCAGTATTTCCATTCAAAACATGAAACTTGTATATTAGTTGTATTTATTACACACAGACTGATATATTTCAAATTATTTTAATGTTGATGATTAAAACGGACAACTAATGAAAATCCCAAATTCAGTATCTCAGAGTATTAGAAATCAATTAAGACCAATGCTACAAAGACATTTTAGAAATGTTGATCAACTGAAAAGTGTGAACATGAGAAGTATGAGCATGTACAGCACTCAGGATTTGGTTGGAGCTCCTTTGGCCTGGGTTACTGCAGCAATGCAGTGCGGTATGGAGTCCGTCAGTCTGTGGCACTGCTCAGGTGTTATGAGAGCCCATGTTGCTCTGATGGTGGCCTTCAGCTCTTCTGAATTGTCGGTCTGGCATGTTGCATCTTCTTCTTCACAATACCACATAGATTTTCTATGTGGAACTCCTGCTTTGAGGTTTTCTGTTGTACCAAACTATGTTGTTAGAAACACACAAAACATTGCTGTTTATTTATAAATCTATAATATTCAGTACATTTTTGACATACGTAGGACGCCATGTTTTCTCCAAGCAATGCACTCTGGGGGCGATGAGGTATATTGATTGTACTTGGAAGAATAGCTATTGACGCTAGTGTTTGTTTACGCGCTCACCGTATTAATAATTAAGTAAAATGCCGCATTGTGCTTCTTTTGGATGTAATTTCCAGCCAAAGGGCAACAAGGGGAGTGATGTGAGTTTACACAGCTTTCCCACTGGCAAGAAAAGGAGAAAGCAGTGGGAAGATGTCTGTGGACGGACACAACTTCCCAAAGACTGGCTGTGTTCCCAGCATTTTTCTCCTTATGCGTTTGAGGCTTCTAGTCGACCACAACTACTTAAAGAGCTCACCAGAGCAGCTGGGTATGAGAGAAGGTGGAAACTAAATGCTTTACCGACCATTTTCCCACACGAGGAGCCTAAACGCCCTCGGAGAGACAAGAGACGCTGGACGCTCTCCTGAGCCGACAACCCGCTCCTGCAGCTGCCGCTTCTGTCATGTTGGGCGAACCATCGGACACGCCACTCGCCACGGATGAAGCTGGACATTCACCTCTCCCGTCAGTAAAACAAGCATAAGTGTAGCAACACAGGGTTCTCCAGATATGTAACAGAAGCAGGGACCTGAAAAGGCTCAACAGCCTAATAAAAAAGGCTGGTTCTGTTCTGGGGACGACTGTGGAACCACTGGAGGAGATAATGCAAAGAAGGATTCTCCAGAGAATCAAGAAAATGATGGACAACCCTGAGCATTCTCTTCACAAGACTGTCCGACAACGGAAGAGTGTCTTCAGTCAGAGGCTTCTTCAGTTTCGCTGCAACACTGACCGCTACTGGAGATCCTTCCTGCCAACAGCCATTGTAATATACAATAACTCTTTGCTGACTTGATTATTATTATTATTCTGAGCTACTACAGCAATCATTTTCCCTCTGGGATTAATAAAGTATTTTTGAATTGAATTGAATTGAATCTGCAAAAATGATTAAAGTGGTTTCACTGAATATCCTAATCATCTATAAAGCACACGACAGCTCTGGATGCTAAAATTCTCCAAAATCATTCATAATTAAATAAGTTTGATCACACGATAGCTTACCGTTAACTTCTGCTGACAAAAATGTGAGCACTCTCCCTCTTGGTTACCATGGAGACACATTTGCTGCACACGCCCCACCGGTTTTGTCCTGCTCTCGCTTCATCCCGCCCTTCTTGCTCTTCATGTTGACGCTCGTTTTGTGAAACATGGTCAGTGATCTCCTCATTAATGTTTCACTCTGGTTCAAAGTGAAAAGGCTGAACAGATGACATGTTGATGTCGCTGAACAGTCTCTACAGGGTCCCAAAGCCAGCCGGTGCTACCGAGGTACAACCATATGATGTCATTACCCAGAGTGCATTGCGACGCTAACGACAAGTTACAACAATAAGTGACCTACGAGTTAAACTATTTTTACAAATTTTATAAAAATGAAGAAATTAAGAAGGTTTTTTACACCATTTTAATATAAATTATACTAACATTTATCTTTTAAGAACCACAGAGTTTTGTAACCTGGGTTCCTTTTAATGTCGTGCAAGCTCTCTGGCCAATCAACAACAGGGATACCTTGGTCCTTAAACCAGGTGGTAGCTTTGACACTGTATGCAGGTGCCAAGTCCTGTTGGAAATGAAATCTGCATCTCCATAAAGTTGGTCAGTAGCAGGAAGCATGAAGTGCTTTAAAACTTCTTGGTAGATGGCTGTGTTGACCTTTGACCTCAGAAAGCACAATGGACCAACACTAGAAGATGACATGGCACCCCAAACCATCACTGACTGTGGAAACTTAACACTGGACCTCAAGCAACGTGGATTCTGTTCCTCTCCTCTCTTCCTCCAGACTCTGGGACCTTGTTTTCCAAAGGAAATGCAAAATTTACTTTCATCAGAGAACATAACTGTGGACGACTCAGCAGCAGTCCAGTCCTGTTTGTCTTTAGCCCAGATGAGACACTTCTGACACTGTCTCTTGTTCAAGAGAGGGTTGACACAAGGAATGTGACAGCCGAAACACGTCCTGCATACGTCTGCATGGTGGTTGTTGAAGAACTGACTCTAGCTGCAGTCCACTCTTTTTGAATCTGCCCCACATTTATGAATATATTATGTTCCACCATCCTCTCCAGGGTGAGGTTATCCCTACATACACTTTTTTCTACCACATCTTGTCCTTCCCTTCACCTCTCTACTAATGTGCTTGGACACAGAGCTCTGTGAACAGCCAGCCTCTTTAGCAATGACCTTTTGTGCCTTGCCCTTTCTTTGCTTTGGTCTTCTTTGATATTCTAATATTCTGAGATCCTGAATTTGGGATTTTTATTTGTTGTCGGTTATAATCATCAAAATTAAAGAAATAAACATTAGTAATACTGTGTGTAATGAATGAATATGCAAGTTTCACTTTTTAAATGAAATTACTGAAATAAACCAAACTTGTCACGATTTTCTAATTTTATGACCAGCATCTATAATTCACCAAGTTGAGATCCAAACTCTTTTATCTGGTGGCACCATTTAGTGGCTGACAAGCGTATCGCACCATGACATCGTTTTACTTCGTATTCACGGCCGAAAGCAACGCCTCTCATGAGCGCGCTCCTCTAGCCGATAAAACAGCTAAACATGTTGATTCACAATCATTGTGCTCATGTTGTGTTGTGTTTTCATAGATTTCTATTTTAAAGACTTGTCCATGAGAAAGGTCGCCAACTCTGCATCAATCGAGGTACATGCTTAAAAGCTCGAGCACGCTCTGATTGACGTCTGTACGTAAGCAGGCTGAAGTTACTGGGTAATTAACAGGTTCATGCTGACAGAAACAGCAGCTGGTGACATTAAAGAGCAGGGTGTTTTACAGGGAAAATCACTTCTGACCTGCTTTAACTGCAAATCAATGAGTCGGAATAAGCTGATAATGCTGACAAAGGGTCAGTTCAGAGGTTTTAGACATGGAGCTCACATCATTGTAATTGGTCTCCTTGAGCCCTCCTGGTGAGCTCTGGCTCCAGTTGAGAGCCTGTTTGATGGAAAAACCCTTGTGAGTGACACCGGCCCCTCATCTTCCAGGAATCAGTCAGAGTCGGATCTCCCACTGGCTCCTGCAGCAGGGATCGGACCTCAGTGAGCAGAAGAAACGAGCCTTCTTCCGCTGGTATCAGCTGGAGAAGACTAACCCTGGTAACTCCACCATCAGGCCCACATGCACAAATGCAACACTTCAAACCAATGTTACAGATTCAAATGAAGTGAACTTTTATTATTCATAACCTGAAAGCCTGGCTGGATTTTGTAGGTGTCTGTAGCTCGCACGGGTTTCTGTTGTTGACGAGCTTTTATCAGACTTTGTCGGCACTAATAACTCAGAGAGAAAAAATGCTGATTCATTCATGTTCAAACCATGATTGTGACAACAGGTGCCACTCTGGCCATGCGAGCTGCCCCCCTGGCTCTGGAGGATGTGATGGACTGGAACCAAACCCCACCCCCATTTGCCTCGGCCCCTGGGGGCTTCCGCCTGAGACGAGGGAGCAGGTTCACTTGGAGGAAGGAGTGCCTGGCAGTCATGGAGAGGTGAGGGTGAGGAGATGGGCAGTGTGATGGTGGTAAAAGGAGGAAACTACAAGTGGTCTGTGTGTGTGTGAACAGCTACTTTAACGATAACCAGTACCCAGATGAAGCCAAGAGAGAGGAGATCGCCACTGCCTGCAATGCGGTCATTCAAAAACCAGGTAGGACATCGGTTTTGATGTTTTATTATTTTTTTCTGAAAGAAAATGCAATGAAAGTTTCAATTTGAAAAGAGCTGAGCTGTTAATCAGATCTGTAGTTAAAGTACGGTTCTGGCTGCCAGTGGTCACAAAAACAATGTCATAAAAACAAACTATTACTGTGCCCCACTGTGGTCATAAATGAACATGGGCAAGAGTACGATGTGGGTCACAATAAATACCCCTTCAGTTGTGAGGCCCAGTCCCTCAGTGGTGCTGACGTTCCCGTTTATAACGATCGGCGTTCCTGGAGGAAAAAACAACTGTCTTTATGCCCACTGCTGGGACATCTGGGCTCCACTAGCAGCTCTGCTGCCTGGCCAGTTTTCTTAATCCAGGGTATCCGCGGGTCCTTAAAAAGTCTTAAATTTGCTTTTCAAAATTTAAGGCCTTAAAAATCCTTAAAAATGACAAATAATCCTTAAATACAGATTCCAAAGGTCTTAATTTACCAAAGACCCACTAAACAAGATTCTTTTATTTCTATAAAAATTTCGTGAATTTCTAGTTAGTGTTCATGATTTTTTGTGCACGATGTTGGCGTAAGCGGAACCGTACACATTCAGCTGGTTGTGAAAGGGGGCTATTTTTAGATGAGCACATTAGCTGGTTAAGCTAGTGGGAGCTTGCGCCATGGGGAAGTTTAATGGTAACTGGATGGCTAATCCCACGTTTGCGACGTGGTTAGCACCGGTTCCAGGCAATAGCTGGAAATTATAGCTTAAATTTAATTTAAAAATAGCTTAAATTTGGTCAAAGTGGCCTTAAAACGGTCTTAAAAAGTCTTAAATTTGGCTCCCTTAAACCTGCAGATACCCTGTTAATCATCAAGTTTAGTTAGTTTCTTCAGGCGTTGTCTGAATGTCACAAAAACATTTCTTATTTGGTGTGTTTTTATGCTTGTGTCTGTTTGCCTTACAGGAAAGAAGCTGTCTGATTTGGAGAGGGTTACATCTCTGAAGGTCTATAACTGGTTCGCCAATCGCCGCAAAGACATCAAGCGTCGTGCTAACATAGGTAATGTTTATCTCTGTGTTAAAGCACCTCCAATCGAATCCGATTCTTGAAGTCCACCGAGTTGTCCCTTAGTACAAAAGAAACCCGCCGCCTGTTAGGTGTGTTACAATGTTAGCAGCAGACCTACCTGCAGCCCTGAATCACCAGCCAGCTTCAGTGTGGTCGGTAAATAGCAGACTACAGTCCAGACCTTCACCCCAGAGAGCAGCCGTGCTTCCATTCTCTCTGAGAAGAAACAACGCAGCTCTGGAGGGAAATAAGAGGCTTATTGAACCAGTGAGACGGAGAATGTGTGCTGTAATCAAACCGGACATGTTTCCTAGTCATATTCAGGTGTTTTAGATTCATCTTTGCTCAGCAGCCCCACCCAGTGGATGGAGCTCTATTTGATCCAAACTGACTAAAAGCCAAGAAAATGCATCAATAAAATAGACCCTTTTACTGTTTGTAAACAATATGACGTCAGCGAGAATGCGCGCGCAGCTTGGCAACAGAAAATGGCGTTGTGTCAGGCTTTATCAAGCTACGCTGCGGGGCAACAGACTCCCGGATCCCTGTGGCATTACGGAATGGGTGGAAGATGTAGGTGCGTGGCCAGATATCCAGTGGCCCGATATTTTTACGTTTTTAGTGGAGAGGCCCAGTAAGTACACACGTGAGAAGCTAGGCGCTTACAAATCGTTAGATGCATACAACTATGTTGTCTGTGGCCACGTACAGAAAGTAAAATATCACGACATAGACTGAGTTTTGCGTCTTGAAGGCAGAAGTCCTTCCTAGCCAAAGACAAGGACACAAGACTGCTACGTACGAGGCTTGGGTCATAGTAAACAAACCAGAGAACTACGTCTTCACAGCCAGCTGTACCTGCATGGCAGGGTGAGTAAAGCATAGGTTTCTTTTTTTAGCGTGCTCAGAGTACATTCGTGTTAATTTTAGAGAAATGCAGTTTATACTAATATGCAGTGGGAAAATACAGATGAATTAGAATGAAATGTTAATTTGAAGCATGAAATAAAGCGTATAAATTTGTTTAATTCTGTCATGTTGATGTTCCAGACTTGGGTCATGCTGCAGCCACGCAGCAGCAATTTTATTCAAAGTTGAGCTTTGTGTTAGGATGGGAAAAACAGAAAAGTCTGCAGTTACATCTCAGGCATGTGCATAGAAAGGCCTGAGCAGGAAAAATGTAGAACCAGCTCCACTGAAGAAGAACATAATTACCTTACCTGATATAAAATGGGCGCCGCGCTACAAACTCGAGCGTTCGGATCGTGTTTTCAGTCCAGTTTTCATCAACTCTTTTGATGGCCTGCAGCCACAGACACCTCCGATTTTGTTGAAATGGATGTGCTCCCTTCGGAATTCTGTAAAGTTTCATTCCACTGCTTGAAGAGAAGCGATTCTGGCATCCGTACACGCAACAACCCGACATTTTTATGTGCTCAGAACTTCAAAACAAAGGGTTTAAAATGCTGTTTTAGTATCGAGTGTGAATGAGGAAGCCTTCACTCTCGTTGCCAGGCTGCGCGCGCAACTTTTGATGACGTAGGTAGTAAAAGGGTCTATACAAGCTCAGATAACCACACACACACACACGCACCCACGTGCGCGCACACACACAACCCGTCGGGCCCAGAGGGAATAAGAAGCTTAAGATAACATGGAATTGGTGTCCAGTCAGACCAAGCAGGTACCAATGAAGTTGAGGCTAAAGAGCATCTTCTGAACTGGTCTGGTGTTTGGTGTTTGGGTCCTGCCTGTCTAGAGTTGATATGCTATGATGGCGTTTGTGTTTTTGAAGAAGCAGCCATCTTGGAGAGCCATGGCATCGAGGTTCAGAGCCCAGGAGGTCAGTCCAACAGTGACGAGATGGATGGAAACGACTTTCCTGACCAGGTGAGGAGCTCGGACACTTTTGGTGAGGAGCATTTCAGCACCACATGAGCTGGACTGACTTTGTTTGTTGGATGACCTTCAGGCTTGTGAGGTGACTTTGTTCGATAAGAGAGCTTCAACCAGGCAGTTTGCCTTCAGTCGAGCTGACCTATCTTCTCCAACCCAGGTACGCCCCCACCTCCTCCACAACCAAAGATGGCCCTCCAGCTGCTAACATTGTCCTCCCCCTTCAGGTTCCTCCTCAGCTCCCCAGCTGGTTTTCTGCTTTGGCCAGGGGGGGTGCATCCGGACACAGGGGCACATCTCTGATTGGCCGGTCCCTCTTGTCAGGGCTGGGCCCTCAGGCTGAAGGCTCCAGGCTGACGGGCGTGTCCTGGTCCCCCCCTTCTCCGTCCCTCCAGGATGATCCGAGCCTGCTGTCTGAACCCCAGGACCTCGTCAGCTCGGAGAAAATGGCGGTGAGCCGCCGCAGCCCTGCCTCGGCCAATCAGGCGGACAGAGCAGGAGGCAGCACAGGAAACCAGGTCAAGATGGAAACGCTGGAGGGCGACTGAAGGGACCGGCGGATGGTGGAGCTGCCAGGACAGGTGTCATCATATGCAAGCAGATTTTATAGGAATGTAAAAAGTAAGAAAAAAATAAGACCAAATGTTGCATAAACTCCAACCCTGATACCTCCCAACCCTACCTCCAACCACCAACCTACTCTACTATGCTCATATAGCTATTAATCAGATAGATATGATGGAAATAAGACCCCTCTTTACTCGTTAGAGTCCCTCTGTGATCTATGAAGGATTTAAAACGTACTCGAGTACAAATCCAATGTAGAATCCACTTTAACGTTCGTCTCACACCTGATTTCTTTCTTGGTTTGAATTCTTTCGGACGCGTGTCGAACGGCAGCGTGATGCTCTGTGCAGCTCTCATGAGAGAACTGCACGTGAAACAGCTGTGATGCTGGGTTTGACCTTCAAACCGTTTCAGGATCTTGCACTGTGATCTCAACGGAACAGCCTCAACGTAGGAAAGAGAATCAGGTTCATTTTAAAGAGATTATTTTAAAGGCTTGGTTGCATTTCGTTGTTCAGGAACGAGTGTGCGTGGGTGCAGAGCGAGCAGGCGTTCTCACAGCTGCAGACGTCTGAGAGGAGTGGTGACGGGAGAGCCGGAGCTTCATAAAAACCACAATCTGTGACATTTAATCACTGTTGAGTACTGGCTGTCGGCTTCAGCAGTACTTCATATCATAGTTGAGCTTTTTAAATTATTGTTGCCATCCTTTCAGTTTTCACCATTTTAAACCACTTCATTATTTTTATATTGTCACTTAAAAGGATGTCCCGCTCCTCGTCTCACCTCGTTTGGTTTTTAATGAGGATTTTTAAAAGTTGAAAGCTTAAGTCATGAATTCCTAAATAATAATCTAAGCATCATTAATGCAGCAGCTTGGTAATAAAATATAATATTTATGCAGCTAGTAGAAGAAGTGTGTCACGTAGTGCTTAAAAGAGCCAAAAGAAAGTGGTTAGATGTTTTTATTCGATTGTGCCCAGCATGATTTCTGTAAGCTCAGCAGTTTAAAGTGTAGTCAGGACAAACGGTTAAGTCAGATGATGTCATCGCCTGTCGTACATCAGGACGACGCTCTGATGACCTCATCAGTGGGAGCTCTTTAACAAAAGCCCACTGGTCTGAAGCGTACCGCGGGTTAACTACGGGATTACAGCCCCATCCTTCTACAGAGACTAGGATTATTCACCTGTGGGAGACCTCTGACACAGCAGACAGCCCTCCCACCTGTCGGACTGGGAGGTGGCCCCAAGAACCAAAAGCTCAAACTCCTCAGGTGGCGAGTTAAAGGTCAAAGTTCACTATGGGAAATTTAGATGCATACCAAACTAGTATGACTGCTCAGCCAGGGGCTGTGAAAGCGAGGTGAACTGTCCATGACACAAATCGTGGTGATGTTGAACATCCTGCTTAGTCGTGGCGTTTTGTCAGACCCTGGAAAGTCCGCGAGCAGTGAGGTAAACACTCTGGAGAAGCCAGTGACGCCGCCCCCTAGCGATCCAGGCTCTGATGGTCTCTGACATCATGTCTTCAGCCTGGCTCAGTGTGCTTGGAGCCACAGCAGAGCAGGGTCTTGGTTAAAACAAAAGACCCGTTAGACTCTCAGCTCCTCGTTAGACCAACGTCTCCCAGAGTCCACCCGTCTGTCTGACCGCAAACCTGGAACCGGTTCTGTCTGTCTGCCAGTGTGCCAGCGGATGAGAACCAGACACATTCATGTCCTGAAACAGTACAGCTGATGGTAATAATACCATTAACACACACACACACACACACACTGAGATGAAGCATCAGTGTGAGGTGAGTGGAAACATTAGCTGAAGTGTTGTTTTACATGTATGAAAGTCATGGACGCCTCTAAAGAGATGTGCCGATCGGACGCATCAGATGTGTTGATGAGTGAAACGCGTTGCCCACATGTTAGTATTGGTGTGTTTGCGTGTTCTAAACACAACCCCACGTTTAAAAAGACACTTTATTAGAGCTGCTTGATGAAAGGATCCCAGGAGCAGCAGCAGGAGGAGGTCAGTGAAGAGTCTCAGATCGAGCGGTTCAGCCTGGTTTCTGCTCCTATGACCGTGTCAAACACAATCAGTAGACACCTGTGGTGGGCCCGGTTCCATCTCTGGGCCTAAAACTCCACCTAGCTTTAGCCTGAAAGCACATCAGAGCTGAATCTCTGCAAAACAACAAAAACATTTCAAGCATGCCTTTATTTAGTCTTTCCTTCTGTGTGACTTCCGCCCCTCCTGAAGGCTAAACTGGTGAGGGTGGGGGGGGGGGGGGGGGGCTTTTCTGCCAACATGAACCAGAAGTTAGCTTTACAACGAGAGGGATCCATACGGTGGGGTCCACTCTAAACTGTGACTAAATCGCTGTTTCCTCTGTGGTTTTGTGTTGAACTGGGTTCATCAGCACTCCAAAGTCCCAACCGTACTAAAGTGGCTCCATTCAAAGCCAAATGTCCCCCCCCCCCCAGCTATAAGCTACTCCTCACACCCCCTTCCGCTCATGCTGCCTCTGTGTGACTCAGCGGTTGGGCTGCTGAGTCGGTTTCTGTTGAAAAGGGAAAATGATGAACAGAAAAGGGAAGCTTGACCTAAAAACTGACCTGAAACCTTTCCCTCCTCCTGTGATATTAACTCAAGTGGTCGGCCCCGACCGTCGGGGCCAGCCGAGCTTTGGTGTTGCGTAGTTTTCTGTCACCAGTTTAGTTTTACAGCCAGAACATTTCATCTGCCAAGCAGAAACGTTTGCGAGTCTGTAGATTCATCCTAGATCACGACTTTGGGGGTAACTATGATTTCACCCTGACGAACAAAACAAAGATTATTTTATCAGATTATTTTATTGCCTTCTCGTTTCCCTTTCTTGTTGAAAAGAGAAAAATGTATAAAATAAAAACACACTATTATGCAGGACCCTCTGAAGTGTTGCATAATTACAAGAAAATGACCGTTTTCCTCACCAGTATTAAGCTAACTTTTCTCAACCTTTAATATCAGTCCTGTTGATTTGGGTTATTTTTTTGTCTGGAGTTCGACTCCCGATTACCTCGTTTTGTGCCAGAACGTGTGATCTAATCACTCTAAAGAGATTGTGGAAAAAAAAACCTTGTAATAGACAAACGTAGCTCTTCCAACTGTGCGATAACTGCGACATGTTACTGATGTTTTTATTGTTACTTGTCTGAACGCCATCTGCCGCCTTGTTTGGTTTGGAAACGCCGCTCTGACCGTTGACTTCATCTTTGCCAAAACCTCACAGCTCTCCTGCCAGAGTTGAGATGTGAAGCGGGTCCGAAGAGGACAGAGATGTTGATCTGGTTTGAGCTGTGGAGAATCAAATGAAGTCGCCATGCTCCCCTACATTGTTTAGTGTTGTGACGGTAGAAATGCTTCATCTTCATTTATGCAGACGCCATCTAGGTTTGGTACCTTCCATCCTTAAATGACCTGCCAGAGACAGGAAGTGCTGCATTTACCAGCTTGAATGCAGGTTCTCCTGTCTCTCTGGCGATGAGCTTTCTACTAACCTCTGTATGAAATGTCAGTCCTCAGCTGGATGTTTGCATCACTTCAGTTTCTTTTCTATTTCAGGATTTAGTGCCTTTTTTGGACAAGTAGACTGTTGTGTAACTGGCATGTAGATTCTACAAATGCCTTTTGTTACTTTTTCATCTGTTGGATAAACCTTAATTTGCTATTTTAAGGTATTTTTATTGATATTCAAAGTTCAAGGGAATAAAAAACTCATTAGACTCCATCGAGTGTGTTCTTGTGTGTTCAATCCAGAAAAGCAGGAATAAATTGATCAGCTGATTGAAGTTTTAAAAATCAAACTTGTGAAACTGTCCTCAACTAAAACGACACCACAGACATGTTAACGCAGGCGAGTCACAGTGCTGCTTGGTGTCTGGATGTGTACCTGCTGGACCTGGACCAGCAGGTTAAAGGTCGTAGACCTTCTACATGATCCTTTAACTTCACTCTAGAAGTGTATGGTCCACTAAACGCTAGACGACAACCTTGACGTGGACTCGAGGAAATTCCCACCATACCGTACTGGTTGCACAAGTTTTCTCGGTGGTGGTCGAAGGAACCGGTGGCGCTAGTGTTCAGCACTCGCTACCGTCAGCGTGCCCCAAGTCACCACCAGTGTGTGAGTGGGTGGATGACTGAACGTGCTGTGAAGCACCTTGGGTTGTAGAACTTTTATGGTGCTATACAAACAGACCACCTATTTAAATGATGCAGACACTGGTATGAATGTCTGACCAGCTGCTGCGGTGCTGGTGGTGTTCTGGCCCCACTGTGGCCCCCTCAGAACCACCAGAGCCTGGTGTAATTACCACAGCCTGCCTGAGTATCGTTGCTGCCCACACGGGCCCATGCTACTTCCAGCAGGATCACCTCTAACTGCTTTCTAGAACCCGACTCCACTCACCAGGTGTCAGTCCAGAACCTTTGAGGTGTGGTAGAACAGGAGAGTCTGTGATGAGGTCGTGTCCGTCTGGACCAGTTCACCTTGCTAGACTTTCAGGGTCAAGTTGAGGAAAAGAAAACCAGGCTCTTTAGTTATTAAACTGTAATAAAGTGAACACAGGAAACACTTTCACTCATTTTTATAATGATTACAAAGTTTGGCTCGAAACAAAGAACATGTACTCTCAGCTTTATTTTCCTCATCAGTTTACTGTTCAGATTAAAAATAATAAACGTATTATATTACATGTTTATTCTTTGGATTGCAGCATAAAATTACATAAAATAATTAAATTAATCAAAACCCAAAGTTGTGCTCAGATTTTTCATAAGTCTTAATGCACACACACATACACAACCACTGTGGTGATGCTCAAGCGTAGACATGATGGTCGTAGATCATGTTGGTGACTTGTTATGACTATGTAATAATACTGCTGACTGGGTCAAGGCCACAACAAACTAAAGTCTGAATATTAAACTTTAACATCAGCTACATGTGTGAAAAGTTACAGGTTTTTAGATCCGCAGGATTCAGCTTCCTGCCTGAACGAGCACCAAACCGTCCCTAAAACACCGACCAGGTATCTGTGTGGTGACACCTGTTAGTGGGGAGCAGCGCTGTGGAAAGTATCAGATGCTGCACCACCTCACAGCCAAGTATTGCTTATTTGTGTGGTTCAGTTCAGTGTTTGAAAACACTGAAGCTCTGGAGAAGAAAAGATGTCTGGGACGAAGGGAGCAGGGTGTTCCTGGTGGCCGGAGCAGGAACGAGGTAGATAGGAGTGGGAAACTCTTACAACGGCAGGACATTTAGTAAGAGTCACCGATAGAATTGAAAAGGTTGGATTTAATCGAATGGTAGGGTAGATTCCTGGCTGTGTACGGAGGTGAATTTATAGTCTCCACTAGGGGGCAACGTGTTCCCTCCACTGGAAGAGGCAGTAATAAACCTGACCTTTGACCAGATTCTGAGCCTTGTGTGAACACAGAATGGTAGATTGGTGACAGTAAGGCAACACTTCCTCCAGTGCAGTGAGCACCGAGCTGCAGAAGTCAAGAAAAAACAAAGCACTTTTCATGATAGCGTACAACAAAAAGGTCATGGAATAAGAGGCTGAAGGCTTCAGTCCAATCTGAAATAAAAAACGACTAAAACGGGTTCTAACAGGAACCCATAAATAAACAACGCTGGCTTCAAACCTAAATATGCTTTGATGCTCTACAGACGCTGAGCAGCATTTAAAAAGGAGGGCTTTGCTGGACGAGCTTAGCTCTGATTTTATAGAACATCCCTCAGAAGTCGTCTTTACCTAAACTAGGTCAGGAACAGCGTGGATGGCCCTTCAGATGAAGAACATCATAAAAACAAACAACATAAACCCAATAAGATGTGTTTTATTCCTCAGAGGAACGTGAACGCTTCCATCGTCTCTGTGCAAAAGAGTTGATATGAACGTGTGTGGAAGATAACCTGGTCACATGGTTTCTGAGGCACAACAACAAAAACAAGTCTGAAGTGATCTCCCCCCCCCCCCCCAATACACACACACACACACACACACACAACAGAAACAAAACCCCAAGCCCTCCATCATCACTTGTTTTGAACAGAAAACTTCTCCGAGCTCCACATCACGTCCCAACCCGCCCATCAACAATTCCCAGGCAGTCACCAACCAATCAGAAGGCTCCTGGGCTCCTAGTCCCAACATAATAACCTAGACTACGTTTACATTAGACTTTAGTCTCATTTTAAACTGAATCCCAACTCTGATGATGGCAGAAATCAGCCTAGAGGTGGTTCTGGACTTGTAGCCCGCTCTAGCCGCATCTCTGACGCTCCCGATTCCTCATACATCGGCCACTGAACCAAAGCCTCCACCAGCCAAAACCCACTAGTCCTTCTTTCATACATTTACAATAATAATAGCAGCAACTTCCAGATAATGATTTGTGCAATTCAAATGAAAAGGCGTCATGACTGTAAAAACATCAACATAAATAGGACATTTCCACCTTTCAGATGAAGAAAACATGACAGAGAAAAGGAAAGCCGGGGCTCCTGACAGACAGCGTTCCCACAGGAACTCCCAAACCTTCCTTGGGAACACCGACTCCTCTCTGGACACTAACAGAGCTTTGGACATGCAGCTTTTCACTCACGACGCCCCTCTTCTCCAACCTCAGCAGGACTCACCGACACACACACACACACACACACACACACACACACACACACACACACACACACACACACACACACACACACACACACACACACACACACACACACACACACACACACACACACACACACACACACAGGTAGATTCCTCCAGTGATGTCATCAGAAACATCAGATTTCAATTCAAACTTGTTTAAAACCTCTGAAAGTGTTTCCTTCTCCGAGTGTCAGGAGTGTGTGATCGTCTACTCCCAGCTGTGTCCGTGTCTAAAAACGAAGGTTTAAAACGAGGTTTTGTGTAAAAACATCAGATGCATAGACTCAAATGTCTTCTCTTCCCGACGTTACCACGCCCAGCAGACTGACTCTTCCTCAACACCTCCTCTTTCCTTCCTCCACCAGGAAGCAGCAGCAGGGAGTCGGCTCACGTGCCCGGAGAATAGGATTTGTCATCTGGTCCCCCAGCAGCCCTACGCCTCCTGCATCCCCACAACACCCTGACCACATGCAGCTTCTTCCTCCAACGTCTCCAGTGCAAAAATCTACCCCACCTCTGAGGAGCGACCCTCCAGAACCACACCGCTCCATCGTTTGACACCGCAGCATGAATTCACTTGTGCACACAAAGCAAGACTGTACAACATTTACAAACCCACACACACCTTCCCCCTTCTGTAGTCCCTGAGATCACCTCACACTCAGCACGAGGCTTTCTCGTTAACACACACACACACACACACACACACACCAGACCATGACCATGACCAAGGCACGTTCTGGGAGAATCAGTCTCCAAAGGAAAGAAGAATAAAGTCCAGGAGGGAAAGACGAATCTTTACGAGTCCACAAACGGGACCAGCGGAGTTCAGAAGGTGGCAGTGGTGAATTCTGGGATGTGGAGTCTCAGAGATACCAGGAAGATAAGCAGGGATGCAAACACCTCTCATCAAATACGTTTGGATTTGTTTCTACTTCTTGACAAAGAAGATAAAACCTTTAGAACAAAACAGACAAAAATCTAAAATCTCTCACACCAGCAGCAGGTTCCCCTTTGGACTCGTCACAGATGGTGTCTCTGATGCAGGAAGTGGTGCGTTTGCATCCCTGCACATCAGCTCAGAGAGGGCGGGTCCTGACCCAAACCCGGTTCTGTGAATCCTTCTCACTCACTGCTTCCATAATGAGTCTTTTAGGAACGCTACGTGTGTTCTGTTAGTGTTTCAGTATGTTCCTACACAGTTGTGTGTGTGGTGTCCAGCTGAAGGCTGACTCTGGATCAGATCTGGCTCGTCTCAGCTGCTCCAGGACTTGCGGTTGTCCGCTCTCCGTGTCACGATGGCTTCTCCTCTCAGGATGGGAATGTGGGCGGAGGGAGGCAAGTCCCGACTGGTCCGATCTCGGCGGGACAGCCGATCTGGGCGGACCAGTACACCGTGACCCGGTTTGCAGTGGAAATAGCGATGACCTCCATCTGAGCCGTCGTTTTTTCCTGTAGGGAGAGAAAACTCTGGGTCATCCACCAGGAGCTGCTCAGCACCACGCCTGACCCGGCAGCGACCTGGCCCTATCAACGGAAGCCTTACCTACTGGAGTATCTAGCTCCACCCCCACCCAGACTCCAGCAGAAAACTGCGTGGTGCCCACGTAGCGGACCGTCCCGGCCTTGCTGCTTCCTACTGTGACGTATGTGCCTTCTGTCAGCCAGTCAGGGAGCACGTTGTCATGACTACGCTTATCATCGTCATCCACAAGGATCTCCAGCTTGTGGAAGCCTTCGCCTCCTCCTGAGTTTACCAGCTTCTGCTGGGTGAAGGGGAGCTCTGCTGTGACGTTGTGATTGGTCGAGCCGATGGAGGCGCCACACTGAGGAGGAGAGGTCACAACATCGTTCCTGTCAGCACCCTGCTGCTGAGGGTTTGTGGGTAATGCGGTCTCAGCACCCAGGAGGGAGGAAGATGACGAGGAGGGTTGGAGAACGTCAGACAGGGTAACCGTAGAAACGCTAGTGGAGAAATAGCCGCTGGACGACTGGCTGAGGGGGCTGAGGGGGGCGGAGTCATGCGGGTCATGCACAGGAAGAGGAGGGACGTCTGGAAACTCTGTCCGTCTGTCTTTGGCCGGTGGCCGTAGAACAGCAGCCTGCAGGAAACCCCGCAGGAACAGAGGGACAGACGAGAGCATGCAGAGACAACAAGGCAAAGACGTAAATAAACACCTCCGACATCACAAACTTCCTCTGATCCAACATTTACGGAGCAGTGGGAGAACTCTAACGGAACGCTGGACTTCAGCTCCTGGTTAACAGAAACTCTACAAACTCATCAGTTCAATCATTGACTCTAAGTGATGCTAAATGAAAAGGTGCAAGGCTGTACCGTCTCAGGCTTGACCCGGTTTTCCTCCCCTGCTGATGACGTCATGACGCGCGCCACATGCTGCTGAGGGACAGGAGGAAAATCAGTCATTATACACACCGTACCACTTAGCTCAAATTCCACTGGGGTTAAAGTGCCTTGCTCATAGACACGTCAGCAAAAAACATGCAGCCCTAAACCGGTCCGAGTCTAAGGAGAGTCTGCAGGAGCCTCTCCTGCTGCTGACCTGCTGGCTGTGCGAAGGCCGCAGCTCCTTCTTATCGTCCCGAGCTGGAAACAGAGACTTGAGCAGCTTGGGCATCTGTGGAACCAGCGCCTTAACTGAAAGATAAGAGGCAGCAAGTCCTGAGCGACCTGGGGGGGTGGGGAGGTGGGAAGGGAGGAAGGAAGGCGAGGAGGTGGAGGCAGGAGAGAGGAAGGAAGCAAAGGAAACAAGAGGAGGTGGAGGAAGTGTGGAAGGTTTAGACAATAAGAGATCAGAAAATGGTAAAAATCCTGACAGGAAGCTGCAGATCAAACACAGACGGCTGACTCAGACCAGCGTACAACAATCACTAGAACAGATGTTATTCTAGTCGATTCATCCGGTTCCAAATGAATCCGACAGATGTCACAGCCAGATGAGTCGTTATCATCATCACACCAAACATCGTGGACAGAAACAGACGGAGACATTTGAAAGAAGAACGAGTGAAATAAGTTTAAGAGGAAGAGGCAGATAAACACGTTTCTGAGCCGAGATGGAGGGAGGAGAAGAAAAACCTCTAACAGCGTATGGAGCATTAGAGAAAGGAGAGGAGGTAAAGCTCAGGCAGAAAACAGAAGAGGAGAGAGGGAGAATGTGGGGCAGAGAGGACACAGGACGCACACCTTGTTCTGTTTCCTGGTTCTGTGGGGGGGCACTGGAGGGTGGGGAGGGGGAGTAGGTAGATGGAGATGAGGCCGGCCGTGGGAGGGTGCGGTGAAGCTGAGAGGGCATGAAGATGTCCTGCTGACTCTCCCATCGGCCCTGAGGAACCAACAGAGGATCCATGAGTCTGGAGGTCAGGGTCCACAGCAGCCCTAACCCCCCCTCTAAACACTTCACACGCTGCAAAGCAGCTGCCATGTCCACACACACCTCAGGTACGACCTCTGATTCACGGTTTAGTTCTCGAACAGAATACTAGAAAACAGCAGAGCAGCCAGGCAAGACCCACCTTATCTTCCAGCAGACAAGTGGTGGACAGGTCCTGTCTACTTCCTGACAGCTGAAACAAGAAACACACCATGAGCTCCTCACACACCAGTCTCTACCAGCAGCAGGATTTTCTGATGATCTGTACCCGGTGAACAGAAGGAGAGCTCAGACTCCTCCTGCCGCTCCTCCCTCTGCCAGCTAGCTGCTCCTTCACAGCCACTTCCTGAAACATGGTTAGAAAGCTGCTGTTTGTGTGATCAGATGTGTGGATCTGTCTCATGTAGACTCTGAGGAGCGCTGACCTGTCGGAGCTTATCCAGGGTCAAGATGTTCTCCAGATTCATGACGCTGCGGAGGTATTTCTCTATGGCCGCCTCGTCCTCACCCGACTGGCTGTTGTGTGCGCTAGCTGCTAGTCGGGCTAGCATCTCCCTGTCCTCTGAACCTGGAGCGTCCTGATGTAAAACAAACATCGTAGAGGTTTCATAACCACCACTCTACTACAGGTCAGCATCGTAAGCAGCCTTACCCCTGGGATGTTGGAGACCACCTCGAAGGTGACACCACAGCCTGGTATGGTGCTGCGGGTCGACATCCTCCTGAGGAAGTTGTGGGCGAAGCCCTGGCGACCCGGGTTAACATTCACACAGATCCTCTTTCTCAGAACCAGCTGCATGTCAGCAGGGTGGCTGAGCTGCACCACCACCCGAACCGTCAAGTAGACGCGCTGTTCGGCCCACGGCCCCCCGCGACTCAGCTGAGGACACTCGTGGACAGTAGAGTCCCATGATGCCTCTGCTTTGACCTGTGAGTCACCGAGATGTGTTGCTGCTAGGTGTTGGAGCGTTTGAATGTTCAGTAAACAAGCCTCAGCAGGTCCCTCACCTCTCCATCATAGTGTTTGACGATCTGCAGGTCGAAGAAGTCATCCTCGTCTTCTCCACTCAGGGTTGCGTCCCAGCCTCCTGCATCAGGAACCTCATACTGGTCCTGGGAGCTGAGGTCATCAGCTGAAGGAGCAACACCCGTGCTTTAGAAGTGAACGTGTGAGAGGAGAACGTTTACGTAAAACATTCTTACGTTTGAGATCCAGGAAGAGGACAGGAATGTGCGTCTCCATGCCAGGCAGAGGAGCCCTGTGAATAGACACCGTTTCTTACATGTGTGCCTCCATCCTATCCTAGTGTGTTAAACATCTGCAAGCACACATCGAACGTCTGCATCAGCGACTGCTTCGTACCACTCAGCAGGAGCGCCGGGAATGCCGCTGCCAGCAGAGGGCACCATCACGGCATTTCTCTCCTCAGTCAGAGTCAAACGCCACTCCAGCAGCTGGGCCTCCCTCTCCATGTCATCCTCCGTCTTCTCTGTACACAACACACACACATCATCACCACCCTCCCACTCACTCACTCACTCACTCACTCACTCACTCCATCATCACCCTCCCACTCACTCACTCACTCACTCACTCACTCCATCATCACCCTCCCACTCACTCACTCACTCACTCACTCACTCCATCATCACCCTCCCACTCACTCACTCACTCACTCACTCACTCCATCATCACCCTCCCACTCACTCACTCCATCATCACCCTCCCACTCACTCACTCCATCATCACCCTCTCACTCACTCACTCACTCACTCCATCACCACCCTCCCTCTCACTCACTCACTCACTCACTCACTCACTCACTCACTCACTCACTCCATCATCACCCTCCCACTCACTCACTCCATCATCACCCTCCCACTCACTCACTCCATCATCACCCTCCCACTCACTCACTCACTCACTCACTCACTCACTCACTCCATCACCACCCTCCCTCTCACTCACTCCATCATCACCCTCCCACTCACTCACTCCATCATCACCCTCCCACTCACTCACTCCATCATCACCCTCCCACTCACTCACTCCATCATCACCCTCTCACTCACTCACTCACTCACTCACTCACTCACTCACTCACTCACTCACTCACTCACTCACTCACTCACTCTCCCTCTCACTCACTCCATCACCTCCCTCCCTCTCACTCACTCACTCACTCACTCACTCACTCACTCCATCACCACCCTCTCACTCACTCACCCTCCCACTCACTCACTCCATCACCACCCTCTCACTCACTCACTCACTCACTCACTCACTCACTCCATCACCACCCTCCCACTCACTCACTCCATCATCACCCTCCCACTCACTCACTCCATCATCACCCTCCCACTCACTCACTCACTCACTCACTCACTCACTCACTCCATCATCACCCTCCCACTCACTCACTCCATCATCACCCTCCCACTCACTCACTCACTCCATCATCACCCTCTCACTCACTCACTCACTCACTCACTCACTCACTCACTCAACCTCCCTCTCACTCACTCCATCACCTCCCTCCCTCTCACTCACTCACTCACTCCATCACCACCCTCTCACTCACTCACTCACTCACTCACCCTCCCACTCACTCACTCCATCACCACCCTCTCACTCACTCACTCACTCACTCACTCACTCACTCACTCACTCACTCACTCCATCACCACCCTCCCACTCACTCACTCCATCATCACCCTCCCACTCACTCACTCCATCATCACCCTCCCACTCACTCACTCCATCATCACCCTCCCACTCACTCACTCACTCACTCACTCACTCCATCATCACCCTCCCACTCACTCACTCCATCATCACCCTCCCACTCACTCACTCCATCATCACCCTCCCACTCACTCACTCCATCATCACCCTCCCACTCACTCACTCCATCATCACCCTCCCACTCACTCACTCCATCATCACCCTCCCACTCACTCACTCACTCACTCACTCCATCATCACCCTCCCACTCACTCACTCCATCATCACCCTCCCACTCACTCACTCCATCATCACCCTCCCACTCACTCACTCCATCATCACCCTCTCACTCACTCACTCACTCACTCACTCACTCACTCACTCACTCACTCACTCACTCACTCACTCTCCCTCTCACTCACTCCATCACCTCCCTCCCTCTCACTCACTCACTCACTCACTCACTCACTCACTCCATCACCACCCTCTCACTCACTCACCCTCCCACTCACTCACTCCATCACCACCCTCTCACTCACTCACTCACTCACTCACTCACTCACTCCATCACCACCCTCCCACTCACTCACTCCATCATCACCCTCCCACTCACTCACTCCATCATCACCCTCCCACTCACTCACTCACTCACTCACTCACTCACTCCATCATCACCCTCCCACTCACTCACTCCATCATCACCCTCCCACTCACTCACTCACTCCATCATCACCCTCTCACTCACTCACTCACTCACTCACTCACTCACTCACTCACTCACTCACTCAACCTCCCTCTCACTCACTCCATCACCTCCCTCCCTCTCACTCACTCACTCACTCCATCACCACCCTCTCACTCACTCACTCACTCACTCACCCTCCCACTCACTCACTCCATCACCACCCTCTCACTCACTCACTCACTCACTCACTCACTCACTCACTCACTCACTCCATCACCACCCTCCCACTCACTCACTCCATCATCACCCTCCCACTCACTCACTCCATCATCACCCTCCCACTCACTCACTCCATCATCACCCTCCCACTCACTCACTCACTCACTCACTCACTCCATCATCACCCTCCCACTCACTCACTCCATCATCACCCTCCCACTCACTCACTCCATCATCACCCTCCCACTCACTCACTCCATCATCACCCTCCCACTCACTCACTCCATCATCACCCTCCCACTCACTCACTCCATCATCACCCTCCCACTCACTCACAGATCTAATTTAAATTCAGTCCACTGTGTAAACCATCAACATTAACATTAGGTGTAAACATAGACAACTGGTGAAGGTGTTCCCTCAACCCTGCTAGGAGCTTTTTTATGGTTTTGTTTGTTTATATTTAACGTTCTAGATTTGTCTTTATTATATTGACTATCTTTCTTTTTATTGCTTGAAAAGGAGGAGGACCCGCTTGAAAACGAGATGGCTCATCTCAAGCGGGTTAATCCTTGTAAAATATGTCAATAAACAAACAAACATGTGACTGTTACCTGCTTTGCTAACCAGGCTCTGCAGGTGCTGGTCGAGGTACTCCTGCCTCTTGGTGAGAGCAGCTAACCACTGCCGCCGCAAACGTTCCAGATCTCTTTCCTAAAACATTTTGTCCATTACTGCCGTGCTCCAGTTCAAGTTCATCCACAAACACAGAGCGAGCAGCACCACGGTGGTCTACCTGATAGCTGTCCATCTCGTCTACTTCCTGATTGGTTGAGCTGTTTCGGATCTCCACGCAGCCCACGGATACCGCGAGCAGGATTTCTGCTATCAGGGGCATCGTGCCCGAGTCCTGAACTGAACGCACATCCACTTGGATTCGCCTGGACTGACCCTGGAGAAGAGGAGCAGAAGGTGAGAGGTTTGCTTTTACAGCATCGATCCACGGCTGGGTGAGGCTCCCTACCTGCCTGAGCTGAAAGATCCCTCCAGTGCACACATCTTTAGCCAGAACCACCTCCACAGGCACAAAGTCCCCATTCTCATTTATTTCAAGGATTTGAATCCATAACTCCAGACGACGTGTGACCTCACTCCACCTGCAACACCAACACATTTTCACACATGGACACACCTTTTCAGAGCAAGACTGAAAGCGCCAGGGTGCGTTTGTGTTTCTACCTGTCCCGTAGCGTGCGTGTTTTGGCCTGAATTATGCTGAGATCCCACAGGGCCGGATTTCTCCCTGCATCAGACTGTTTGTGTCCAAACACCTCGATGGCCACTGCTCCGTCTGTGAGGTACTCGATGAAATCCTCCGTCACAGACACTGCCAGCTCCTGCAGGTCCCAGGAGGCATAAGTTACCAGGAGCATCCAGTACTCACCCCCTTTCAGGATAATTCTGTTTCTGCTTTTTGATCAGACCGAGACTTTTTGATCCCTGAGGACGAGCTTTGTCGCTCGGCTCTTCACAGGATAACTGGAATCCAGCCACATCAGCGGGTTTCCAGCATGAATGAATTCTGAAATCTGAAGTGATGTTTAACAGGAAACCAGGGCTGAGTGAAAGAACTATAGAAAATATTTTTCAAATGGGTGGACAGAACCTCGACATACAGGACAGATGAACAGCCAATCCCAATCAGTGGCTGGAATGGAGTCACACGGCTTTTGTTTCAACGCTGCTTGAATTTCCACAGAAATCAAACAGTTTTTTCCTCAGCATTAATGTTTATTCTTAAAGAAACTATATTCAAACAAGCAGAAACATTTGAGAGTTTGTATTTCGATGCCTGCTTAACTGAGTTCTATGACACTCTACCACTTCAGCTCAGTGGCCTAGTGGTAGAGTGTCCGCCCTGAGATCGGGAGATCAGGGGTTCGATTCCTGGTCGGGTCATACCAAAGACTTTGGAAAAAATGGGACCCAAGGCCTCCCTGCTTGACACTCAGCATTAAGGGGTTGGATTGGGGGGTTAAACCACCAAATGGTTCCCGAGCACGGCTGTGTCTGCAGCTCACCGCTCCCCCAGGGGATGGGTCAAGTGTGGAGAACAAATTTCGCACACACACCTGTGTGTGTGACAACTAATGGGACTTTAACTTTAAGAGGATTTGAGACATTTCAGATTTTTATTATTTTACTTCTGAGAAAAAAGTCAGAATTATTTTTATTTTATTTTCAGTGGTCCTAATCCTCTCCCGTGGAGCTCTGTTCTCCTCGAATACTTACAGATTTTAGTTTAAAATAAACCTTTTATTGATCCACAACAGCAGCTTCTTAAAATTTAGCTCAAAATTACCAGAGAGCATTTAAGATCGACAACAACAGTGGTTTGATTTATATTGTGATATATATCGATATCGACTGATATGAAAATTAATATCCTGATAGGAATGTTTCCCGTACTGCCCAGCCCTGCGGGAAACCAGCTGGTGGGAGAGATGCGATAGGTGGGGGGGGGCACAGGCAGCTGAGATGTCCACGAGGACGCCGAGTCTTAACCCAAGGAGGTGGACTAAAAGAGCAGCAGAGAAGCAGTTCGATTCACTGCTGCTCACTTAAGGAAACAGTTTGAGAGTCAAAGTTTACATTCATGCAGACCATCAGAGAGGGACATAGGAGGTGGGTTTGGTTTAAATGCAAAGAAATTAAAATTAATATTAAACTTTTAAAAGACTGAACCAATTGGAAGGAGATAAATGAACAGAAGAGGCCCCAGGAGAAAACCAGGGGGAGCACTAGAAGTGACGAGAGCCGACTTGGACTGAAACATTTAGAGAGCAAGTCACCCCCTACCAGAGTCCAACTCCACTCCCATTTCCTGTTTAAAAAATGCACCACAAGGAGGCATCGCCTGGCAAACCGAGAGGGCAGCGCCGCTAACAACTACACACCCAAACAGGCTCACAACAACATTGTGACATCGTAATGGACCAGCTAACTTCATAGAGTACCTCTCAGCCAACTGCGATGCCAGATGTAAATTCAAACGTAGTACAGAGTTTTACCTGAAGAGGGCGCAACACTGACAGTTATAGGCAGGATATTTAAATGTGAACTAAGACGCACTAAAACACTAATTATTGACTACGTGTCTACAGCCGGATTAGACACTCATTTAACTTGCTCTTTAAGCGGAATGAAGTGAGAGATGAGACTTAAACCAAGTAAGAGGTGTGTTGATGACTTCAAGCTGCTTAGAGGGGTGTTGTGTGAGATGGTCACAGTCAAGCCACATCTAGGAAAATAAAAGTGGTTCAAAGTCCACAAGTCGAACGTTTCTACCAGAGTGCCTCAGTGCAACGAAACATGCCAGAAACTACCGAAAATCCTGTTTGGAAGAAGAAGATGAACCAGCGATACAACATGTTTCTGGAGCTTTAAGGAATGAGATGAATCACAGAGAGGAGAGCTTTTGGTCCTTCTCCAGCACCAACTAATCCTGGATAAGAGATTTCTGCTGATTTAAAAGCATCCTTAGTTCAGCAGAAGGTGATTATTCTACTTCTTTTTTTAAAGTAAGCAATGCGAGACGAGTCTGTGTTATTTGTGGTCAGCAGAACTTTTTACCTTGACCTCTTCTATGAAGGCCATTTTTGCCTTCCTGTCTCTTTCTAATTGTTGATTTATGACCTCAGACTAGGGCTGGGCGATATGATGATTTTAGACCGTTTTACGATCTACACATCTGACGGTCTGTCATTTTTGAGAGACCTTTTTATCACGATTCACAGCTCTGCTGTTGAAATTCTGCCTCTGAATGAAAAGGGAAGTGGGGGAACTTACCTCAGGCGAATGACACGCCTCTGTTTGACCCTTAACCAATCAGAGTGAGTCATAGTAATATATTAGTGCCCCGCTTGTTTTCACCTGTGTGTGAACAAACATGGCTTCAGCCGCGGCTGAGAGCGACAACGAGGTTTTCGTTCCGAAGAGGAACGCCTCGTCCATTATATGGAACTGGTTTGGTTTTTCACCAGATGACAAAGAGCAGCGAAACGTCATTTGCAAGGAGAGCGTCAAGGCAAGTGATGGCAACACCACAAACTTGTTTAATCACTTGAAAAGAAGGCATCCCAAACAATACAATGAGAGCCAGCTGGCAGCTAAAGCTAAAAAGCCTGCGGCTGCAGCGGCTAGCGCTTCTTCCAGGCAGCAAACGCTAACAAACACTCACAAAACTCACTCCCTACGACAGAGACAGCAGACGATGGAACAGCGTGACAGATGCAGTGACGTACCACTTGGTTAAAGATTTGTGTCCCGTGCGAACAGTAGGAGTGGGATTTAAGAACATGATAAAAACATTGGATCCGCGCTACGAGTTTTCCAGCCGCAAGTATTTTTCGAACGCCGCCATTCCACGCATGTACGCTGAATGCAAAGTGAGTTGCAGAAAATATTCAGAATGCCCAGTTTTTTGCTACCACAAGCGATCTCTGGTCCAGCCGCACATCAGAGCCGTATTTGAGCTTAACTATCCACTACATGAGCAACTGGGAGCTACATAGTATTTTGAACAAGTTAATGTTTGCACAATACGTTTGCAATTGACATGTTTGCACTTTAAATATGTTTACGATTTTAATTTATGTTAAGTTACTTGAAAAACGAGAAAAACTGATTTTTGTAATTGTTTCTCTCAGGGCTTTTATCATCTCTGGTGTGAGTTTAAAATATAAGTGTGTTAGCACTGTGCTGATTATCTCTAATATGAATAAATGTTTGTTTATTCAATGTTTCTCTTCTTTAATACGCAATTGAAGTTATGCTATTCATGGATAAAAAATTGTGATAAAATTGAAATCGTGATCAAATATTGGAAAAATCGTGATATTCTATGTTTGCCATATCGCCCAGCCCTAACTCAGACCTAAACCAGACCTGCAGAGCTGTAGATGTTGTTCTGAGGTTCGGTGGTTCTTGGGTTCATTCAGAACAGGGAAGGGTGTGTTGCTTTTTGAGATCTTTTAGGGTTAGGGTTAGAACCAGGTTTGCTACGATAACTTATTTCCCTTAATAAATGAAATAACCATCTGAAAATTAGTTTTCAGATCCAAATTCAAAAAGCAAAGACCTGACAGGATTTTCACTGAGCTGAGTTCACACAGAACATGAGAGCTAAGATGCGCTCACCCTGCAGCTGTCAAACACCACCATACAGTGTGGGTCCTTGGTGCTGGGCGACGAGGCTGAATGATCCACTTCAGGGGCCACGATGATGGGCTCAGGCTGGTCCCAGAAAGAATACTGGCAGAAGACAAAGTTGGACAGGTGCTGAGGAAGACCGGTGGCTTGAAGGATCTTTATCTGCACAAGAAGCACACATTAAAAATCCATCAACTGAGCAGAAATAAGATAAAAATCTGACACTCCACAGTTCTTTGAGAATGCTTGAGCCCCACCATGCAGACCAGTTTACGATCCTCAAATCCTGAGTCCTGGCTGTTGTCAGGATCGTCTCCTCCTGCCATGTTCTCCTCTAAGCCTCCTCCTACTCTCATCACCTCTACATGCAAGCGCCCAGAAACCTGACCGCAAGCAGGAGGAAGGAAAAGCTGCAGTTAGCCCAACCGAGAGCCTGAGAATCAGCCTGAATGGCTTTCCTTCTGATGTTTGAGGGTTTCGTTCTTTACAGCAACACACTGTAGCTTTAAACATCAGGCTGGAGATAACCCAGAGCCTTGCTGCCCTGATTAGATTATTTTAAATGCTGTGATAATACCTCTCCCTTCTGGTTGATGATGGGAACCGCGTACTGCAGCTTCACATCGTAGAAGAGACATGAAAGGAAGACATTAGCGACACCGATCAGGCTGTGGTTCTCCTGCTCATCAAAGAATGGGTCCGCCCGCCGGAAGTACAACCGCATCGCCTGGATGCAGGGGGGAGTTTAGACAACAACTTAAAGATTCTGTGATTTAAGACGGACTGGTTGTTCTGACTCACTGGATTGTCCTGATGGTGGTGCTGGTAGTCCTGCCACTCCTGGTACAGCTCTCTCATGTCCACCAGGCGGTTCTCCATCTTCTCCAAGTTCCAGATCTGTTTCCCTCGACACCGTCTTCTGACCTCAATCGCTGGTTCACTGAGCACTGCATCCCTCTACACACACACACACACACACACACACACACACACACACACACACACACACACACACACACACACACACACACACACACACACACTGTAAGGCCACTGGCTGAGCAGGCTTGTGTGAGGAGCTCATCCTGCTGTGAGACCTTGCGGTTGGCGTTCAGGTTCTCTGACGGGATCTGCAGGGTGACTCTGTACTCTGTGTGACGCTCCAGCTCGGCAGAGATAAAACACGCCTCCTGGACTAGAAGGTTTGCTCTCACTATTTGCTCCCTCAGTCTCCTGAGACTCCTCACCAACACAGCCTCCCTGCAGGAGGGACAGAAAAACATCAAGCTTCCATTTGTGTTATAATTGTAAGAAGCGTGGTGCACACACACTCACCTGTCCTCGCTCCACTGTCTCAGTCTGCTGGCAGAATGGCTCATCCCTCCAACGCTAAGCCTCTCCAGGCTGCGGTAGTGGGACTGCTGTCCTGGCCCCTGCTGTCCAGGCGTCTGTCCTCCAGACGGACCCGTAGACAGACGATCTGGATTGAGCTTCTTGCGGAGCTGCTGCAGCTCCTGCTCGTACATCTGCCTCTGTCTCTCCAGAGCCGAGCGCTTCTCTTCTTCGTGCTGCCTCTCCAGGGACTGGAGGACGGCCTGCATGGGGTCTGAGCGAACACGGTGGATACGAGTCACTAAACACCAGCGGGAAATAAGGAGGACGATAAAACCAACACGACAGGCTCACCATTGCTGCCCAGAGCCTTCATCATGACCTCCGTCTGTGCAAACTCGTAAGAGAAGCTGACTTCACTGGACACTTCGCTGGCTGTGTCTCCGTCAGCATCCAGCTGCTCACTGCTGCCACTGCTCTTCATCACACCCCCTTCCCCCTCCTCCTCCTCTGCTCCTCGCATGCGCCGCTTTGGCAGGTTTATCCTAGAAGAGAAAACCCACGTTTAATAGAGGAAAAGGTGAAACAGCAACAACTAGTTTAATCTGTAAAGAAGCTGAAGGTTTGAAACTATTTAACCTGAAGAAGTGGTTGTTCCCCCAGAGGATCCGGTCACCGTGGTGAAGCTGCAGAGTACTGGTGACAGGAGAACCGTTGACACACGTTCTACAACCCAGGCAAACAAAACACAGGCGTCAGCTGGAGAGGACCTGGCTGTTTATCCTCCACTATAAATAAAAACATCTGTCAGCAGGTCAGCAGCTACAGTAATCCGGTTCCTCGACGCTCATCGAGCGCTCATCAGCTCTGTTAAGACTTGAGAGACAAAATGACGAGAACATTTGTGTTTTTCAGGTAACATGTTTGTTTACACCAAACGCAGCCAGGTTTCTCACCACAGCACAGATGTTTCATGTGCTGAACCCAGAAGTACCAGAAAGCACTATTCGTGCACAAACAAGCGTTTTTATATTTCCACGTTTTGACAGCTGTGTGGAGCTGAGGTGGCTCCATGTTGGACCTTCTGCCTCTCTGGTCTGGACTCAGGCTGCTGAAGCTCCTGGCCTCATTATGAAGACGGATGGTGTCAGTAGAACAAACAGAGTTACTCACAAACACATCTGGTGTTTGTACTGAATTAAAGCTGCTGTTCAGGGGGACTGATTACACTTAAACTGATCATTTATTTCTCTCAGTATGACAAAATTTGAATGTTTTCATGTTAAATCAGACTCTGATTATTAGTTATTGTTTTTAAATCCATACCATGCCGTTTGTTGACGACCTTTTTAAATCCTGACTGATGCAACATGTCAATGATTTCTACGGCACTTCCACTGAGCTGTGAGAAAACCACGGATCCGGTTCCCTTACTGCTCCTTACCGCGCGCTGGGGTAGGGGGTGAGGATGACAGCAGCCTCCGCGGTGATGTCAATCACACAGTGTTCTGCCAGGATGCCCATCCCACACAGCTGGATGTCCTGGGAGTCCGCCGAGCCCACCTTCGTGTGTTCCTGAGACAAGACGACACAATAAGTCCCCCGCTGCAGCAGACAGACCCATCCAGGTCATGTCTTTGATGCTAGAGTTATGAAGCCAGATTAAACACGCGTGCCAGCACCTTCAGGTAGTACACCAGCAGTTCGTTAAGGGCGGGATCAGCATTCAGGTTTACTAGGAAACTTTTATCGTCTCCGACTTTGATCCCTGAAGACTGAAGGGAAATTCCCAGACTCTCCAGCTGCTTCTGACGTTCCTACAAGCACAAAGCCTTGGACGTTAGCCGGGCGAGTGTTCTGGCTGGTTTCACGCAGCGGACGGATTAGGTGATAACTTACTTGTGCTATCTCCTCAGTTTTACGCAGCTTCTCCTCCCAGGTGACCGTCATCTCCTGGATCAACTTCTCAGACTCCTCCAGGCGCTCCTTCAGCTCCGGAGCTTTCAGAGACTGCAGCGCAGACAGCAGGTGAGGAAGTTTCCTAAACGTGACCCTTAAGGGGGTTGAAGCCGTCTCACCTCTGCCTGGGTCAGCTGCACTCGCAGTTTCTCTACTTCCTCTCGAAGCTCTCTGATGATGCGAGCATTGGGGTCTTCATTGACAATAGCGTGGTTGACGATGCTTTTTGCTCGGTCAGCGTAGCGCAGCGTGGACAGAGTCTCCTCGTAGTTGTCTGCTGCGGGACTCACGGTTGCAACCATGGCTGTGCGGCTGTTGCCTCCCAGGCAGTCCTGAAGACGAGCAGTTATAAACGGACGAGGGAGCTTAAAGCGAATGACTGAACATGCCGTGTGTTTAGTGTCGGTTTACCTTCAGCAGCCAGGTCAGAACAGAGTCTCTGTAAGGAACAAACTTGGTTTTGTTCTTAGCAGTTCCCTGTTCAGCCAGCGCCGAGATCACCAGACCCAGTGTGGTAAGGGACCTGGCGAAACAACACAAACACTAAATACTTTAATATCTGGTCATAATTTAATGTTGAAACCAAGCACTCACATGCTGAGTGTGTTTGCCACTATGTGTAGACCGATTCATCAGTCGGCCGATATACGCCATTTTTAATATAAGCCTCCTCAGTAAAGATTTACACTCAGACACAAGCCGGGGCAGCCTGGTGCTGCGGCTGAGCTGCTCTAAAAATGATTTCCAATTAAAATTACTTTTATTTAGCACTTGTGAATATTTAATACTTGGTTAGTTATGCTGATTATTTTTTTCTAAATTAATTTCAGTTTGATGTCTTTAACACAGCACAAACAGCTGCTTAAATTCAGTTTTCACAAACTAATGTAACTTCTAACATTTTGTGCACCAAATGATGTTTTTAGTGACATTTTAGCATGAAAACAAGGTGGAAAATGTCTGGATATTGGCCATGAAAATCGGCCCAAAAGATCGGCAGCAAAAATCGGCCATGACCATGACCTTTACTTATCGGTCGACCTCTATAGGGAGCCTAGGTCTCCTCCCTTGCCGGTCGGCTCACGAGTCCCCGGAATAACAAAAAATGAATGCAAGTCAAGTGGGGCTAAAAACGCTACTTTCTAATGCGCTTTGCCTTAGACCATGGATCACACATATGTCGTACTTATATTTAAGTGAAAAGTAATGGTGGTGTTTCGACCACGCCAGTCACGTACTTTGAGATTTATGAGCTTGTAAAAGTTCGTAATTAGCACGACCACATCGGCATGAGAATCGCTTCTCCGCTAGCGTAGCTGCTACTTACCACATGGCCAGATTCATGGTGGTTCTTTCCTCCTGTGGGAAGGACCTGAAGTTTGTTGAACTTACAACCCTTCTCCCTCAGGTTTCTGCGTGTCTGGTTCGATGACGTCACTTTCGTGAAGTGCATTTGGAGTCCTGCACTTATTTTCACACAAAACCTAAAATAACGATTCCCCCCGTTCGAAAATAAGCGCGTTCTTAGTATCAAAATGGATATTTAAAATTCACGGACATCATATGTGAAATCCATGGCACATAAGAAGTGGAATTAGAAAATAGCGTCTTTAACCCCGTTGACTTGCATTCATTTTTTCGTTCTTCCGGGGACCCGTGGTCGAGAGGGAGATGGGCGTGACTTAGGCTCCCTGTTTTCAGTGACCAGAGATGGGATGTGTTTGTTTAACTGCAGGTACCAACACGGGTACTGCGAGTGTGTTTACTTGTTAATGTTGCTCCCCTCCTTCAGTCGCTCTCCTGCTGCACCGGTTTTTGCTGCTCGCTCACTTCCAGCCAAGTCCACCAGACTTAACCGACTCACCTTCTCCCCACTAGTCTGCAGACACAAGGAGAGAACGGAGCCGTGAAGAAAAGTCTCTCTGTTGTACACCTCTGTCTCTGCACCCATGCTGCAGCTTCAGCTGGCGCCTTGCAGCAATGCTCGGTTCTAGAACTTTACTGTCCGGTTCCTGTGGAAATAAACACTTGGCACTCCCTCCAGCTGTTCACAAACACCTCTTGTTTGGAGAAGGGACTTTGTGTTTAAGGCTTTCTCCTTCTGAAAGAAGCCTTTTCCACTTTTCCTCTACCGAGCAGGTAATGACATCTCCGGGTCTCATCCTGAAAGCTTCCGTCTGTGATTTCCTGGGAAGGATATTATATCCCATCTGTGACTGCTCAGCAGCTGACAGGACCTGCTGACAAACTAAAGCAGCACATCAGCACACACACACACACGGTTTCTATGGAGCTACCCAACCTCTATGTTTAGGCAGACACGGGAGTTTTAACCAAGCCTGATGTGTTCTCTCTCTCTCTCTCCCTCTCTCTCCCACACACACACACACACACACACACACACACACACACACACACACACACACACACACACACACACACACACACACACACACACACACACACACACACACACACACACACACACACACACACACACACACACACACACACACACACACACAGGTCTAAAAACATCCATGGTGGCTGAAGAAGTCACTCCCAGTAAACCCGAGCCTGGTTCAGAAACCACATGCCGACTCAGCAGCGATAACAACAGCGGACTCCGTTTGTCTCGTTTCCTTCTCCAGTACGGCCAAACGAACTTCAGAAATGCATAAAAGTGGTCTGGTGACCAGCATCAGCCTGATCAGTGATCAGCTCATCAAACTCAAATATCAGATTTCTTTTCTGAATGTGAATGGACCGCAAACGGCAGTACGAACAATCCTGCTCTGTAAACTCACGGTTGCTAAATGCTCTTTACGCTAGCATCAATAGATCCTCTACATAAAACGTTTTACCTCCAGAATTAAACATTTCTAGTTCATAAAAACACCATATTTTAAAAATGTATAGTTTTCTGGAGTATACCAGGATCAGCGGCTTAGAACTGCGCAAGAGTGAAGATCAGGCCTCGTGTCCTGAACTGGTGCATCTACTGGACTGACTAGAAGAGGAGTGAGAAGGTTCTTAAGAATACAGTCTTAGGGTTGCACTGTCCTGAATAACAGACAAACCACAACAACAATAATGTGACTTTGTATTTCTATCAATCCCTGGAGCTGTCACTGAGTCCCAACAGACACATCTGTGGGAAAACTCACATAAAGGTGCATGATGACATCCTGTGGTCAAATTAGGGTACTGCAGGTCATGTTTCAAAACAAACATCTCACTCCTGCTGTGTGAGTTTCGTGGCTGTTGCCAGTTACAGATCAGCACCATAGATTATAGATAAGTGAAGATGAGTCGTACACACAGTAGATGAATACACTTCACTATAATATCCAGTTGTGGGCAATTTAAAAAGTAGCTTCAGATCATTTTAGAGCAGACTATTTGTTTTATTCACTATTAGCATTTTTAGCTAAATATTAGCCTCTAGCCTTCTTTACCCAACAGAGTAAAACAAAAGGATGCTGTGGTTACTTAGGATACATCAGACAGAAAATACCTGAATAATAAAATTAAATTGGTCAAGAACCAAGTAGGGCTGAAGAGTAAAGACCAACTCCAGGCAGCAGTCACTCGACTCGGCCTCAAACATCCACAGCTTCCAACCTTTACAGTGTAAACTCAGTTACTAAACACATCAGAAAGCACAGCAGATGATTAAGAAAAAGCAATAAGAATAAACAAGAACAAGCTTCCATAACAATAAGTGTCTTGTGTGTTTGTTGTGAACACACACCTGTTCAGAGTCTGATCATTAGGGTCATGCCAGCAGCCTACATGGCTTTTTATCTGGCTAAATAAGCATCTGTAAGCAGAGCAGCTACCTGTCTCCGTAACCAGATCAGCTGGCAGAATGTGTCAGCCTACTTGGCAGCAGCACCTGCTCAGAACACGTGTGACGACCTGAACATCTAACTACACACGCTAATCCTCTGATCTGGTCCACACCACCATCACACGACTACAGACCATGTTTTATCCTTTACATTACAGGGCGTGGTGATGTCACCAGCAACAACCTGAGGTTCGATAGCAAACAAGGTCAAAGTGCAAACTGAGTGAGCTCTGGTGGTGACGCAGATGTGAGCTCATTAATATCCTTACCATCCCATAACTGCCTGTTAGAATCAGCTCTGCTGTGAAAAGCTGGGCTCCGACGCTCACATTACCAGTAACTGTACTCAAAGCTGGAGATGAAAGACAAGAGGATATAGGACGGTGCTAAAACACCTAAATAAGGAACGTGACCACAGAAGTCAGTTCAGAGGCCTGTGAGGGAATAAAACTAACTTCATGTTTCTGTTTTGGTGAACAAGTAGCATTTCAAGGAGTTTTTTTATAAACATTTCCAGAGACGATGCTCTGCAAGTGTCACCAGGAAGAGTGTTTCAGAGAGTTGGGGCTGCAGCATGGATAACAGCCGTGCACAAACACATCTTCTTCCTTTCTCCTTTCAGCAGCAGAACACCGCAACACAAAAGCCTGGTGGGTCCAGCAAGAGGAGGTCATCTAATGAGGATGAAAATCATCTCACACCACCACAGTGACACCCACTTAGATGTTTTTTAGTGGAGGGATGGGTCCCCGCTGAACCATCGTACGCCCTGGTGTTGGGCGAGTCTACTGGAAACAGAGCAGGCTGTATCCGCTGACTAACTCAGTCATGCCTGTGAATTATTAACAGGATTTGGTGGTAGCAAGAAACAGGAGCAGGGAGGATTAAGCGGGTCGCTGAGGAAAGAAAACTAGTGATTTTGTTTTTCCCAAGGAGGTTCTGGTCACTCTGCTGACATCACTGGGTTTGGTAACAGGCTGTTTGATCACAAGCTTACCAGAAACGGTCTGATTTGACAATAACACAGCCTGAAATCTTAAAGATGAAATATATGCCTACAAAGAGTCCCATTTCCATTTATAACCCTCATGATTGTGCTGCCGTCAGACAGCTGAAGGCTCTGTGAAGGAAATCCAAGCGCGCCTGATGTGACTGAACAGTGTGATGCAGAGCGGCTTTGATTCGGTGCAGGATCAGCTTTCCACACACGACTGTAAAGACAGAGCCTCCACACAAATAGCTGGCCTGTGAGAGGTGTGTGACTGTGTGAAGAGAGAAAAGGTGTGATTGGTGTCTGGCCTGTGCCGTTTCAAGCAGCCGTGAGCATGACCAATCATATAATCACATGAGCTGAGCTAAATCTGTGGCAGGAATGCAGAGCATAGACGGGCTCCTGCTGCAGCTCTGGGGGGGGGGCGGGGCCTATGGTGCAGATAGAACCCACATACCTGGAGCAGGAAGCTGTTCTTTACTACAGACTATACATTTATCAAATCGAATGCACACATATATATATATATATATATATATATATATATATATCTGTTTTACTCAGCGGTGTGTGTTGACGGCTTACCCCAGACCGCAGGTCTTTGAGTGTGTGTGTGAGGATGATGTTGAAGACAGCATGTGATCTACTGCTCTCCTCGTTCATGTTGGTGGCGGCCACGGTGCGAGACTTGTTCCCCTCCGACATCAGAGACTCAATATCCTGAAGTAACGAACAACACGTTATAATACACACAATAATCTAAGAAAAATTCTTGTGGCTCAGCTATTATAAGAAATACAACAGTTAACGATCACTTTACAGAACTTTATTTTAAAAATGTCAATACAACAGACACAAATCATGACAAAAGAGCCACTTGTAAACAAATACACATCAACAGCACCTGCCAGTTTGGCAGGCGTGACTCAAAAGTTTAGTATGGGATTAGATTTGTGCCAATAGGATCAAGAAAAACACTTTGGAGAGCAAACAAATTTTAAGACATTGAGAGAAAAAACATTGGTTTCAAAAGAAAAACTTACGATCTGAATCAGATTCTTAAAATGATCAAGAAAAACACTTTGACGGTCAAACAAAAATTAAAAAATTGACAAAACAAAAATATTGACTAAAGGAAAAAAACATGTTTCAAAAGTAAAACTTACTATCTGAATCAACTTCTTAAAATGAGTAACAAAGTAGGTTTCCTTTTTCTGTTTGCCTCTATGTGTTTTTGTTATCAATTTCCTTAGTTTTGTTCTCGCTGCTCAGAGCTTTGCTCTCACTACCAGATTTGCACTTACACTGTCTGGCTTTCTCCTTTGCAATCCCTGAGTTTTTGGTTGCAATTCTGACACAACCCTTTTGGGTGGGCGGGACTTCTGAGAAGTCCTCTCCCATAGGACAGTGGTTTCTCTTGAGTGACAGTTCAGTGACCTGGAAGTGATGTAGCCTCCAAGACATTTTTTTTTCTACCTGGTCAACAACATGAATTTTGAGCCCCAAACACATTATTTCTGCTGTCTGTGGTGTCTACTGAGGACCTAAAGTGAGTAATGATAATATATTTTATCTTTTCTTAGTTAATCTGTAAGTTAAACCACTTTTTAAGTTGGTTTTAAGCAGACGTTAGCTCACCAGCTAGCTGCTAAGCAAGCCATTGTGCTAGCCTCAGGAATGATCTATTGTTCCAGAGAGACGTATTAAAAACTCATCTTAACATATTCATTACTGGTTTCATGGAATAAATTATTGCAGTTTATGTTAATAAGTTTGCTAATTTTTCAGGAACCTGGAGCTAACCTGTGTACTGCTAACTTGCTACAGAGGAAGCAGCAGAAAGCTGAGCTAACAGGCTGTTTTGCAGGTAAATACTATTTTAGTGGAACTGCAGGATTTTTATGGTATAACTCAGACAGAATCTACATGAGCTATTGTGGGAAGACATTTAAACTACATTTACATACAGATAAATGTATTTTTTATTCCATGTTACTTGGATGGGCTAAACAAGTTCATAGTTCTGCCTGCTCCTTTTTCAGTGAAACGAATGGATTTTATGATGTAACTCTGACTGAATAATTATCTAAGTGAGAATGTTTGATAATAAATTTCTTTCCAGTATACAGATCTGACATTTGTTTGTCAGAACAAGACAAATCAGATTCAATGTGCTTTCTGTCACGTGTTCTATATTCTCCATCAAAAGAATGTTATCCAAGGCAGATAATCAATAATGAGTTTAATACATGCTTTTAATTAATTTTTACATAAAATCTATATTTTTGCCTAAAAGCTATTTTAGACTGGCTTTCTCAGTCCTAGCACCGTTACTCTGGAACCAGTTGCCACCCTCAGTTAGGCTGTCCCCCTCTCTGCCAGTCTTTAAGAATCACCTAAAAACACACCTCCTCCGCTTGGCGTTTCCAGAACATGTTTGATTTTGGCCCTCTTTTATGTTGAATTTATTTCAGTTTTCATTGGTTCACTCAATCCATCCACTCAATCCAAATGTGTTTCACACATTTGTCCTGTACCAGAGTGTTTCATCTATCTTGTAATTTCCATTTTGTATTTTGTAATTTGTATTTTGTAATTTGAATTGCTTTTATTGTTGATTTATTCAATATATTTACCTACAACTGTACCATGTTCAGTGCTTTGGGCTTCCTGACAGGGTTGCGGAAGGTGCTTTATAAATAAAGCTTTGATTGATTGATTTTTTATTTATTTGTTCTTTCTTTTTAGATTGAAAACTACTGCATTGCATTACAATGGAAGTGCTACACGGCCACATGCATCAACTGCAGCTGGTGAGCTAAGACACACCATAGTGTACACAAAGTACACTGCAGACAAGGGATGTAAGAAAATATCAATATGACAATATATCGCAATATATTTTCCCAGTGATATTGTATCGATATTCTCAAACTGTGTCTCTAAAATATCGATATGGCAATATATCGTGATATTTTTTCCTGAGATATTACATCCATTTTCAAAAGCAGTGTATCTAGTTTTTGGAAGAATTTACATGCAAACATTTGTGTATTTTCTTTGTTTTTGATGCACTTTAAATGTCGACCGCTAGTCGGCAGCAGTGTGCATTGGGTTTTGTTTCCACCATTGAAATTTAAATCTCGCTATTATGGTTCAGATAAAGCCGGGCGTACACTGTGCGACTTTTTCACTCGCAGCGTTCAGCTTCAGCTCCAGCTCACACTGTACGACTTCCTCGCAGGGCAGATCTCACGAGTCAGGCGCTCACACTGTACGACCCAGTTCTCGGATGCGACCTGACTGCTCATACTGTACGTCTGGTAGCAACACGTCGGCCCTAAAAATGTGCTAAAAATAGCAGTTTTTACTCAACACGTCAGACGTTTTTGTCTTGTTTTGTCTGTTGTCCTTCGGGAGTGCTGCAGGAGGACACACAGGGATTTATGGGGGTTGGATGAGGAAAACGAAATAAAGAAAGTAAATCTGTGTTTTGTGATCAGTTTAATTTGACATGAACACGACAAACACGCTTTCTTGACAATCTTTGTGAGTAAAAAAAACGTGTAGAAATAAAAACGAACAACGTGTGTTATTAGGGAAATAGCGAGCGAGCGGCGTTGATGCAGGATTGCGCATGGGCCGTGAGCGGTTCTGATACTTTTTGGGTCGCAGCTGCTCGCAGCGCCGCTTCAACAGTGCGATACCCTCACGAGGGACGAGCTAAATATTAAACACGCCAGAAGTTCGTGCGACCTCACGATTGCTTATCGGCAGCTGGTCACCTGGTGTTAATTGCCTCTCGTAACCCCCTGTACACTACACGACCGCTCGGCGCAAAACTCACCCCGATGTCGTGGATTCTTGCACGACTGGAAAATCGGCTCAAAAAAGTGAAAAAGTCGCACAGTGTACGCCCGGCTGAAGTCATGTTACATGTGTTAAGTATCAGTTTGGACTGTTTATTGAATATTCCTACAATAAATTCAGTCAAAAATACAGATCCCTACTGCAGACCAATCCCACCTCATGTATTTCATAGGATGTATAATAAACCCACAGTGATGGTTATGGATAAATATCTGTACTAATGGTAATCTTTTTCCATTGTTTCCAGTTGACAAGCATATGGACCTATTGTTCGAGTCCGTGGTGGTGGATGCTCTATCATATCAGGAATCCGTGGTGGTGGATGCTCTATCATATCAGGAGTCCGTGGTGGTGGATGCTCTATCATATCAGGAGTCTGTGGTGGTGGATGCTCTATCATATCAGGAGTCTGTGGTGGTGGATGCTCTATCATATCAGGAGTCCGTGGTGGTGGATGCTCTATCATATCAGGAGTCCGTGGTGGTGGATGCTCTATCATATCAGGAGTCCGTGGTGGTGGATGCTCTATCATATCAGGAGTCCGTGGTGGTGGATGCTCTATCATATCAGGAGTCTGTGGTGGTGGATGCTCTATCATATCAGGAGTCCGTGGTGGTGGATGCTCTATCATATCAGGAGTCCGTGGTGGTGGATGCTCTATCATATCAGGAGTCCGTGGTGGTGGATGCTCTATCATATCAGGAGTCCGTGGTGGTGGATGCTCTATCATATCAGGAGTCTGTGGTGGTGGATGCTCTATCATATCAGGAGTCTGTGGTGGTGGATGCTCTATCATATCAGGAGTCTGTGGTGGTGGATGCTCTATCATATCAGGAGTCCGTGGTGGTGGATGCTCTATCATATCAGGAGTCTGTGGTGGTGGATGCTCTATCATATCAGGAGTCTGTGGTGGTGGATGCTCTATCATATCAGGAGTCTGTGGTGGTGGATGCTCTATCATATCAGGAGTCTGTGGTGGTGGATGCCCTACCATATCAGGAGTCTGACTAAGTACCTGTGCCTGAACCTCTCTGTGTCTAGTTCAAAAGACCGTCTGTAAGCAGGCACAGGTTAAGATTTTAAAAGAACCTGTAAGGTGAGCAACACAACACAATATAAATCTTTATTATTGTTGTACGCTGTACAGCTAGAATAAACTTGCATGCTCAGAAGCCACGTATGATTACATCGCCTACAGGTTGCCTGATGCTGAACTTCGGGCAGCTGCGTGTGACTGTACTCCCGAGGAACAACCGCCTGTTGGAGGAGTCGTTGTGTTGCTGTCAGGAGTTTGGGTCGGAGTCCTGGGTTTGTGTTCCCTTTAATCTCTTCCTTAGCCTTGCTAGTCACCATTGCAGAGCACCATGGAGAGGCTTACCTGAAAACTCTTCTCATGGGGCAGGCACATCCTCACACACCTGTAACCCCATCCTTGAATAAAAGCTGGTAGCTGGTCACTCATCAGTGTTTTAACCCATATCTAGCCCATGACTCTGCCGTTTTTCAAACTTACGTTCTCATGTTCTATGCAGATCTATGGGAATTCTTTCCTTGAAGCTCCTGATCACACAACTATACTGGCAGTCGGCTTACCCACTACCTTCTGCTCACCCGCTTGCAACTCATGCTGTCATTCTCCCAGACTTCTGGTTGTTTCTCCACCATTCTGCTGTCTCCCGTCTGCGCTACAGCTTCAGACCGTAAGTACCTAAACTTTTCCTTTTGTAAGTCATTCTTTAGTCATTACTAACACTCAATTTTATCTCAGGGCCTTCTGATCTTTAAACACTAATACCTGTGGCTCCATCTCTGTGGCGTTTCTCAGTCTCTGTAAGCTACCTGCACAGTCTAAGAAAAACCTGACCTGTTGCCTCTTACTAACCTCTGCTCTTCCTCGCAGAAGCTTCTGGTTCCTGATCTCCAGCTGTTACCTCTTCAGTCATCTGTCAAACATTTTAATAAACTGTTTTTAGCTCATTTGTCTCCTGAGTTTCTCTGCATGAAGGTCAGGTTGTTGCAAAAATCATGACATCAGCAATTACTTTGCACCACTCTGTTAAACAGCTGATATTAATTTCAAGTGTATCTTTAAAAATACATTGAATGTCAAAGTGAATGAAAGGTATCCATTCAGCTTTCGGTGTCTAATGCAGGATTTTACGGACTGGCACCAAAACAGGAAATTTATAAATTGAGATTTATTTATTAAATCAGGTAATCCATAATAAAATACTAATGTTTAAAGTCCGGAGGAGGGAGGAAGGCTTTATAGCAGAGGTATTCAATTCTAGTCCTGGATGGCTGGTATCCAGCACGTTTTAGTTGTTTCCCTGCTCCAACACACTTGAATCAGGGGTTGAATTACCTCTGCAGCAGCTCTGCAGAAGCCTGTTAATTATCTGCTGACTGAAATCAGGTGTGTTGAAACAGAGTTAAAACTAAAACGTGCTGGATACCGGCCCTCCAGGCCCAGAAGTAAATACCCCTGCTTTATAGGCACAGAGAACTCCCATCAGGATCCTGGAGACGGCACAAGGAGATGACGACATGAGTGTGCCCTCCCAGATCACACCAACACCACCTGACCACATGGAGGCATGTGTCTGTAAGAAAGAAAAACTGGTGATGTATGAGAAAAAAATCTACGAACAAAATCAAATTTACAGTTGTTTAACCTGCTGAGCATCGCCTCCCCAAAGAGCAGCACAAAGGTGCAACTGGCTCAGAACCAGGGTGCTCCGTTATGCAGGTGGTCACCTCCTCCTGCTGACACCCGAGGATTACCTACAACAAAGGGAAAACTGATATCAATAAGGAAATAATTAAATCAGAGCTAAAAGTTTAATTTTAGTGTGACGTTTGAGATTGTGGGAAATAAATGTGGACATTATGATTTTCTATTGTGGGGTCAGTACCTTGGGCGTTTCTCTGCAGCAACATTTTGTCTGGCTGACAATGAAGTAGAAAAGTCACCGGTTGAGGCAGAGTTAGACTATATTACTCCAGCTAAGCTAAATGTAGCTAAACTAGACACTAGTCACCAGACTATGGTTACTATAGATTTACTAGAGAGTTACATCATATAATCCATTCGTTTCACCGAAAAAGGAGCAGGCAGAACTATGAACTTGTTTAGCCCATCCAAGTAACATGGAATAAAAAATGCATATATATGTAAATGTAGTTTAAAAGTCTTCCCACAATAGCTCACGTAGATTCTGAGTTATACCATAAAAATCCTGCAGTTCCACTAAAAGAGTATTCACCTGCAAAACAGCCTGTTAGCTCAGCTTTCTGCTGCTTCCTGTGTAGCAAGTTAGCAGTACACAGGTTAGCTCTAATAGCTGCAAAGTCTCTGATGTGCCACAGGTTCCTGAAAAATTAGCAAACTTATTAACATAAACTGCAATAATTTATTCCATGAAACCAGTAATGAATATGTTAAGATGAGTTTTTAATACGTCTCTCTGGAACAATAGACCATTGTCCTGAGGCTAGCACAATGGCTTGCTTAGCAGCTAGCTAGTGAGCTAACGTCTGCTTAAAACCAACTTAAAAAGTGGTTTAACTTACAGATTAACTAAGAAAAGATAAAATATATTATCATTACTCACTTTAGGTCCTCAGTAGACACCACAGACAGCAGAAATAATGTGTTTGGGGCTCAAAATTCATGTTGTTGACCAGGTAGAAAAAAAAAATGTCTTGGAGGCTACATCACTTCCAGGTCACTGAACTGTCACTCAAGAGAAACCACTGTCCTATGGGAGAGGACTTCTCAGAAGTCCCGCCCACCCAAAAGGGTTGTGTCAGAATTGCAACCAAAAACTCAGGGATTGCAAATGAGAAAGCCAGACAGTGTAAGTGCAAATCTGGTAGTGAGAGCAAAGCTCTGAGCAGCGAGAACAAAACTAAGGAAATTGATAACAAAAACACATAGAGGCAAACAGAAAAAGGAAACCTACTTTGTTACTCATTTTAAGAAGTTGATTCAGATAGTAAGTTTTACTTTTGAAACATGTTTTTTTTCCTTTAGTCAATATTTTTGTTTTGTCAATTTTTTAATTTTTGTTTGACCGTCAAAGTGTTTTTCTTGATCATTTTAAGAATCTGATTCAGATCGTAAGTTTTTCTTTTGAAACCAATGTTTTTTCTCTCAATGTCTTAACATTTGTTTGCTCTCCAAAGTGTTTTTCTTGATCCTATTGGCACAAATCTAATCCCATAGTTTAGCCTCTGAACCCTGAACATAAAGTAAGTTCTGTTACTTGACTTGATAATGCATCGTGTTTCTACGTCTAGGCGTCAAAATGATGTCGATTTTTAGGCGTTTCATTCAAAGAATTTTAAGTTTGACCAAATCTGATGTACGCCGTTGTGTGTGGGGCTGCTGATGTGCATCCAGATCAAGAGCATTGTTAAATTACAATGCAGCTTTACTAGAGAAGTCTTCAGCTACTCCAAGTCCGTTAGGATCGAACTGTTAGAACGGACGAAAACTCGCATCTCAAAGGGCTCGACATTAGTGATGCTAATCAGCGCAGACACTAATCAGTATAGATCAGAACTGTTATTGTTGTGCTCAGGCCTGGAGGAGAGAAAAGAGCCCACACATATTTATCGCTGATATTCCAGACGAGGGCCGATGGTAGGAACATCTGCACAGACTTTTACCAAACAGCTGGAACCCAGAGCTGTGCATGTGAGAGTGGTTTACCACAGCCTACGGCGCATTGCCCTCCCTGTATGCCTAAATAACTCAGCTGTTCCTCTGGGAATAATTACTGGATGTATCTGTAGTTATAAGCTCACTGAAGCACTGAGGGTCAACAAGTCAAACTTGGGGATGAGAAAGCATTTGAGTAATTTCAGCAGGTGCAGCCTTGTATAACCCCCCTAAAACAAGCCATTTGTGAGCTCCACGTCAGAGAAAACCTTGGTGAGATAATCCAGCGGACGTAGTCAAAAGAGAACATCATCACTGCGATGACAGAGAAAACCCAACGTGAGAGCAAGGGGAGAAATAAACATCTTTACCTTGTAGCTGGCAACAGCAAGCCGAGACAGGCCATCTACATATGGACCCAAAACTTTATGTTCCCTCACCCTCAGAGTTTGTCTCCCCCTGGACACAAAACAACACACACACACACACACACACACACACACACACACACAGCCACGCTCAGTGGTTACTCTCCTAGCTGAGTTTCAGATGATCCCAGCTCACAGACTCGGTGCTCTGACCCTGACTGAAACATGCTCCTGGCTGGACAACTCCATCATTTGTGGATTCACAGCAACGGCGCATATGGCTGTCAGATGGTGTGCTTCTCTTTGGCTTATTTTACCGAGGTTAAAGGTCCTGTTCTGAGTGAAGGTCAAAGGTTATGGCGTCTGGGCCAGCAGACGGAGGCCTAAAGGGCTGATTTACTGCTGACCTGCTGGACATTAACAATCAAGGCAGACCGCTAATCTTTCATCCACTGACCGCTGCCCACCACAGCAGACGGCAGGAGCCATCACTGTGCTCTGAGAACATTAGTGCTTGGTTAACCTGAAACAGCATCACTCAATATAGAGAAATATGCTAGGCGTGGTTTCATGGTCAGCATAATATACTAAATTAATACTCCACTGGATTGTAAACAGGATAAAGCAGTGTTGTAGGGTCCTACCCTTTAGGGTCGAGAAGATCTCGGACCTTCTCGTTGTAAATCTCCATGTAGGACACCTCGACAGTGAAGCTCTCTTCCTCCCGCTGCTCCAGTTTGGTTCGTTCAAACAAAGCGCTGCACAAGCGAGGAATCAGGCCCGGCTGGTCCCCAGAACCCATCATGGTGTACGACTTCCCCGAACCTTCAACATACAAACAGATTTAAGCGCTAGGGAGAAACGGACGTACGATCAACCAGAAGCAGAAACTATCAGCCTTCTATAGGGAGACCCCGTCTATGACCAACACCTCCGTTAATGTCCAACACGTTTGTAGCTTGATTATCTCTGACCCCGTCACCACTCATCCACAAAAAGACTGTTCTACAACCTACAGCAACCAACACCTCCTGTTAGGCAAACAGCCCTGTTCAAATATAGAAACAAAGAACATTCTCATCAGACTGAAGACTAAATAATAAGGTGTCTAGCAGGAAATTACCAGTCTGTCCGTAGGCAAAGATACAGGCGTTGTAGCCCTGGAAGGCGTTGTGGAGAAGGCTTTCCCCAAGGCACTGGAACACCACTTCCTGACCTGAAACAGTCATCCACACACAAGTTGTCATTTAAAGCCAACATTAATTATGTCGTGAAATTACAGAAGAACGGATTCTGCTTTTGAGGGCCAATACTGATTTCCAGTTCTTGTACAACTCTCACCAACCTTTTCTGAGTTTTCTTTTTTCTACAAGAACTGAAGTTAACAATCGTTTTTAACACATTTCTGATTAATTTAATTACTGAAGTCAAACTTCCAACTGGAAGGACTAACCAGTATTTTGGTGCATCGCTACATAAAATGGACACAATTCTGTTTGACTTCTTATTTTAAGCAATAAAAATAAACACTCAACTGACCTGCAAATCTTTCCGTATCAGTCTCATCCATGGACCAGAAGCAATAATCATAAGCAAAAACCTGAAGGAACAAAAGAAGCTTGAGATGCACAGGAGTCTGAAAAACAAAAGCCCGAGCTGATGGCCTTGCCTGTCTGAGTCCGCTCTAGTGGGTTACTGTTCTTATAAGGGCCTGATTAAAATGTAGGTGTCTGCCTCACCTGTTGCGGTAAGAACCAAAACTTCATGTAAAGTGTTTTCAGATGACTGTGATAAAATAAACAGCACTCAGTGGCGTTATTAAGAGATATAAACACACACCTCCCACCTCCAAGACGCTTTACAGACCCTAATCCACCAAAAATATTCTAATTGTGACATCACGAGGACTAAAATCATTTTAGATTCATAAATAATTTAACTGATTTTTTGCTAACATTAATTATCTTGGATGTATGATGTGATTGGTAATAGGTTTGTTTTCTAAATCCATTTTTTAACAACTTTAAAAGGCTGAGAACAAAAGAAAGCTTGTGTAGTCATGGACGTAATTTGGGGGGGGGGGGGTACATGTCCCCCCCACTTTTTACAAAGTCAAGTTTTGACCCTTGCACTTTTTACCATCCAAAAACAATATTACGCTATATTAAAGTGACACTGGTTGAGCTCTAGGACCAAGCAGAAAACAACTGTTTGTGTTGAAGCCTGTTTCATATTAGAACATACTGTAAAGATACCCCCCCCCCCTCCCCCCACATCTAAAGTGAAAATTACGTCCATGTGTGTAGTCATAAGTGACATCACTGCATTTGGAGTAAAGGGCAAAAATTACAGTTTCCCCCCTAATTCGCTAGGGGCTGGATTATGGAGCTAGGATTGGGACAATATCACATGTAAACTGTACCAATTTTTTTTAACTTGTCACATGTTTTGTAACTAACTTTCATCTTGTAGCATGTAATCCACGTTTTGTGACATGTAACTTTCATTTTGAAAAACATAACTTTTGTTTTGCAACACGTCACTCTCGTTTTGTAACACCTCATTCTTGATTCGTAACACGCAAAACTATTGTTTAGAAACGCAAAACTATTGTTTAGAAACGCATAACTATTGTTTAGTAACGCATAACTATTGTTTAGTAACGCAAAACTATTGTTTAGAAACGCATAACTATTGTTTAGAAACGCATAACTATTGTTTAGTAACGCAAAACTATTGTTTAGAAACGCATAACTATTGTTTAGTAACGCAAAACTATTGTTTAGAAACGCAAAACTATTGTTTAGAAACGCATAACTATTGTTTAGTAATGCAAAACTATTGTTTAGAAACGCATAACTATTGTTTAGAAACGCATAACTATTGTTTAGTAACGCAAAACTATTGTTTAGTAACACATAACGTTCGTTTCATAACTTTTGTTCTGTAACACATAATTTTCGTCTTGTAAGTTGTAGCACATAACTTTTGTTTTGTAGCATGTAATTCTCGTTTTGAAACATGTAACTTTCAACAGGTAACATGAATCTTTCCTTTTGTAAGTTTCAAATTGACACTCTCAGAACGAACATTCCAGTCTACAGTTACAAAACTTAAGTCTATATGTACAAAACGTATTGTCCCAATTCTAGCTTTCTTCCTCAAAGAACCAATGCCATGCCTTGTCCTGTTCTAATTCAAAATGTAAGTTCTTTATTTGCATCAGTTTAATTTCTCTAAAAATGACCACCAACTCCTAGTAAAGAGTGAGAATATATGCAAGATTGGTTGTAAGCAGCACAAAAGACCTCTGCCCTCTTGCCATGATTGGACAGGAATCCAAGACTCATCATTGGCTGGTCAGACAAAGCCTCTCATTGGTTCTTTAGAAAAGGAAGCTAGAAATGTTTTGTAGCACATAGATATAAATATTGTAACTGTAGACGGAGATGTGCGTTTTGGAAGTTATGATTTGAAACTTGTACATTGATTATTTCTGCAAGTTACAAAATGAAAGTTTCATGTTATGTACCAAAGGTTGCATGTTACAAAATGAGAATTATGTAATAAAAAAATTAAAGTTACCTGTTACACAACATGAATTACATGCTACAAAACAAAAGTTAGTTTCAAAACATGTTATAAAACTTGGCTGACAGAAACAGAAAATATTGACAAACTGTGAAGTTAAATGACCAAGAACAAACTCAAAAATATTACAGGGACCAAGTTTATTTTTGTATTTAAGTTGATCATTTAAACGAGGGGCTGACTGTTTTCACAATATTCCAAATCACAACTTTTAATACTGGCATTCAGTTTAGACTGTTAATGGGAATCCAGAGATGACTTTGTTTAATACAGAGATTCATCATCAATATGAAAGCATATGTGCTGGCGTGTGCCGTTACCTTGGACTGATTCCTGATGACGTTGGGAAGATCAAAGTCCACAGGACCATGGGAAAGAGAGGACATTTAGAGCGCATTAATAAAGAATTCCGCTTGCTGGTCACGAGGAGCTAACATTTAGCTCTTTTACACTCACACACTTCACAGAGCTGAGAGTCAGAGAGGGAAACACAGATGGCAAAGCTAAAAGAAACACTGGAGCCGCGACACGAGAATGTCTGCTTTTGACCACTTATCTAAAGACATAATAATCATGTGTGTATGCAGGTCTTAACATTGTATTCATATCAAAAACCACCTCTAGTGTGTGCGTGCGTGTGTGTGTGTGTGTGATTAAAAGGGGGCCAGAATCAGATAATGATGCACAAAGGTTAGTGGCTCATGGTCACACACAGCTGGACGAACGTGGGGAAAAGAGCCTCTAATGAAAGTGAAAACAGAAGAGAATGTGTGCATAAACCAATCACTGTCCTTTCCAGGTTTTGTTGAAGAGCTTGCTGATGGGGTGACTGTCTTTGCACTGAAGCTGTAACTGTATCCAGGTGAACAAGGTTACACTCTCCATCTCTCTTCCTTCAGCATAAACCTACATCCGCTGAACAGCTTCTTTTCTTTATTGGTAAATTCAATACCAGGGCAGTCCTCTGGCAGATACATCCTGCAATTAAGTCTGCAGCTGGTAACACTACGCACTTCCTGCACATCGTTGGTGGCATAGCAACCAGCAGTGAACTTGGACATGACTCGTACATGAGCGACAACCTCACTGACTATTCCCTGTGGGGAGCACATCAACCACTTTTTCATGTTTGAAAGCACCACAACAGCTGCAAGTGTAAAAAAGAAAAAAAAAAAGTCTGTCAGCAACAATAAAACCACTACAAAATCCTCTGGCGATACTGCACAAAGCTTTGAGGTGATAATGTTAGTAAAGGTGTAAACGCTGTTCATGAAAGAGTTTATGACTGAAGTGGTAACAGGAAACTACACAATTAATCATTCTCCCTCTCCTGATAATAACATTTTACTTTCTTTGACGTTGAATGTGCTACTACTAGTTTACCCGCTTAATTATAGATTCACTAGGATAAATGCAATAAAGTTTATCTCTCACCAAATAGAATATTTACTAAGAAATCACAATGTAGCCATAGAAACACTACTTGGTATAAATGATGTGCGTGTGTGTGTGTGTGTGTGTGCGTGTGTGTGTGTGTGTGTGTGTGTGTGTGTGTGTGTGTGTGTGTGTGCGTGTGTGTGTGTGTGTGTGTGTGTGTGTGTGTGTGCCTGCTCTGTCTTCTCGATCCCCAGTGAGTCGTGGAGGATGGCTGCTTATACTGAGCCAGGATTCTCTGGAGGTTTCTTCCTGTTAAAAGGGAGTTTTCCTCTCCACTGTCGCTGCATGCTTGCTTAGTATGAGGATTGCTGTATAGTCACTGACACTAGTCAGTGACTTGATGCAATGTGCTGGGTTCCTTATATAGGAAACATTATTTCTGATTGGCTTATTGAACTGACCTGAATTGGAATGTTTATTATGTGAAGTGCCTTGAGACGACTCTTGTCGTGATTTGGCGCTATATAAATAAACTTGAATTGAATTGAATTACAGCAATGTGTCTTCAGTTCACTCATTCATGAAGAAAAACTGCCTCGAAACTAGGGATGCAACAACTATAAATGTTGGTGGTATGATTGTAGTCTGAGAAATAATAACGGTTTCACAATTATTTTACATGAATTGATTTCACATCTGTATTAACACATATAAATCACACACACTCTATAAATTGATAAAAGGCTTGAATACAATCTATAAAGGCTTTGAACCCCTGATATATCTATTGTTCCTTTTCAGAGATTTTGCTTGGAAAAATTCACTCTGCTACTGATTTGCAATGTTGATGTTTTATCTCCACAAATAACACAAGCCTGGATGAGTTCTGCTGTGTGGTGGAGTTGTTAATGGTAGCGGTTAGTTTTTACTAGTCGAGATGTTCTCTGCTGTTTCCTGGATGCTAAACCAAAAACAGCCCTCCCCGTCATAAGTCAAGATAGACGAGTCCATGAATGTTAAGTGACAGTGTAATGTAGATCTGTCAGGTTTCCAATCAGAAGCTGATGCAGGAGATAGGTGTATGTGACTATTTTCATGTTCAGCCATAATGAAAAACTCAGAGTGACTGATTATCAGAAATTATCATAAAAAATGTTTTTTCAGTGAACCACACAATTAATTATATTTACTTAAATGTAATTTGTACTTGTTCATGTATTTTCAAATGCCACCAGTAAGAATATTATTTGGACATGTATAAATTAATTTTATTGCTATTTAGAACAGGAATTGGAGAGGTGTGGTCGACTAAATATTAAAATGGCTTGCCATACCTCTTGTTGTAGACAGATCCGTTTAGTCACTAGCATAATCTGACTCAGTTGGAGCTAATCTGTCTCCGTGAGGATGTCAAAGATGATAAATTGAGAGTGTTGCAACTTTTTTTCCGCCAGCTCTGCAGATGGACGAGCCATCGTTCTGAATTTCTCTTTTAGCAGCTTTGGGAGTCTAAAATATCCCCTCACGGGAGACTTGAAGCGCTTCCTGGGTGGAAATGGAGCAGTCCCGGAGGTTGTTGATGCTGGTTCTGCTGCGTGCGTTCCTTCAGTTTCACTTAGCTCCGCTAATGTCTTTTTTTTTTATTTGCGGTGTTGGAGACATTTTTACGGTGGGTTAACCGCAGCAGTGTTTTACACTGTGGTTAATAGTCAAACCAGTTATTCTTTCCAACCCTACTTGAAATCTACACTTCAATGATAATAAAGCTGATTCGGGCAGACAAATATATCAGGCCAATATTTATAATTTCTTATATATAAGCATTTACTTATATACCTCTTTGATAAGGCTGATTTAAAGTCGGGCACATCCCCAGGCAGCCCAGTTCAAATTTAATTTGAATGTATATTTACGTTCCTGAATAAATCTGCATCATGAAATCTGTAAAAATGATTTTTACTTGGTCAATTAATGGCTTAGTTTGATCAGATATATGTCTGATTTTAACACTGAGCAGTGCACAAAATAAAGATTTAACAGTAAGGGTGAGACAAAATACAGATTCTGTGAAATATCGCAATATTTCAACTCACTAACGAGTACCAGTAGGCTTTTCCCTGAATCGTTTTTTAACCATTACCACAGAAGTCCATTAGGGGGCGCTCCTCATGAGAATGACCTAAAAACACCTGGCAGGAAGAACACCAGGAACAATATGGTGGAGTTGCACAGTGGGGAAAGGAAATTGTTAAAAGATTCACCAGCAAGTTCTAAATTTTAGGCTCACTTTGGATTAGTTGTGTGGATGAAACAAAGCTGGATGAAAATGACGCAGCATGCAAGAACTGCCTCACAAAGGTACACTAGAAACTTTCACTGAAAAGGCTGTGCCCGTTGTCTCTCCTGCACAGCCTGGCATTACTTTTTCCAGGCAAAGCTCCCTTTTAATTCTACTGAAGCTACACTGGTAACACATGCCACCTTCTTGTACATCTACCTGTAAAACCTAGTTTATGCTTCTGCGTCGGTACGGAGACGCGCAACGCATAAACGGCATAAATTAGTCTCTTTGCCCGTACAGCACTGTTGAGAATGGCGGGCTTTGCTATATGATGCACATCGCTGAACCCAGATATATCTTACCGAGCCACAGACATTTCACTGTCAATGATTCCTGCCATGTACAAATAGGCCAGGGCTGAAGGAGAGAACTAATGGCTGTATAAGGAAAGAAACATTTGTTTTTATGGTTTCTTTAATGCAGAAATGTCTGCTTGCAGCTGATTATTTTACACACTTAACCACAACATTTTGTTTAATTGAAAGTCCTTTATTTGCTCTATGTTGCACAAATATTGTGTCACTGTAAGGCACTTATATTAGTGTTTACGTTGATTCTGACTGTAAGACATTTAAAAGCAGTTGATATTTACTGACTGTACTTAAATCATTTCAGGGCAAAATAAAGGTAAAAGGTTATACACATTGTAGGCTAACTTGTGCAGTATGGCCGTACCGTGATCATGTTGCATTGTGAGACATGTACAGCGAAATGTATGGCATCGTGAGGTACCCTGAGGTTCCCAGCCCTATTTAACAGTTGGTTAAAGTCGGTGTTTAAAAACTGATTCAGCTTCAGAAATGTTGTTCATCAACTGATGATATTAGTGACAATTTAACATGCAAATAAGATGGAATATGTCTAGGTTTCAGCAAGTCTTCCCAAAAGATCTGCAGCATGGATCAACCACCGGCTTACTGTGACCTCTACATATCGGCATCAGCAAGAGAAAACACAAAATCAGTCAACCTCTGAAGCCGATTCATATCTTTTCTTCCTTTGGTCTCTCTTTTGTCACGGTTTTTATTGTTTTTCATAATGTATCAAAATAAGAGATCAGGACAAAGCTAAGACAGCTGGTCATCAATGCCATCAAAGTTTAGTAGAATACTTAAATAATGACGTAAATACTTAACCACTCATGTTGATCTGAATCTCTGAGCAGACACACTGAACTGCTATAACCTTCTCACTTAGTTGGTCAGTTAGTCACATCTGCTTTTTGGTTTGTTTCGAACACGTTGCTCCTCAATTACTCGGTGTTCAATTTTACTTTGATACAAAAGTCCATAACATAAGAAATGAAAGAGAAAAACCAAACTGAACAAAGAAACATCTAATTAGATTTGATTGTGCTAAAAGTGTGCGTGTGAACACTCAGTGTAAATTTTGCTCAAAGGTATATCATTCGTGTGCTTGGATCAGCTCTGCATGAGTTTAAACTCAGAGGGCTTCTTCTCAGAAGAGAAAACAGCCAAACCCCTCAGACACCTGTTTCTTTTTACCCATGCACATTTTTCCTAAGCCACCAATGCTGCAGCTCTTCCACAAACCAGCCAATAATCTGAAACACTTCATATTTCAGACATTCCACCTCTGACTCACAGAGCAGACA